TGTAGAAGAGTTTTAAACTTGCTGGTTCTCAGCAGGGAATGAGGGAATGACCCCTGCAGTATGAACCATTATGAACCATCCCCTATGGTTTCCTTTAAGGGAATTTGTAGGTTCATTTCCAAAACCCTGGGTCATTCTCTAGCGAGCACCAGCAAGTAATGGGACATTTTTCGGTTGTTACTTATGCGGTCTCCATTTTGCGGACCCAGGAACCAAGAACGCTCAGAATGTCCAATTCGTGAACTCAGCACCCCTAGGTATCCGAGTCCTTCCTGTTGCTCAAAAACAGGAGACTCCTGATTCATGGGAAAACCATGCGACAGGATGGTTGGTCGCAAATGAGAGCACCCCACATGCACGAGGTTGTCTTTGGCTTCTCTGAGCCCTCCCCAACTAGGCAGCCCTTCGCAAACACCCTACCAGGGCACCAAGTGGCCGTGGGTGAAAACCAATGGGATCCCATTTTGGGGTAGGTGCACCACCCATTCTAGAACCTATTTCAGTGGGGATTGGGATGTTCACTGGGGGTACGGGGTTTGGACCCATAGCCAAATCTCTTTCTTTTTTTTTCTCAGCCCCCAAGCACGGTGAAATCCGGCCACGGAGCGAGCTTTCCGCGCGAGGAAAGCTTCTTGTGGCGCTGGGCGCCATTGAGAAGCCGCCGAAAGAGGAAGAGTTGAATGACCCGGTCGAGGATCCGGACGCCGGGCCTGTGAGGGCCTTGGATTGAGACGTTGACCCGAGCAGGGGGGTTGTTCCCGTTTGAAACAAGGACTTCCCACATGGGCGTGTTCGTAAGGGAAACCAGAAGGACAACGACCATTTTGTGGGGGTCCCCCCCCCAACAAGACACACCCATATTTACAAGAGAATCGTCCCAGGATGTCAGAACTCCAAATCCAGCCTCATTTGGGTGGGCCACGGCTTTGTGGATGTTGGGCGGGAATCGCTTAAGCGCGACCCAATTTGTCCGCCAATTCTCGTTGGGTAAGACATCGGGGCACACCCATTTTTTTGGTCTCCTTGTGGTTTCGAATCCATTTAAGACCCCAGCATGGTTGTTTCCCTTGAAAAGCGTCAAAACAAGAATTACTCCCCCCAAAGAAGAAGGACCCACAGTTGGATAGCCCCCCCCCCCCCCCGCAAAACAGACACACCCACTATGGCCATTTTCCGCGTTTTCAAGTTCCGCAAAACACCGAATCATCTAACGTTAACCCCGGATTAATACACCCTGGTTGATTTTGATCAGGGAGTGTCAATCCTTTTCGTGGGGATTCAGACCACTTTTGCAGGGGCCAAAACCACGCCCCTAATAATGGGACGGGTTTATAACAATCCTGGGTCAACATTAGTATCCCCTCCAAAAGGGGCCACCCCCCCTATTAATCAACCAGGGGTTTATTCATCCTGGGTCAACATTACAAGCCTCTGCGTCGTCGAGGGGGTCTCAGGTCTTCAACGAGGTGAGCCGCTCGGATCTGGTGGCGGAGTATGTGGGGCAGACGGCCAAGAAGGTCATGGACCAAGTGGAGAAGAGCTTGGGCGGGGTGTTGTTCCTGGACGAGGCAGCTCGGCGCTAAGAAAAGAACGCAACCAAATCGGGCCTATAGGTGTTTTTTTTATCGGTTTGTGTGTGGTCAAAACTGGAGGGACCTGGTTTAGTTATGCATGCACCAGGGCCATCTTTTCTTTCTTTTTTTTGGGCAAAATGACACCTATGTTCGGGCCGCCATAGAAATTCATGTTTGCGAAGGTGGCCCTTTTGTTCACAGAGCTGGTTGTCCATAAAATCAATCACCTTTGATTTTCTCACACCAGCTCTCTGGGTATGGTTTCCTTTGGGGTGTTGGCACCTCGGCTCCAAGGCATATGCTCTGGTGCAAGGTGATCGCGATACCTTCGGGCAAGAAGCAGTGGATACCTTGATCAAAGAGATGGAAGACAAAAGGGCCAACTTCATTGCTGAAGCCTCAGCTGCGGGGTGGACTGCCGGGCGGGTCGAACAAGATGCTTTTTGTTTTCAGGTGATATGTGCTGGATATGAGGAGGAGATGGATGAGTTCTTCAACAGCAATCCCGGGTTCAAGCGACTCAGCCGACCGAGCATGTGCAGACAGGGTTTCTCTCTAAAATCTCGGGAACTACGGCTTCCAGGGTTTATCTTCAACTGGAGACCCCCAAGACTGCCTTGCTTTCTTTTGGTGTCCAGCACTGAGGTCCCGAGTGCCCTTCACCTTCCACTTCGAGGACCATTTTCGGATGGGTTTGGTTCCATTTTTTAGGGGGCGGTACCCCCCCTTTCTTTGGTGGATTTAAAGCGACACCAAGAAAGCCACATGTTTTCGTGGTCCCCTGAAAAATGACACCCAGATGCAGCTTGGAGCTGGGGACAGTCCCAGCGCCAACCTGAAATCGGTGCCAAAATTTGGCCTTTTCCCCTGGCTTGGCACAGGTTTTAGTCAAAACCTTTGGCTGGTTTTGGCTGGAACAGAAAGAAGAAACTACGGTGGATGGACGAAATCCATTTCGCATCACCTAAGAGACCCTGGAATGATTTTCTGGAAATACCAGCACACACACACACACACGGATTTCAACCGTGGTTTCATTTCGTGGTGCTTTTTGTTTGGGGTCCGCACATGTGAATGCGCAGGATTACACATGCTCGGAGCTGGATGACATCGGGAAGCTTGGGCTTCGGAAGAAGGACAGCACTACGCTCTTTGCTTGCGGGCCTTTGTAAAGGCTTTTTTCTAGCAGAAAGCGAAGGGGGAACAAGAAAAGGGGGGTCCAACAGGGAAACCTCAAAAGAGTTCGCCACACACAGAATAGGGTGGATGGTTGTGAAATCCATTTCGGACCACTTTGAGACCAGGGTTTTGGTATTTAGGGAGGTTGCATTTTGGTTGGATTCTCAAAAAAGCCTTTGTTGGTTTGCCCTTAAACCATCCTTCGGCTCTTTGTTCTTTGGGTAACCTTTTTGTGGGCCAGTCAGGGAACCCAAGATACATCCCTTGCCACTTGAGTTTTATTTGGAGACGCCGGGCGCCGACACTGGGGCTTACGGAAGACGCCGCCAAATCTGGCTTGAGGGGCCCTCAAGAAAGAATCGCGAGCATCCGGGGTCACGCAACGGCGAGTGTTCAGCAGAAGTCATTTGGGTGTGGGTCAATATCTTATCACCAGAAAAAACCACAGATTTCAGTCCATGTTTCCATTTACCAGGGCAAGCCATTTTGGGGTTCGCCTATGTTTGACGAACCGCCATCTCAAGAGCTGGACCCCGCTAGGAGCTGAAGCTGCCCGAGAGCACCGACACCTACCAGCAGGCCCTGCGCTTCTCCACCGGATGCCGCTTGCCCAAAGGGGCGAAGGCGCCGGATCTCTTTGCGTGGCCCTTGTAAAGGTTGGCACAGCGAAAGGACACCAGGAGCGTTTGTTTTGGGGGGGCTTCTCTTGACCGTGGGATTTCCTTTGCCTTTGGTGCAGCAAGATTGGGGCCACGACCACTGGGGTCCAAATCGTGCCACAATTGGGTTCTGCTGGGGGGGGGGGTTGGGGACAGTCCCAGCCTGAAGCAGGTGCGGATATCCGCCTCTTGTTTCTCTGCATGGTTTTCGATAGACCACTTTAGACAGCAGGGGCTTCAAACCAACTTGAAAAAGGGTGCGGGTACGGGTACCATTTCCCGCAACACACAACAAAATAAATGCGCATTCGGGGAGGATGGTTGCCTGATGTGCGGAGAGTCCCCCCCCCTCCCCGCTTGGCAGGCTTGACACAGCTTTCCAGAGCCCTAGATTTTCTTGCCCCCAAGGCAAGGACCATATTTGGATGATGAAATCCTTCAGGTAAATAGTGGTGGTTGTATTAGCCTAATTTGGGTATGGATCGAAATTAAACCACCAACCAGGCTTCGGTTCATATTTCCACTTACCAGGGCAAGCCATTTGGGGTACATTTTTTTTTTGGACAACCGCAGGCATTTGATGTAAGGGTGGCTTGAACTCCCGGAATTTCCTCGGTGCGGCCGACCCCAGCAGCGCCGAACGCGCGCGCCAAAAAGCGCCAAAAAGCGCGAGGTTGCGACAAGCTGGAGGACTGCGTGGCGGACCGAGCCAAAGGGAACGGTCGAGCTGTGCGGAATACGCTCGAGGCGGCACTCTCAAGTTGGTGCACTTGAGGACGATTTTCCGGTGAAAGTGGAAGCTCACTCCTCCTGGAGTATAACCTTTCGACAATTTTAGTGGCAAACGAAGAGTCCACTCAGGAAGTGAGTAAATTCAAGTGAGCCCACAATCAAGACCTGGGCAAGTCCCGGCCCATACTGCGCTCGTTTGTAGTTCGTGCCTGGTTTTGCATGGACTTTAGTAAAATGCCAATACTTTGGCTCGAGTGGTGTCTTCACTGGGTGTCTGTCAGCTAGATACCATGGATGTTCCTCTTCAAACCAGCATTAAACTCAAGCGGGTTCACGCAACCGCCATCATTTGCCGTGGAATCTCATCCTCCAAATTGGGTCGCATTTTGCCGTTCTTTTCATGGGGGCAAGCTGAACCCCAGAAAATTTACCGAATGTCCCCAGTCGCCCTTCTTTCAAACTTACCTCCAGAACCTCATCCTCCAACAAAGGGGCTTCGCCCTTCTTTTGCACCTGGCAGGTGAGAGAAATTTTGAAAGAGAATCAGATACTGGCAAGGAATTCATGAACCCCCCCCAAAAAAGCGGCCGCGTGACCAACTCCTCCCGCGGATGCGCGGCTTCGCGGCTTCGCGGCGCGGTCGGGCACGCGCCAGGCGGCCACCCGCGCCATGGCCACCCGGCTGCAGGGCAGCGAGGAGGTCTCCGCGGAGATCTACTCCCAGCTGACGCCGGCCGACTTCGCGGCAGCTTGGCTTCGACTGAAAATGGAGCCCCCATATATGTATATATATATACATATATATATATATATATTTAACTGGCGCTTCGGTGGTCGTCTCTTTTTTCAGGTTGGACTCCCCAACAACGGATAAGCCAGGAGTTTGTCCATCAAGGTCGGGAAGGTCATGAAATGCGCGGCTCGTCGTTTTTCGATACCCCAAAGATGGCGCACCGGTGGTCCTTTTGGTGTCCTTCTAACAAACATGGGGTACCAACTCCAAAAGCAGAGACACCCATTTCTAATTCTGTTTCATGTGAGTGCGCCTCTTTTTCAGGTTGGACCCCAAAAACGGAGAACCACCCAATTGGCGCAGGTTCAATGTCGGGAAGATCATGAAATGTGTGGCTCGTCGTTGTTCGATACCCCAAAGATGGCGCAACGGTGGTCCTTTTGGCGTCCTTCTAACAAACATAAAGCAGAGACACCAATTTCTGCTTCTGTTTCATGTGGATGTGTCTCTTGTACGGTTAGACTCCCCTTGCGCCACTCGCCGTGTTTTCAATTGGTTGTGGGTCAAAACCAATGGTACGATTTTGGTGTGGGTGCGCCACTTTCATTAGTCTATTTTAGTAGGGATTGGGATGTTCACTGGGGGCTAACCAGGTTTTTGACCCATGGCCATTTAAACAACTCCCCCGGCCTGACATCGCCCCATTCGCTGGCGCCAATCGCCCGCAGGCGGTGACGGCGCAGGCGGTGCAATCTCACCTGGCCGTGCCCTGCGGAAAGAACGGCCGCGTGGCAAGAGACGAAAAAGGCATCTTGGTGCTTCCCAGGCTCCTCTTGGATTTTTTCCCCTTGGTTTTCCCTTGAAAACCACAGAACAGGTGTAACCCTCTTCAAAAGCCAAGCACGATTTCCGAACCATGTCCCTTTTTGGAACCTCCAGCGGCGATCGTTTCAATGGACACCACCGATGAAGTGCAAGCTATTTGAAGGGAAGTTGCTTGGTGCACTTGGTGGGGAACCTCCTCGATGGTTTGTGGACATCTTGGTGCTTCCCGGCCATCCGGTTCCTTCGGTTTCGTATGTTTTTTTTGTTTTGTCTCGTTGGTTTAGTGGTTGGATGTCCTCAAATTTAACACACTAAAAGTCCGGTGAAGCATTGTCATCCACTGACATGCAACCAGAGTGTCCATTGAAAAGGACCATTTAGTCTTCCAGCACCTCTCAGTCACCCATTTTGGGCAGATGGACGCCTTTTCCACCAGAAGGAAAAGCCAACTCCGTGGGACCCTTCTTCAGCTTTGAGTCGTGATCGCAGGTCCTTAGTCACTGGGCATACCCCAAACTCCGGGCATATGGTTCAGTCAAGGGGTTCTGCATCCACGACACATATTCAAGCAAAGGTTGTTATGTGTCGATTTGATTTCCATGTGGGCTTGAGCCGAAAATTTGGGTATGGAAGTAGGATCCGATGTGAGTTGAACATGGACGGCACTGGCTTCAGTTTGGCAGGAAGCCTTTGCAGTCCCCCGATTCGTGTTTTGTCATCATCGTTTTGAGGATCCCTGAAAAGAAGGGAACAGCTAGAGCATTGGATGTTGGACTCGTCAACTCCTGTTTTCGACCCCAATGCCGATACTTCAGCAGGATGTCAAACAAAAACGAGCAACTGGCTCAACACCCAGGTAGATGAAGGGTAGTCAGGGAGAATCCCCTTGCCATAAATGGTTGAAATCTGAAAGGTTCTGGGTGGACTATTCAAATTCCGGCTTTGATTATGGCTCAAGTGGGTTGGACAAATACAAAACTCACGGGTCCCTATTGTCTGGCGATCTTGAGGCGAACTCGCACAGATCCTGGACATGATGAACCAGTCGGTGGGTTTCAGCAGCAAGATGTCCGGCAAGCCGTCAGACTTGGTGGCCAGGTTGACTCTGGGCTGAACAGCTGGTGTCCTCTTGCTGGCCTCGTTTTTTTGGTTGCCAATTTGTGTGGCGAGCTCCTTCTTTGGCGCGGTGGATGTTTAGGTCGAACATAGAGTTGGAGCTGTGAATTGGAAAAAAGCGCAGGAAGAGTATCGTCACGGAGACCAACGCCGTGAACAGCATGAGGCAAGGCGATGCGAGCCGCATCCTGCGACGCGCAGGGTACAGCAGACGGCGTTTTTGCTTTTTCTTCGAGGCCTCGTGATTGCATGTTTGTTGGCTTTTTTTTGAATCGAGCCTCAAAAGGGGTTTCCTCCCCAAGAAAGATGTTTGATTTTGATCTTCCGTTCGTCCACCAACATAGGGGGCCCTTTCAGAGGAAACGGTGAAAACCAGGACCACAGTCGGGTTTCTTTTCGAGTCATCAGGTTTGAATTATCACATGCCAAGTATGGAGTCGTGCCCCACTGAAGTTGTGCCCACCTGGCAGAGAAGATGGTTCCACAAACAACATGAGCCATGGTCAAAAACGCAATTTCCTCAACAGGACAGTGCTTTTTTGTGACTTCCCCGGTATTTGTGGCGAAATTTCGAGCTCCCGGCGTGTCCTTCCCAAAGTCACCATCCCTGCGGGTCGATTTGTTTCCCACCGCGCCTTCCGGATCTGGATCTGGCAGGGACGCGGATCCAGAGACGCAGAGACTAGGGGCGCAATGTGAGGAGGAGGTCACCAGGGTGCTGAAAACGGTCTACCGAAGTCCCTTGGCAGCGATCCTCTGCTGGAGGTCTGGGGATTTTCAGCTTCTTTCGAGGGTAGCTCATCCAAGTTGCCAAGGGGAGAAATCGACTTGTCAGATTGGTCCCCAAAAATATTGTCCAACATCTCCCCTGTCACCACCCTTGGACTTCTACGTCTCAAAGGTATCCTGCAGGAGAGCATCGGGGAGCTTGCCGGTGAACCCGAACCGAGCGCTGCCCATGGCACGCCTCATTCGCCCCGTTGCATCTGAGCCCGGGTTCCCTTTTTCCAGTGTAGCCGTAGAAATTCGAAGATCAAATGATCTCCTCCTCCCCCTATTCCAGGGATCCGTTGTAGAAAGTCATCAAGTCTATCTAGAAACCAGCTGTTTCTGTGAACAGAATGATGGTGGAAGGGACGAGTCCTTTTAGGGTCGTCGGTGTCAAGTGCCACGGGTTCAGGGTGTCAGTAAGTTTGGGCACTCCCTTTCTGACTTGCTAGCTGGGGTGATTCTCGAAATCTGGGGATTGATCCATGATCCGTAGCGCACCAAGGGAAACCACGATCATCTGGCACAGTAGGTTTGATTTGGAACAAGACCCTTGAGCTTTTGGTTGAAGCAGTTCAAAGCAAGCGATCAAAAAGAACTCCCGAGGACCGCACTGATCCCAAATCGCTTCCCCCATATGGCCATGGGCGTTTCAAACCCCAAATCGGTTAGCCCCCAGTGAACATTTCAATCCCCACTTAAATAGGTCCCAAAATGGGTGGCGCACCGAAAACCCCAAAATGGGATCCCATGGGTTTTGAATCATGGCCATATAGGGCTTCCCCTGGCGCAATCTGAAGTTCCTGTTGGATTGTGTCTGTTCAAAGCCAGTATGTGACCCACAACATGATTTGCCCCCTTGTTTGGGGGGAATTTGGGCTGTACCATGTCCTCCCCAAACCAACTACAGACAATCTTGTGGCTGCTCACATGTCGACAAGGTTGTGAACAACATCTAGGGGCTGCTTCCCATGGGGCCAGCCCCGTGTGCGATCCATGCGAGGCATGCACTCGTACTGCCGGTCCAGCGGCACCCTGGACTTCCTCTCTGACAAGATCCGCGCCGGGAAGACGCAGTCGGACGTCGCCGCTCGGAAAAGAGCAATGCCGAAGCCGCAACAATGGCCGAAGTTTCGCATGCCCCCAAGGGTTTTAGGCAGCGTACCAAAAAGGGGTCGGGCAAAAATGTGGTTTTAGAAGGGGGATTCAATGGGGGACTTGGTTTGCGGGCCCAGGTGTGTCGTTTTGAGGGTGCTTCTTTTTGTGTGGCAAAAAAAAACACCAAAAGGTGAACACTGGAAGTTTGGGGTCCAGCCTCAAAAAAGCACGGGCCAGCGAGGTTGCTTCGCATGGGTTTGTTGGGCGAGTAGGCGAGTAGCAAATGCTTTTGCTGGATGGACCCAAGACGCAGATTGGAAAGATGAACGAGCCGCCATTTCCGGAATACAGCGGCAGGGGTTCCCAGAGTTCAGAGACTCAAGCGCGGGATTCACAATACCAACAAATGCAAGCGCGATGTTCACTGCAGCTTGCCGTGCGCTTTCTGTTTCAGGGTAGCTTTGCCATGGTTTTTGCTGAACTTTCTCCTGTTTGAGCCTTGCCACAGCATTCCCGTTGAGTCGTCGCGATCGAAGACAGCGCCACCAAAACAGGTAGGCGCCCAAATCCAGCGCCGCCAAAACGGCGTCCAAAAAACGAGCACAGCTCAAGACGAGCTCTAGCTCAGTGGGTGCGTTGCTCTCGCGAAGCTGAGCGGCCAGCTCTTGGAGGGTCCACCTCTTCGCGCCTTTCCATTTTCCTTCTCACCTGGAACATGGTAACATCCCCACTTCTCCCATGGGTGAAATCCATCCCCCAGTCCCCCAATCCCCTCCCGGCGATGGCCATTTCTCACCCCATTCGAAGCATTCCAAGGAGGCCGCCTCGAAGTTGCTGGAGGCACCGATCCGGATCCGAAGCCTTTCCCTTTTCAAAGGGGAATTCTTTTGTGGCGGAAAGCTGGGGAGGTTTTTTCGAGGTGTTCTTTGTTTCTTCTTCTTTCTTTTTTTTGGGGGGGTCGCTTTGAAACATGGTTTCCCAGCTGGGGGTTCGTGTATGTTTTATTTTTTTGTTTTGGTATGTTTTTTTGGTGGGGTTCCAGCTGGAACTTGAAACCAGCTGGGGGTTCTCAAGAAGGGAGACCGTTTTGGAGGCGATGGATAGAAATGAAGGATGCCACTTTAAGGATGGGGATGGTTTGAGATCTCTGAACACAGCCTTTCTTGCATGAGGTCTACGAAGCATGGACCAGACTGAGACGTCGTATTTTTGGTTGTGGAAGAAGCTCAGGCAGAAAAGGATTGCTGCCATTTCCCTTGTACCCTTGTACCTATGTGGGGGGTGACTTTGATGGCAAGCTTTTCCTTGTTGTTTCAAGGGCTGCTATTTTATTGGTCATTCCCGTTTGGGTGCGTTGTCGTGTTGCTGAAACCTATCAGTTGGGGGGGTCTCTGATGGTAAACTCTTGGGATCGGATGCATAACTTTGAGGTCTCTCCCACTTTAGAACATTTCTTTGGACGATGGTGCACGGCCAGGTCATTTTTCCATGAACCGGGGGATGGGACTCTGGTAAGCTTGGATGAGCCAACTTGGCTGCGTCTCGGAAGGGACGCTTGCGAATTTGTTGGGTTGTCCACCCCACCTGTGGCTTTTGAGACGCGAAATGTTCGGCTTCCTTTTGGTTTCCCCAAAAAATACCCAACACTCGGTACAGACCCAAGAAAGGACCCAAGACAGACCCAAGAACCCTGAAAACAGATGTCCAACAAAAACGGACGCGAAAGGAACACCTCCCGGGAGGGGGGGGGCTCGCCTTGCTCGCGGCACTTTCGCGCGAGGACGGCTCCTCAGACCTGGAGCTGATGAAGGCGGGCCGAAAATTTGTCACCGGCCCTTGAGTCACGGGAAGCCGAAGAGGATTGGGCAATAGCTGGGCGGTTATGTTTTAAGGTTGGACCCACCAAAATGGCAAACAAAAACCGGTTCTTTTTGGTGTTCTGTTTTTTCGAAGGCTGGCCCCCCCCCAAAAAAAAAGAAGAGAAGATCTCGAACTCAAGAACCGGGAGCCCCCGCCCTGGCGAGAAGTGGCCGGCGGTTTGCAACAGCCCAACCCTGAAGGCTCTGATGCAATGCTTCTCCGAGAACAGGAAGGTTCAGCCAGGGCCCCAGTCAGCCGCTCACGCGCGGATTCGGCGCAAGCGTCCTGCTGGGTTCCTGGGGGTTGTCCGTTTTGCGTGCCAAAAAACGTGGGAAGGTGCACAACTCGAATTGGGAGTAGACAGAGACTGGGTTGAACTTCAGGGGGTTTGTTTGTATACTCGGGAGCCTCCAGCCCAAGCGGATTGCAGTCTTTGATGGTCGGCTTCCATTGTTGGAGGGCATAGGGGTCTGCTAGGTCGACTATAGATAGATTCCGCTTGCTTTAGTTTGTGTCAAATCGTTTGCCAATCCATCTATTCCAAGGATACAGCCAAACCGCTTTAGGATGATTGCAAGGGCGAGCGAAAAGGACACCCAGCACATGTTTGGTTCCGAGTCCTCAGTTCGTCACACTCAGTTTGGCATTTGGCTTGTTTAATGCATGAGATTCCCATCATTGGAATCAGGATTGTCTTCAGATACGCAAATACATTCTTTGACACAGAGGTTCCCCCCAAAAGAATTAAAGGACCGGATAACCCCACATGCTATGTTTTTCCCAAGGATGTGAGTTCAAATGTCCACACACATGTACCGTGCGCCCCTTGTATGGATGCGATTACAGAGCACCCAGATGCACAGAATGCAGCGCCTGCCACGACTTCGGCAACGGCATCGCCAAAGTGCTGCGCCTGCCACGATTTCGCAACGGCATCGCCAAAGTGCTGCGCCTGCCACGATTTCGCACACCCCCCGCCGCGCGCGCGACAACATCCTGTCCCTCTAGACAGCTGCCGAATGCGACCCCTGCCACACAAACACACACCCAGATGCACAGAATGCTGCGCCTGCCACGACTTCGGCAACGGCATCGCCAAAGTGCTGCGCCTGCCACGATTTCGCAACGGCATCGCCAAAGTGCTGCGCCTGCCACGATTTCGCACGCCCCCCGCCGCGCGCGCGACAACATCCTGTCCCTCTAGACAGCTGCCGAATGCGACCCCTGCCACACAAACACACACCCAGATGCACAGAATGCTGCGCCTGCCACGACTTCGGCAACGGCATCGCCAAAGTGCTGCGCCTGCCACGATTTCGCAACGGCATCGCCAAAGTGCTGCGCCTGCCACGATTTCGCACACCCCCCGCCGCGCGCGCGACAACATCCTGTCCCTCTAGACAGCTGCCGAATGCGACCCCTGCCACACAAACACACACCCAGATGCACAGAATGCTGCGCCTGCCACGACTTCGGCAACGGCATCGCCAAAGTGCTGCGCCTGCCACGATTTCGCAACGGCATCGCCAAAGTGCTGCGCCTGCCACGATTTCGCACACCCCCCGCCGCGCGCGCGACAACATCCTGTCCCTCTAGACAGCTGCCGAATGCGACCCCTGCCACACAAACACACACCCAGATGCACAGAATGCTGCGCCTGCCACGACTTCGGCAACGGCATCGCCAAAGTGCTGCGCCTGCCACGATTTCGCAACGGCATCGCCAAAGTGCTGCGCCTGCCACGATTTCGCACACCCCCCGCCGCGCGCGCGACAACATCCTGTCCCTCTAGACAGCTGCCGAATGCGACCCCTGCCACACAAACACACACCCAGATGCACAGAATGCTGCGCCTGCCACGACTTCGGCAACGGCATCGCCAAAGTGCTGCGCCTGCCACGATTTCGCAACGGCATCGCCAAAGTGCTGCGCCTGCCACGATTTCGCACACCCCCCGCCGCGCGCGCGACAACATCCTGTCCCTCTAGACAGCTGCCGAATGCGACCCCTGCCACACAAACACACACCCAGATGCACAGAATGCTGCGCCTGCCACGACTTCGGCAACGGCATCGCCAAAGTGCTGCGCCTGCCACGATTTCGCAACGGCATCGCCAAAGTGCTGCGCCTGCCACGATTTCGCACACCCCCCGCCGCGCGCGCGACAACATCCTGTCCCTCTAGACAGCTGCCGAATGCGACCCCTGCCACACAAACACACACCCAGATGCACAGAATGCTGCGCCTGCCACGACTTCGGGAGAGTGAGTGAGTGAGTGAGTGAGTGAGTGAGTGAGTGAGTGAGTGAGTGAGTGAGTGAGACGGAGACGAGCGGGAGAAGGAGGAGACGCGGCGCGCGGACGACGAGCGGAAAAAGTAAGAACCCCACACAAAGATGTGGGGAACAACCAACAAACACATCAAACATCCCAAACCACCTGCCACTTCAACCCAGACACACAGAAACACCGGGGGGCAGTTTGTGGCCAGGGCCTCCCGTTCGCCTTTTTTTTGGGGGGGGCGGCAGGCAGATGGCGCAGCACTGCGACGCCAAGTTGGAGGACATCCGCTCCACAGAGTACAGCCGCTGGGATTTTCGAGTCGACGGAGATGGCGATTCGATTCGATTCGAGTCGGGGGGGGGCTTCCTTCCCTCGAGGTGAAAAGGGGGGGGGTTGTTGAGGGTGGTGCCGCCCTTTTGGTGGAACAAGGATCGACTTGCTGGTAGTGAAGGATGTTTTTTTGTTGAGGTGCCAAGGGGGGGGGATTGTTGAGGGCGCCGGATTCCTCGAGGTTCCCTGCCATGGGTTCAGGGGGGGTGTTTGGTGCCGCCTTGGGTGGAACAATGATCGACCCCTCGTAGTGGATTCCTTTTTGAGGGGGTCGCCCATTTTCGCAGAAAAGGTGGCAAACAGATTTCTGGGTGGGTTTCGAGCTCACGTTGGCGATTCAGGGGGTGTTTTGGCGCATCGGATGCTTCCTTCCCTCGAGGTTCCCGGCCACTGCGGCGAGGTTTGGTTTCCGCACATCTGGGGTTGAGTCGTGTCATGGCCTCCAGACAGCGTTTCAAAGTAGCCAGGTCTTTGCAAAGTCCGGCTCTGACCCAACATCGCCCTCCGGCTTTGCGGACTGTTTCTGGCAAAGAGGGTTGCAACCTGCCAGAGGGCCCTTCTTTTTGTGACTGGTCCCTTCAAAATGCTCCAAATTGCTGCTCCGGAAGCAAGAATCCGCAACCTCCGGTCAGTGGACCCCTGCAGGGCTTGCAGGCCAAAGCCGCCTTTAGCGGTTAGGCGGTTAGATGAAGGCTAGAATTGACCGTCACGCGCCGGTGCCAACGGCCCCGGACTGTTTGGTTCCCCGTTCAACATTGGTCCGCGATGGTACCCCAACTAGCCACTTGTTTCCAGCCACCTTCAGATCGGGCTGCTTTTGGCCTCCCCAGTTGGGTTTGGGGTGGAATTCTTCATTGCTTTGGGTGACGCAGGTGGTTGGCTTTCTTTTGATTTCCAAGAAGGGATTTTGGGGGAGAGCCCCCTTTTCTCCGAAAGCTAGAGGGTTTTATGATAATTGTGTCTTGTTTCTCTTAATTGTGACTCTTTTATCTCCTCCAAGTTTTGGTAGGTACTCTTCCACGGGCCTTCCTTGAAATGACCTAAGCAACCTGCTTCTACTTGAGACGGCCGTGCCGCTGTTTCGGGCGTGCTGCGCCAGAGGCATGCCCTTCCACGTGTCGGCGTGAGGGAGAGGGCGGCGCGCGTTTACCGGGTGTGCGGCCTGGTTTTCGCGGCGTCAGAACTGGGAACATCAGAAGGATGTTTTCTGGAGAAACATGTTTTCGGCAAGGTACTCTTTTGGGCAAGGCATCACAGAAGAAGTTGGTTGCCACGAATTTTTGTTGTGGGACAGAAGGGAAGCAAGATGCCACCAAGCATTTCAGAGTCCCAGACGTTCCCAGTTTTGACACATGTATGTTTCACAGGTGTGGAGAGAAGGCCATTTTGCAAAAGGATACGTCAAGACTGCAGGGTCGCTACCAGATGTTGCTTTGAACCCGATGATGTTTTCTCACTTGAGGTCTTTTTGGAGTTGCTACCCCTTCTCTTTGGTTGAGGGACACCAGCGTGGTTGAGGGACACCAGCAGGAAAGCCGGTTTTGCCAGGTTGGATATTGTGGGAGCCCAACCGAAAAGAAAACACGGCGGACACCAAAAGGAAGGCCGGTTTGCCATGTTGGAACTTGGGTCAAAACCAAATGGGATCCCATTTTGGGGTAGGTGCACCACCCATCTTAGAACCTATTTTAGTGGGGATTGGGATGTTCACTGGGGGTACGATTTGGGTTTTGACCCATGGCCATGTTGGACTTTGGGCCTTCAGAACCACTAGGTTTCCCAGTAGTGCCCTTTTTCACCCCTTTTGGGGGGAGATTCGGTTCCCCTACAAAAGTAGATTTCAGAAAAACCTAATCTGGAGGACCTAGACCACAAAACACGGGCCATGCCGCCAGTTTGCGGTCCGAGGTGATTTTCGGCCTTTTGGCGGCGGATGCCCCAGATGAAGGGAGGGGGGGGATGAGAGGGTGGGGTGGGGGGTGGCGGGCGTGGGGATGGGGGGGGTTGTTGTTTGAGTTGGTGCTCCCCCTTTTTTTTTGATTTTGAAGAAAAGCCAAAAAGGGACACCACGTTTTTCGAGATGGTTCGCCTGTCTTTGGTGGTTTGGACCAACGCCAGAAGAAAGCCACAGCCGATGTTGAGACCGCAGCGAATTCGCATTCCCTGGGTTTAGGACACGAGCGATTCGAGACGGGCTCTTAGAGCCCGCTGATCGAAGCTTTGATCGAAGGGTGAACCATTCTGGTGAGTGGGGGGCCTCGTTTGGCCACAGGTGGTGAATTGTGAGGGTTGGTGGCAACAATTGCCGCAACCAAGCCCTCATTACCTGTATTGCTAGTTTAAAATGGGTTCGGTTCCTGGCTGTTGTCAGAAGGTGAGAGTAAGGCCTAAAAAAGCCAGAGTTTGTTCTGCCTCGCAACCTGCCTTCCAATCGCTTCAAGCAAGTGGGGCCTCGAATAACTTACGACCCATCCACTTACTTCTCGCGAGCCAAAACAAAAGAGTCTCCCCGCCCCACGGGAACAAATCCCTACTTGTTTGTTCTTTTGAAACACTCAGATGTCCAAAGCCGACCTTGTGACGAAGCTTGCGAGGATAGGTTGAATGGCGCTACAAGCAAAGTGATGAAATATCATGCCATCAAAACAGAAATCAAACCTGCACTCAGGGTTGCAGTGTCTCCGTTTTGCCGAGTTGCTCTCAGTAGTCATCTTCGACTTTTGCCCAAATTGCTGGTGCGCACGGCTTGTCCAGGGCCCAGATATTTATTTGGCTGTGGCTCAAAAAAGTGGTACCAAATTGGCACCCTGGTAAATGGAACCAAAAACTAAAACCCGCTTAGCCCCAGCTCTTTAATTTTGAGCCATACCCATTTCCATTATTCTATCCACCTCCGGGCTTTCGCCGCAGGTCTGGAAGTTCCGTCTTTCCAAGCAGCTGGGCAGCCAGGCCGGATGGCTGGAAGGGATCCTGGCCGTTTCCGTTTTTTGGGGATTCTCTGCGGTTCAGTAAACAAGTACGCCGAAGAATGGCGATCTGATTCAAAAAACTGGAGGGGGGGTCCCCTGCACAATTGTTGGTGATCAACCACCCCAGAAACCAGGCCCACCAAGGGGTCCAATTTGGAGTTTGTCAACATGGGTGTGTCTTTTTTGAGGGTGCCTTTTTTGTGGATTTAAAGGGACGGGAGCAGGACACCCACAATTTTTGGGAGTCCACAATTGAAAAAGACACACCCACCTGGTAGGGAAACTGTTGCGATTTTTCGGGGGATCGAACTATGAGAACCACACAGCTGTCTATGGGGTTTGGTGCATCCCGGTTTGCAGTTGGCTTGTTTTGCAGAGAGGGGGAAAAACCCAAGTGGGGAGAACCTCCCCCGTATTCAGGTTCTCCCTTTCGAGACAAACATGCTTACTCTCTGCCTGGCAGGTCTTGAGGAAAGATGCCTTGTGCTCCGTGCCACTCGGCTAAAGCGCAGGCGGTGATCCGTTTTTTTGTATTGTTTTTTTGTTTGGACATGTGGAGCTTGGATGTTCTACCCGAGTTGGCAGGTTCTTAGAGAAGCATGGCTCTAAGTTGGAACCACCTCGAAAACCCCACTGCTTTTGGCCTGGTTGAGCATCCAAGCAAGGGCCAGTGATTTTTTTTGTGGGAATCATGACTGATGCTCGTTGCAGCAACAAAACAACAAACAAAACAGTAACATGGCAGACTTGGTGCCGTTTTTCCGTGCCGTTTTGCTTTCGGTTTTTCGGGCATCTCTTTCACTCAAAGTTCTTCAGGCCGTTTCTCCCCAGTTTTTCGGGAAGTTTGACTCATGCTTCATGTCCTTGGGCCATCCAAAGATAGAGTAGCTGAAGCTCAATGCCAGCCAGTGGGCAAGTTTTGCCAGGGCTAGCAGGTAAATTCCCAGCGAGTGTTGAGGACTTGGGAAGCAGAAGCGGGTTGAGCGCAAATGGGCCGTATGTGGGAAGGCCTCCTTGAGGCAGTCAGCCACCTCACTGAGCTTGTTGAGGTCAGTGGTCTGAGGCTGTGTCTCAGGCTCCTCCGCAAACTTCTCCTTTTCCTTTCCTGCTTGGTCTCAGGAAACTTGGCGGTCCTGGAGGGCTCAGGCTCATGTCTCACAGCTAGGCAGAGTCTAGTCTTTCCGCATAAGCTGCCCATTTTGGGTTCCCTTTTTGAGCCACCGCCCGTTTTTTTGTGTGGTGAATTCTGGGCATTCAGGGACCACTTCCTTTGGGGGTTTGCTCCACCAAAGAGAGCCGCGGCCTACGAAGTGGCCGCTTTGTGTGTTGCAAACTCGGTGCTGGAAATTTGGGAAATTTGGGAGCCGTGGCCGTGATACCGTGGATGGTTGCGAAATCCATTTCGCACCGCCCAAGAAACCCTGGTTTCTGATGATTCCCCTGTAAATGCCAACAAACAATGGTTTCCCATGGTCTCAAAGTGGTGCGAAATGGATTTCGTCCATGTAGAGTAGGAAGGTCGTTTGAAGCATCGCAGATGTTCCCGACCAGACAATAGAAGGGGCTTCTGGCCCCTTAGTTGCTTGCACTTTTTTCAACATGGAAAGACACTTCCATTTTAGGGCACCCCTATTTGAGAACCACTCATCAGTTTTGGGTAGACGTTTTTGCTAGGCTGATTGTCGTTTGGTAGGGATGGTCAGACAGTCCCTTGGCAAAACCGCATTGGCCCTTTGAGTCAGGTTTTGACTCACATATTCCAACCCACCACAAGACCCAGTGAATTTTGAGTGACCCATGAGACTTCCAGATACGACTAGGGTTGAACGGAGCCAAGCGAAACCAGAAGTTTGTCGAAGTTTGATTTATTTGGGTTTCCTTTCAGACCCGTTTACCTATGTGCTTCCATTGGGCCGGTTTGGCTTCCCTGGGTTTCCTTGTCCAATTTCCTGCCCAACGACAGAGGCTGGGCGCAATGCTTGCGCTGATTTGCGCATTTGCGGCCCTCTTGGAGCAGGTGCGGAAGTTCGTCCTACACTCCCTTCGCCCGGGGGAGGGTAGTGGTTTGAACACGAAGCCGCCTTTTCACGAACCGAGTTATATCGAAAAACAACCTTGGGGTCGGGTAACGAAATGTGCACAACCCTGAAAAACCGGGCGACGGAATCCGTTAGCGCTTTCTTCCATGATCAGCCCGCAGATAAGGCTGAAGGTATGAATCACATACGGGGGTTGATCAATATTCCTTGCCAAATGATTGTTTCCTTTGCTTCAGCACGGCTCCATTCATCTGCAATCCATACCATGGCTCAAGCCTGCTTCAAACAGAGCTCTCCGGCCATGGGTTAGGGTTCCTCAGGGTTGGTGACCCTCCCCCCCTTTGCCCCTCCACAGATTCCGTAAATTTGCTTAGCGAGCCTCAACCAAGCCCCTCTCCCCTCCTCCCCCTGGACTAAGGGTGCATAGGTGCCTTAGGGTCCATAGGTTCCTTGGGGTTAGTGAGGGACCAACGCCTTGGACCAAATGGCTGTGGGTCAAAACCAATGCCATTTTGGGGCAGGTGCACCACCCATTTTAGAACCTATTTTAGTGGAGATTGGGACGTTCACCGGGGGTACGGGTTTTTGACTTGCTTTTGACCCCTGGCCAAATGGCTGTAAGCCGCTTTTTTTTTGGGGGGGGAGGGGGCACACAATGGCCGTTTTTTTTTTGGTTCCTTTTTCTTCTTCTTTTGTTTCTTTTGGTGTTCCTTTAAAAAACCAGCCAACCAAGGGGCTCCGTGCGACCCCCCCCCCCCCCGCGCTTCAGGCCATCGAGGGCAACGCCCAGGCCGTGGCCGTGGTCGACGCCACCGCGAGCTTCGGCATCGCGGTGATCCTGCTGTTCGAGGCGGAAATCCGCTCAGAGCTGCGGGCGTTGGTTTTGGCCGGGATGGGCAGCAAAAAAAACACATGCTCATTCCTATGGGGGGAAGGAAGGAAGGAAGGAAGGAAGGAAGAAAGGAAGGAAGGAAGGAAGGAAGGAAGGCCGGGCCCTTTAACACCTAGTTTCCTGAGATGGCGTGGAGGAAGTGAACCAAATCCTGTAGTCTAACACCACTCCCCCTCGTAGGTGTACTTGAACTCCATTTGGTGAAGAATATGTGTCATTTTCCATTTGGTTAAAACCCCTCATTTGGGCTGGGAAACACCAAGTTTAAAGAACCTTAGGAATCATGTGTTCTTATTTTCCCCCGTTGGTTTTAATGGGAATCCATTTGACTGCTGGAGATATTTTTTTTTCCAGGGACTAAAGCAAATGGAGGTTAAGGTGATCTGGTGGTATATTCCCAAAAAACTGCGGTGGATCATGTTGACCCTCAAATTTTGTTTAAGCCCCATTGATGAATTTAGTCCCTTTAGTGGGATTCGTCACTTGCAAATGTCCAGGATGTCCACAGGATGTCTTGGGATGTTGGACGGGGTGTCTTTTTGTAGGGGACCCTCCAACAAAAGTCCAAAAAGGCGTTTGGAGTTTTCAGGTATCCCTTAGTTGGTGCTGTTTATGAGTACGGTGGACCTGGAAATCTCACAGATCAGAATTTCCAGGGTTTATCAGGTATCCCTTAGTTGGTGGTTTGGATCGGAAGTTTGGATTCCCAACCGATAAGCCATAAGCCACCAGTCCAAACCACCAACTGGGGGGATGCTGAGCCTATCAGTATGGGCGTGACTTTCTTTTGAGGGTGCCCATTTTGGGTTGGTTGTAAAAGCAAACCAAAAGAACAGAACTATTTTGTGGGGTCCCCTTTTAAAAGCGCGCACACACACACGCACCCATACGAGGGTGTCCCTCGCTATAGTGGAGATTCAGACCATGGTCAACAGGCCAGATGCTTTGTTGGGCTTTGTAGGGATAGTCATGGACCCTTTGAGTTAGACCATTGTCAGGTTACATAAAAGGAATCATGATGGTCCACATGCAGAGTTTTGACCATGGCACAGATGTGGTCTGATGTGTTTTTGGGGAACTTAAAGGGACACCAAAAGGCTTCATAGTGCAAGTATCCAGGCATGGTTCACTGGGGAGCAGTTTTCCGGGTGGCAACAGCATGGGAATCATTTTGAATTGGGGGTAATCCCTTTGGTGGACATCATACAAAGCAAAACACCTGGTTGGAGTTTTTGCAACAAAGAGCAAGCAATCTTGTGGAGGCTCATATGCGTGTCGTTTTTTGCGAGGGTACCTTCTTTTGGTTGGTTTTGGAGGAAACCAGAAGGACATCGCCCATTTTCGCCGCCAGGGAGTCAGGACGCTGAAGCACAATCTCTGCGACTGGCCAGAGCCTTTGATTCCGCAAAAACTTGTCCCCGAAGCTGTCAGATGGTTTCCACTACCGCCAAACCGAAGCTTTTGACTACCCTAGGGTAGACTTAAACCCAGGGGTGGTTCATTCCCCCCAAAAGGAGACCCCCTGGGTTTGAGGCTATCTTGGGTAGTCAAAAAGTGGAACTCTGAGTGGCAATGTAGTGGCAGTATATCCCATTAAAGCCCTTGGGGGTAGTGGTTTGGGGATAGTCTTTTGTAAGGAGTGGGACGATATGGGTGTGTCTTTTGTAAGAAATCCAGCCAGACTCATATCCGCAGAAATTCGGCCCTGTGAGAACATGTCCCATGGTCAACAGACCGGTTCCTTTCCTTGACGTTCACGTTGCGATGACCATCTGGTAAGGATCCTGAACCAATCGAATGGACCCAACCGGCCAAACAAAGAGAGTTTTGACCATGACATAGGGACCATGCTGGGGGAAGTACTTACTACTTAGGCTACCATTGGACAGTTGGGACCGGAGAGAATTCCCATGCTTGGACACATCCCCTGGGTCTCAACTGACTTTTCCCATGTCCAAAATCGCCCGGCACGCAGGGATTTCAGCTGGCGAGAGACTTTTCGGCTGGTCCATCGGAGGGCTTTGGCACGCGGCACGCCTTTCTGAGGGAGAGCGAACACCGAGAACTCGCCTGATCGAATTTCCCGTATTTTCCCGTGGGATGGGGCTGCAGTGACTTGCAACCCATCCTTCGATCTGTACAGAGGCCAACTTGGTCCACTTGAACCCCCAATTCCCTTCAAACCCTCCCAAATGAGGCAGCACATCGGGGAGCCCATTGACAGGGCGTGGCTTCCGTTACTTGTTTGGGTATCTTTGGCTGACTTCCTGAGTTTCTGGACTTTGTACATTTTGGGAGTACCATCTCAGCGGCATCCACACAAGTTCGGACTTGTTGGCCAATTTGTCAATCCACTCCCGGAGTGAGTTTGTGAGCGGGGGGGTGTTACAGACCTCGTTTTGGGAGCCTGCAGAATGCAGGGTCTCCCGAAAGCGCACCGGGGACAGTCGAAGGCGCTTCAGACTTTTGAGCTCGGAGTTTGCTCATGCAGCAAATGGGAAAAGTTGAGTGGTACTTCTGGAGACACCTGCAGCAAATGGGCATTGGGCATTGCAGGCGCTTTCCGATCATGTTGTTTGATATTTCAGTCGAACATCGAAAAGGTGCTGATGCTTCCCTTTCTCAACGTGATTCAAATGCTGCATATCTTCGCAGGCTTGATGCAAAGTGTGCACCCATCAGAAAGCAAACCTTGTGGTACTTCAATGACGCCAACCCCAGGAAAATGATAGGAGCATGTCTCTTTGGGCTCCTGAAAGGTAACCGGCCTAGTCCTAGTTTTTTTAATGGCCGTCGTTCCTTTGTGCTACATGCGTGTACCGCAGAGTCACGTCTTCTGCTCAATTCTACCAACACTGCGACTGGTCCCCGTCGACCTGTGAAGGCCAGGGTTAAAGCCAGCAGTTGCCATGAACCCAACGACAGGCAAATGAGTTGCTGTCACAAAAAGGGAAACAAGTTCCCGCTGAAGTGGGGGCGACCTTCGGTCTTTTCCAACACCCAGAAACACCCGTGCGTATATGAGCGACTTTTTGGTTCCCCTTTGAAGAACCACGAGAACGAAGAAATCAGAGCGAGCGACGCGAGCATCGCCCAATCGCCCAAACTGCCCTGCAGGTCTGCGGCGTCAGCCGCCTCGATGGTGCGTTTGGTGGCCGTCCTTTGCCTGGCACTGGCGTCCGGCGCACGTTTGCGCGATGTGCGCGAACATCAGGTAGTTCATAATCACCACCCGAGCCAGGAGGCCGCAGGGTTCAAGTGAGAGGCGAGCAACAACAGACTTAGGGGCTTAGAATGATGGAGGGTCCCTTACTTGGGGATTCCCGATTTTCCGTTTGTGAATTATTTGGTAATTTGCGCAGATGAACCCGCCACACGAGTTTATTAGAGATGCATTGGTGGCGTAGGCATTCTCTCATTCTGGTGGAGTGCAGAGGTAGCGGCGTCGTTGTTTGATGCCGTGTTTTAATCCTCGGAGGGTTCGCTACATGTACAGATTGGTTTGGGTACGTGGTGCACGTCAACTTTGTTTGTAGCATTTTGACCAGATACGGAAATTGCAGCTCAAGGGGCCACTACAGATGCTCGAATTCTTGCAAGATTCAAGCATGGGCACTATCGCAAGGTTCACCCGTCCCCACTTGCTTCAAGGCATCCACGACTTGGCATAGGCGGCTTGTGCGGTGTGAGGACCAAAGTGGATGAGGCCCTTGAGCCAGTGGTTGGGATGGAGTTTGTCCATCCACAATACGGTGGATGGACGCACTCCTGCGTTACCTAAGCAACCATGGTTGAAGCCATAACGTTTGTTGGTATTTTTAGGGGAATCAAACCATTCCGTTGGGTGTCTGAACGGTGGTGGCTCGGATGTTGTCCATCCACAAACAGGGAAGAAGGTTCCTTTTTTTTTCAGTGATGGATGAAATTTTTGAGCCAGTGGTGGCTCGGAGTTCGTCCATAGGAAGAAGCACATCCCTGGAGGAAAAACAAACACAGAGAACAAAGAAGCGCGGACCCTGCAAGCGCCCGCGCGAGCAAAAGCTCAAGCGGAAGCCGCAGGCCGTGCAGGAGCTCATGGCGGAGCTGGATGACCTGGTTGGCCTGGGCAAAGTGAAGGCGCGGACGTGATCCAGGTCCAAGGTGTCAGCTCTTGACCCCTTTTTTGGTTGGCAGGGGAGCCCCTACAAAAATGGACTGCAGGAAAAAGTTGGTACCCTTGTTCTAACCTCTCCACTGGAGGACCTAGTGATTCTTCGACTTCTTTAGCCCTTTTTCGGTGGGTTTTAGAGGGAAACCATGAGGAAAACCACTCATTTGGGCTGGAAAACACCAAGCTTCAAGGGGGCTTAAGAATCATTTGTTGTTGTTTTCCCCTGTCGGTTTTAAAGGGAGTCTATCACTATTGCAGGAAAAACACTCTCTTTTTTTTCAGGGGCTCAAGCAGCTAAAAATACAAGCACCAAAACGGAAATACGTGGTTCCGCGTTTTTTTTCTTCTTCTTTGTTTCTTTTAAAGGGAATCCCCAGGGAAAGGCACAATTTGGGAGGGTCCCTTAAAAAGACACACTATGTTGGGAAAACTCGTTTCTGGTTTTCAGAAACGCAATCAAGTAATTGTTATTTATTTTGCAAGCCTGTTTGTTTCATGCGTACCGTTCTGCCCAACTCAAAACATGGCTTGGGCGTATTTCATGGGCATGTTGGACCATGTTGTTGGTTCAACTTGGGTAATGAAATCCGCAAAAGTTCGAACACGAACTCAAACAAAACGTTCAACTCCAAGGTGGTAGTAGAACCCGCTTTTTTTCAGACAAGCGAAATTGCAAAAGGAAGCAACCACCAGCGCAACGAGTTCAACCGGCACTCCCCTCAATTTGCGTGCTTTTTCCCATGTCCAAAATCCCAAGCACTGTCGGTTCAGGGTTGTGGGATCACACACGTTTATCCCCACTTCTGTGATGCCTTTGGGAATCTCCCCCTTTATTGGGGGGGGGGGTAGTCTTTGGGGTTAGGCCTTTCTGTATCACAGATTCGTGGATTCCATTTCAAGCACAGCCCTGATTCGGTTTTGCGACTCCCCCCTCTAACTTGCCTGCTTTTTCCCATGCCCCAAACTCCCGAGTACCGTGGCTGCTTTTGGTTCCGTGCTCGAGTCGGCTTGATTCGAGGCTCAGATGAGGGATTTGTTGGCCACCGTGGAGTTCAATCTGGCGCGCTATCGCCTGAATCTGCCGGAGATCACCGGGCAGTCGCTGCACATGGCGTGCCATGGCCCGGGTAGTCTCGGAGGTCCCGTGCATCTCGGGAAGAAGCCCTCAAAATTTGCGTCCCTTTTTTGGGTGGGTCCCTGCAATATTAAGGGGCACTCGCATTTAGTTGAGAAAGAGGTGGTGGAGTTGAAACCCGGTCCCAGACAGAGTTTCCGAGCCATTCCCTTTTTCTGACCTCCAAAAGTGGCGATCGTGTCAATGGAAATCGGCAGCAAATCGATGATCCAGTGACCCTGCCATTGTTGTTTGGAGGGGTCATAAACTTGTGAGTTGCGGTTTACAGGATGTACAACCCAATATGCAACCAAGTAGAGCCAAGTGCCCCCTTTTGCACTTTGGGCTTCCGAGTCGTTTTCAGCTTTTAGACTTTGGCTGACCTTGGAACAACATTTCGCATCTGTTGGTTTGCTCCCTTAGATCCCTGGCTCAGCTAGGTCCCCCAGCTAGGGGCCCTTTCTCACCCCTTTTTTGGGGGAGGGTTCCCCTATTAAAATAGACTACAGAAAAAGGGTACCCTTATTCTATCCTCTCTACTGCAGGACCTAGTTTTGCTTTTTGGGTGTTCCTCCTTGATTTCCCCCTTTCAACAATTGTAACTTGATCTTCCCTGCACGTCGCTCCTTCACTTCCCTTGCAACCAGCAGCTCAAGTTGTTGCCAGGGATCCCTCTTCCCAATCACGGTCGCATACAGGAAGGTTTGGGGGGAAGCCGCTGTCCACTTTGGCTGGAACCTGGCTTTTGTGGGACATCTAGCCTCGTCTGGTTGCCCTTGCCAACCACCAAGCTCACTTTTTGCAGCTCGGTTGAGCTTGTTTTTGAACAGGCCCCATTCAGCTAAACCGACCATCCGAGTATCCGAGAAGCATTTTAGCCTTCTTTTTCAAGGGCACCCCTTTGTTTTAACGGCAAGCACAGGAAGCACGCCGCCATTTTGCGGGTCGCTTGAATAAAAATACACATTCATTTCGTTGACACAAATGGTTGTGGCCGGTTTCAAGCAAAGACCATCGCTTCCTGCCTTTTCTGCTTGAGTGTTCAATCCACTTAAGTAGGTTATAACCGTACCCCCCCACCCCACCCCCCAAACCCCCCCCCCCCCAACCCCGCCCGCGCAGCGGCCGATCGCCCCAGGTTTTTGGGGAACCCTGGCACGGGTAAGACGGTGGTGGCCCGCCTGGTGGGCCAACTGCTCGTCGCTATGGGCGCCATCTCTGGAGACCACGACGGGCCCATCGTCACGGAGGTGAACGTCGTGAAGCATATACGGTTATTCGTTTTTTTCTCCCTCATGTTTTTTAAACCAAAAGCGGGGGTGCTCGTAGAGGGGGGGGGTACCGGTTTCTTTTTGTTTTTTGTGCGTCTGTGTGTGTGTGTGTGGGGATGTTGGGGGTGAAAGGGAAACCAAGAAGGCAACGTCACCAGTTTGGAGAGGTTTGTTTTTTCCTCCCCCCCCCTAGAAAAGAAGTTGGTTAATTTTGGGCTCAAATTGAAAAGGGGGACCCCTTTTGATTTGCAAGAAGTGTTCAGAATGCAACTTTTCAGTATGAACTTTTAAAGGGAAGCCGCCCCTTGTTCTTTTTGATAAACTAGTAATAGGAACCGCTCACGCAAGGCAACCCTTTGGTTCGACAAAAAAACACGTTCAGAATGGCAACCCTTTAGTTTCAAAGAAAGCAGCGCTGAGATCACAACTTTTGAGCGAGACCTTATGAGCGGAATTTAATGGAGACCCTAAGGACTGGGGACCCTAAGTAGAAAAAGGGGGTAACAAAAAACGCTCACACAAGGCAGCCCTATTGATCTTTGCTAGGGTGGCCCCTGAGAAGCATATCTGGAGGACTTGGCTGGGTACATTTGGTTTAGTATTGAGACATCTAAAATGTGCTGGAAGGTGGTTTATTCTTAGGGGCCCGTTTATTTATGGGAAGAAGTGAAAGACATGACCACACGTTTTTTTTTTTTTTTTTTTTTTTTTTTTTTTGCGGGGGCTCAAGGAAAACCAAAAGGAACACTTTTTTGGAGGTGTCTTCTTTTGCCCCGGGGGGACGTGTTGCCGTTTTTTTTGTTTGCTTTTTGTTTTTTTGAAAGAGGCACACCAACATATCTTTGCCTTCCTAGCAAAAGCTTTGAACTTGCACAGCGGTCTCCCCAATTCAGGTTCCTTCTACTTGTTTTTAAAAAAGTAATTGGCTATGTATTTTGCATGAGGAAAAACCCTTCCACATGTTATCTCATCCAATTTCACACCCGGTATGTTAGTCAAATGAATATATATCATAGACATACAAATGTAAGAGCCAACGTAAATGCATATTTATTCCTGGTGTTGATTGATTTGTTGAATATCTTTCCACCTAAAATGTTTCCGGCGAGCGCATGGTGGAGAAGAAACGTGTTGCCACTTTCTGTGCTAAGGGAACAAGGGACTCCCCCGAAAGTGGTAAGATCGTCATAGGACTGACCGAATGACCCATGTGGGAGGTGAGCCGCGCGGATCTGGTGGGCCAATACAAGGGCGCCACCGCACAAAAGGCCGGACGAGTTGGGACATTTTTTATTATACTTGTTAAACATGGTTCTATCATTTGTCTGTTTTTTCCCCCCAACAGCTGAAAGCTTTGGGGTCTCAGCCCAGATAGGGTTCGGGGTGGTCCAGGGCGGCCCTGAGGTAAGGTTCCACGAGGGTTCCACCAGGGTTGAGGTTCTGCGAGGGCTGCGGGGTGGTGCGAGCACTAAAAAGAGCACCGCATGCTGTTGGGGATATCACCTGAGCTTATTGTTTACAACCATACCCTGAAAACCGCGTTTAAAGGGAAAACTGATGTTAAACAAAATAGGTGCTTCATGTTTAAGCAGGGGACGCAACCCTTCCTCAGATATGTTTGCTTACCTCGTGTTTTGTTCAACCGTCCCCACTTGGAATGGCCAAGGGCTTTTCTAAGGATCGATCAACGGCTCCTTCGGACTGCACTCGGTTTTTGTTGGGGTGCCCAGGAAGTCGGGCGCCACCACGTCGCCCACCAAAAGTTGGACACGTTTAGCTGGGTAAAGCTCCTCCGGGGCAAAGCTCGAGCCAGCTTCGCTGGGCTCCTCTTTGTGCCGCTTAAAGGGTCGGTGTTGCGGAAAGGCTTGCCATTTTTCTGATTCCAGCTGCGAAAGGATTGCGCTTTTGCGGTTTCCAAGCGGGATTTGTGGAAAGTCACATTTTTTTTTCTCCGAGCTCGCCCATTTTGAACTGGAAACCCTTTGAAACTAGCAGAAAACTCCCCAGAGACCCTTCGAAACCTGAAGAATTTTGCCCCCTCTTCCGAGCGCGAGGTGCAGGACGTCTTCGCTGACGCGCAAGGGGGCGTGCTCTTCATCGACGAGGCTTATGCCTTGGTGCAGAGCCCCAGGGACGTCTTTGGAAACTCGGACCGCTCAGTTCCTTAGATCCATGAAACCAGCTACGGGCGACTTGCCCAATATCCACTATAGCTTTTGGTGGCCAAATAGGCAAATGTCCCGTAGAAGGTCCCTTTTTGCTGGTTTCTATGATTAGCACCAGAATTGAGCCACAATCAACAACCGGATAGATGAAGAAGTTTGTTAGAGTTGGATTTGGGAAATGCCCCCTATGAAACAGTTTTTGTTTAAGCGAGATGGAACAATCATGAGTGGAGGGCTGAAGGGACCCCCAAGCTTTCATTTCCAATTGAGCCTCATTCCCAACCCGCCGAAGGTGAGGCTTCCCTTAAGGGATACATGAGGGCCAGTTGAAGCATCACTTGGGTCATTGGGGATCCAACTTGTAAAGTAGCTCTCTTCTCCGGACTCCTGTTTCTTTTGAGACCCCCCGCGCGGGGCTGCTCTTCCACATCTTTTGATTCATGAGAGCGACAGGGAAACCGAGAGCGGTTGGTTCGCCAAGGGAAGGAGGCGGTGGATAGCATCATCAAGCTCATGGAGGATTATCGAGACTCCGTGGTGGTGATCCTTGCAGGCGCCAGGATTTGTTCGGCCCAACGTCTTCTTTTTTTGGATCGTATGGGGGGGGGGGCTCTCTTTTTTTTGGAGTTGCTGAGTTTTTGGCGGTTTTGAAGGGACGCGAAAAGGAAACCAAGCATTTTGGGAGAGACAGACCCATTTCGTAGAGAGATTCGTATTTAACGATGTCACCGAAAGTCCATTGGGACCTGCAGGAAGCTCGGTGGACATATTTTTCCTGAGAGGTCGATTTCTTCCGTTTGGAGTTTGGGACATTGGAAGGGGAAGACGAGCCCGACTTTTTCAATCTCCTCCACAGGCACCAGGGGGAAAGGTCATTTTGGCAACACAACTGGCTTTTGTCTCAGCCCTAGCTCCCCTCCAAGTTCACGTTGAGAGGTGTCAGACGGTATGGTTGAGCCAATGGTTGAACCGACTTTGGATCCAAAAACCTCATTGTCTCCCTTCAAACGGGCCACTGGAACTCGTAGTTTTCCGACCATTCTTCCAAACCCCACGCCCCAAAAAACCACGCGCGCGCACACTCCACGCATTTCCACGCCCCAGGCCCCCAAAAAACCCGTTTAATTCGCTCGCGCGTTTTCGTTTTGAGGGTACAGCACGGAGATGGCCAGCTTTATGGCGGCGAACCCGGGCTTCAAGAGCCGGGTGGCCTTCCAGTTCAGCTTCCAGGCCTGCTCGACTCGGATCGGGCTGGCTGGTGGGAGGGAAGGGAAGGCGTGCCAGGGGGGGTGCCGGGCGAGGCGGAAAGGTCAAAAGTTGGGCGCCCAGAAACGCACGGGGGCAGCATCCCAAGATTTGGATCCTCTTTTCCGGGTCTTGTGCCCGGATTGAGGGGAGGGGGAGGGGGAAGTAAAAAACAACGAGCCTTTGGGGCTAGTTGGGCTGTAAAAGGCGGGATCGCAGCTTGCTTGGTTCATACGACAATGTGCTTGGGGCCGTTTTTTGTTGATTCAGATGCTCGACTTCAGCCGTCCTCAACAACAGGCTTCTACCCGAGGACTCCGGGAACAACATTCGGTTTCCAATGGACCCCTCCGAATGAAAACACAAGAGCAAGCAACCACGAAACGCCAAAAACCAAATAAGGATCGGCGCCTCTTTCGGGATGGGGAAGACCGAATCCCGAAAAGACCGAGGCATTTTGTGCGAAGCGATGGCAGTATTTCGCCACGTGGGGTTTGTCTCAACATTTGGCAGCCCCCCTGAATTCGGGTTCCCTTTACCTTCAAGCAGGGGTGGTTTTCCTGATTGCCCTTCGGACAAGCTTCAAACAGCGGAAAATCGAGCATCCGTCGATTTTCAGAGATACTCCCATGCCCATGTGGGAGGATTCCACTGGGTAGGTGTTTTTCTAGGGCCGGGTGACCGGGTGACCCCACAAACGGTGTTTCTGTGGGCGATCAGATAGGCCTGGGAGAAAATGAAACCATCAGGATATGGACCGCACGTTCTAGTTCTTTCCATTCGGGCAGGCCATTTGGTTTCCCTACTCTTGTTTCAGCCTGTCTTCATTTCCCGTTGGGCACTTGTCACCTTTAGGGTTGCCCTATCTATTTTTGATCCCCGCCTGGGGTTCCCACCAGAGGCAAGTCAGAATTTGAGGGTCACCACCGCCGGCCGGCCAGGACTACACCTGCTCGGAGCTTCTGCAGATTGGCAGTTTGCAGCTGGCGTCCAAGGGCCTGGTCACTTCCTTCCAGGGCTCCTGCCAGGAGGAGGGCGCTTCAAGGGAGTTGTCGGGAAGCAGCGGTTGAAAACTCCCCAAAGGGATTTGGACTGAGGTGTTTGGGTGCTGTTTTGATCAAAAACCGGCCAGATGCCTGAGGAGTGTGCCCTGCCCTCAAGGAACCTTGCCCAGACCGGGCATCGGATTGACCTCATGTCGCGGTTGGGGGAGAAGTGGGCCAAAGAGGAACAGTCGCGCCCGCTGCTCCTAGTCACAGAACTGCGCCTGTGACGTGGCTTGTCACGTTTGTGGGTCAGTTTAATTATTATTTTTTCACGTAGATGGCGCTGGTTTCAAGCATTTACCCGCGAAATCCATCCATCTTCCCACCGGGGCCTGGTCCGACGGGCGCGAAATTTCGCGCGAACGCGCCGATGTCTCGTCAGGAGCCTTCTGCCTCTTGCACCTGGCTACGTCGGGGGATCCAACTCGGCACTGGCTGCTGCGAGCGCGCGGATTGCGACAAGGCGGCCGGGAAAACCATGAGGGACCCCCCCATTTTTATTTTTTTTTGGCCGCCTTCTTTTTGCGTGTAACCAGCCCCCAAAACGGGCGTGCCGCTTTTTTGGGCCACTTCTTTTTGTGTAATCAGCCCCTAGCTGGGACAGACCTTTGATGGTTTGTGAGCCAAATAGGGAGTTAGTGTACTTACCAGAGTGTGCAATGTACCCCTCCCGAAAGCGGGGAGGCGCTGTTCCAAGCATCTTCGACACCCGCAAGAACAATTCAGCGGGTAGTACCAAGACTTTTGATATGTTGGCAGCTAGCTGGCCAAGCACCTTCAGGGTCATCTGGCATCTCTGATGCGAAATATTTTTTTTCAGGTTCGCGCATGGACTTCGGCTGGCAAACGTCTGGATTTCTGCGGGCAAAGCTGAGGTAGAACATGAGCTTCGCCATTTTTGTGTGGCACCCCTTGGTGTGTCAAACTCAGCACCCCTTCTTTTGGGGAGTTGGCAGGAGGAGAACCGGGCCAACGGCAACGGCCGAAGTGTGCGGAATCTCCTTGAGGCGTCGTGGCCTTGCTGCACAGAGCAAGAAGTGTCTGGTCCTTTGGCACCTTTTCTCAAGGGACTTTCTGTTTGAGGCTCGGTCCTTTTTTGAAAGTAAAAGGAACGCCACAATGTTTGTTGGGACCCCCTTAAGACAACAGGTTCATCCATGTCGAAAACGTACAGCAAAGATGAGCAGCTCTTGCTAGAACTTGCCAGGGTGTGTCTTTCCTCAGGTTGAACACGCACAAACTGGGAGGGTTTTCTGTTTGGTGCCTCTCCCAAACCACCAAAAAATGTGGGTACGCCTCAAAAAAGGCACACCCTTTTGGGATTCTGCCGACATCGTTTGGTCAAGGTACCGGGAAATGTCCAGCCGCGTTCTGACACAGTATCCTCCGCTGCTGCTGACCTTGTACGTCGGGCACTGAGAAAACTGGCTCGAGCCCCGCCCAGTTGAACCTCTGAGACACTCTTGAGTTGGATGTGTCCCAAAGTTGGACACCCAGTTGGATTTTTTTGGGGGTCCTAATTCCAGCCTAGGAAAAAGGTTGGCAGCGCAAGTGGTAGGGCCCTTCCCCGAAATCCCAAAGGCTAGTCCGGACCTTCCCCAGCGCCGGATTTGGAGCTACCAGGAGTCTCACATTGGAGGAGGAGATGGGGTGTGTCCCGTTTTTTCGGGGGGACCCCCGAAATTTCCCGTTAAAAGCCACACGAATGGAGTCCCCTGAGCCAAGACACAACCATATGAGCCACAACCAACGGGTAGATGAAGGATGACAAATCCCAGTTATAAATGGGTGCGGCCGCCTTGCTAGTTCTTTGCTTGGTTCTGGGTAGACCATTAAAAAACCAGGTCTTGATTGTGACTCATATATTGACGACCTGGAGGACCATTTCAGTGGTACATGGCCAATCTACTCGGGGAGGCGTTTTGTGCCTAGACACGTCCAATCAATTGGAACCCATCCCAATTAGTGACCTTAGTTTTTGGTAAGCCTCGCTGTTCGCTGAGGACGCGATGCACCATCCCAACGTGTCCAACGACAGGCCAAATCCCCCACTCGACTGCGGGACCAAGTACGAAGCCATCCGAGGAACAGGTATCTTGTCTCGCACCGAATTTGGCTGGCCAGAAACATAGGCTTGTCACCCAAGAAAATCAAAGAGCACTTCCCCTTTTTCTTTGGGTTGCAAAAGTCCGTACCTGCCTCGCATTGCCGGATTCCTCATTGGCCGAGTGTCCTTCGGCAGCGCTCTGTTTCACTGAACGAAAGCCATGACATCAACCATCAAGAGCCGGAAGGGTGTGTCTTCTTTTTCTGGACTCCCCAGACTGGGTGGGTTTTCCTGCTCCCCTTATCTTACCTCTTAAAAATACAACTTTTCAACTTTTTGGGGGTAACATGGGCTATATCTTAACTTCCCCAGGGCTTGGAGTTTTAAGGGGTAAGTTATAAACCACAGAGGCGGGGGCCACCCCCGAAAAAGTTGAGCCGCACCTTGGCCGGTCAGCCCTTGGAGCTTTGGACTGTCGAGGCACCTACTTGAAGCTGGAGGCAGCTCGGCGCAGTCAGAGCTTCCCGCAGCCAAATGGCGGTGGTTGTCGATCCCATTTGGGGGTAGGTGAATTCACCACCCATTTTAGAACCTATTTGAGTGGGGATTGGGATGTTCACTGGGGGTACTGGATGTTGACCCACAGTGAAATGAGCCTGTGCGAGTCTGAAATCACTTCCTGGGTAGGGCGACCGAAGGGAAGCTTTGAGTCACAATCAAAACGCGGGTAATTGGAGGGTAGCAAGGGACAGTCCCACCCAGAGATGGGTGCGGCCGCCTTGCTAATTGTTACCTTTGAGTCAAACCTACAAAACTCAACGAGGGGCCCTATTTGAGGGGCCGTTTGATTTAGAGGTTGTACGTTTCCATTTGGCTGTGGCTCAAAAAACTGGTACCAAAATGGAACCCTGGTAAGTGGAAACATGGACCAAAACCTGCGTAACCCCTCCTGTTTAATTTTGAGCCACACCCATTTTTGGTGACTCAAAGGGGCCTTGGTTTTTTCCCTTGATTCGCTTCAGGGCTTTCATTCACTTGTGTGTGTGTGTGTGCTTTTTTGAGGGTGTGCTCTTCACCTGGGTATGGAAACAACAGGACACCCAAAATCGCTGGGCCCCCCACCCAAAGAGAAAGACACACAGGACACTCAGGACACCCAAGATCGTTGGGCAACCCCCCCCCCCCCAAAAAAAAAATACCAACAACAACAACAATGACACAGTGACACACATACACATATATACACATAAAAATATATATACATATACCCACCCACACACACACATACACACCCGTTTTTTCCCATTGATTCCTCTTTTTATCGCGAACTGAGGACACTGGCGGCGCCGACGTACGTTGTGCATTCAAGCTGCTCGAAGCAGGCGCCCGGAAGAAAGGAACCGCTTCGCCGGAAAGACGGGTGTCGTCTTTTTTAAGGGGAAGCTCAAAAGGACACCCACCATTTTGGGGGGACCCTCCAAAAAACGAGACGCCCAAGTATGGAACAATTGTGCCTACCTGCGCTGGGAGTTCCAAGCATCACAGGTTCGCTGAACAGAACTGGTCGGTCTATGGTTCATTTGCGAGAATGAAACTTTACACCCAGGCGTTTCCCTTGCGACATCACCCCCTGGGCAATCAAACATGAAGCCCGAACCTGTACTGCTATTGTGTTGGATCTGTAGACTTCAAATTATGTCAATGGATGAAAGCGAATCAATGAATGTAGAGAGTAGCAGAGGGAAACAAGAAAAACGATTAGGAAATGAAGACCCCGAAGATGCAAGACCAGAAGCGAATTTTGGATACCACTCATATTTTCTTTCAATCTGCAAGAAGCAAGCATAACAATCCTTTTGTGGGATCTACAGCACCCAAGCGACTGGGTGCTCCATGGACTTCTTGTTTTTTCTTCTCCGAGGCGACGTGCGGCGCTCCGCCGTGGCCATGCTGACGCAGCTGCTCCGCGGCAGCTGCGAGGCCAGCAAGACGCCGGTCACGGCGCCGCGGTCCAGCGGGGGTTTTGGGTGTGGCCATAAATGTCTTTTTAGGTGAGCCCGGATAGAAATAGATGGCACTAGATAGGGTTTTGTTCCATTTACCAGTGCCATCTATTTATTTTTCCAAAAGGCCACCTATGGGTGGGTGCGGTTCGGGTGGAATTGGGGGGGGGGGGGGTCAAGTCTAGGGGTTATCAACGTCAGGAAGTGGGGTTGTTTCTATTACCCTATCACTTAGGGGGTGACTTTGACAATGGCAAAATCATGGGGCCGGTCATTTGTGGTAGCTTGAAAGGAAACCAACAGGTTGGAACCAAAGGGAAGCCACCTGCTCAGAACAAAACCCATTTGAGCCACTTGCTCGGCGGGTCATTTTGTTGTGGCTGGAAAGGAAACCAACACATTGGAACCAAAGCGAAGCCACCTTCTCAGAACAAAACCCATTTTGCTCAAACCCGAGTAAATGAAGATTAGTAATTACGGGGTGAGTGTTGATTCTTCACATGGCTCTGGCTGAGCCGTTTTAATACCGGTTTTTGATTATGGGCTCATTTGTTGTGGCTTGAAAGGAAAGCAACAAAGGAACCCACGCATTCGGGTGTATCCCTAATTGACCCAGATCCATGTGGAAATCCCTCCTGTTCGGGCACCCTCCAAAACAGGGATGTACCCATGTTGCGCCCAGGTGAGCCGGACGCAAACTTCCCGGTAGGTGAAAGGGACCACTGGCAGAAAGAGGTGCGGATACAAAGCTTGGTGGCTCCCAGCCATCCGGTTCCTTAGCCTTTTAGCCTTTTAGTGTTTAGTGGTAGCTTCCACTTGACACCACTAAAAGGTAAACTTTTAGCTGGGGATCGGAAAACGGGCAGCCCAGAAAGAACTGGCCTTTCGGTTCCTTGCCCTGGGCCACTTGTCTATTGAGGCCACTTGCAACCACTTTCTACGGAATCTGGGGCATCCTATAGGCTCCGGAGCTTGTCTGGGCAGAGACCCCAACGGCAGAACCAACATCCTGAAGTCATGTGCACGGAGCCTCAAACACAGGGCGCCCCTCTTTGGCTGGCTGGTTGGTTGGTTGGTTGGTTGCTTGGTTGGTTGGTTGGTTGGTTAGTTGGTTGTCAAACGGGAACCAAAAAGACTCAACAGCGTCGCTCCAAAATCACGTGAATGTTCGCTTTGCGTCTAGTGCCCCAAATATATACCCCCAGACAGCAACATGGGATACGTATGATGTGGGTACTCCTCAAAATTGTGAGTCCCTTAGGTGCAAAAGATTGTGGGACACCATTGAGCGGCTTCTGGCTGGGTTTCTGCAAGGGGTCCCAGGGGTTGTTGGGGATACCACCTGGGCTTATTTTGAATCACCCCTCTTTTGGACGATCGCAAACGGAGAGGATCCCTTGTTTTGACAATTGATTTCGCCGGCACTTCTTTTGTCGTCCAAAGCGTCAGGTGTTCACTTGAACCTTTGCAACCTCTTCGGTTGCACCCAAGGTGAACATGACGCTCTTGGCCGAGGATGATGTGCTGGTTGCATACTCAGCTTTCTCAGGTTTGTGCGGGGGCGGGTTCCCGCCCCGGCGAGTAAGGAGAAGCTTGACTGGGAGCGGCTTCATGATTTGCTTCTCCAAGAGAAGGATTGCGCCGGGGCGCAGGCGGGATGTGTTTCGTGCAGCCTCTGCTCCCCCCAACTCCCTCTCAGGCGCTGCTGAATTACCACACCTCTCACTCGCTCATGCAACGATGGTCTGAGGAGCGACTGGAGACTGAGCGCTTGGGAATCCGCTCTCGCAATGGACTGGTAGAAACGTCGTTTGAAGCAACCCATTTGTTGCATTGATCTGGGAATCCGCTTGTTGGGTTCTAATCAGCAACTTCCAGCTGAAAATCCAAAGTACAAGCATATTTGGTTTGCATCCGAAAGGAACCTATTTGTTACAAGTCGGTCAGTTGCCAGCAGCACCCATTGAACGGGTGTGTGCCGAACGTGGGCCGGCAAACAAACGAGACAGGAGGGTTTGCCCATTGACTGACTCTGTGGTTGCCCATTGACGTGCCCTGGCTCCCTTCGCGCCAGAGTTAGGCCAACCACCCGGTTTGGACAGAATTGCCAGATTGGGAGGGACATGGGGGGACTCACTCCATTGACGTCCATGGTCTAGTTGTTGCAACCCCCTTCACCAGGAAGATCGGGAGGACCATGAGCCTGAATGGGGCTGGGGTTTTGTGCCGGAGTCTGCCATGAAGTGCGACTTTGCTGCACTTAAGGACTAGTTGCCTTGGTTGCACTTTTTTTTGTAGGGGAACCGAAAGAACCCAACTATTTCGGGGGGTCCACATATTATATATATATACAATATAGCATTACAGAGCTGGCGGATCTCCGGTTTCCTCCTTTAGGGCTGGTGCCAAACCGCACTTGGCGAACGTAAGAGTTCTTGTGGGCTGATGTTTTGCGTTTCACAATCTTGTGGTTTGCTTTTTCTTGGTGTTCTCTTCATTTTCAGTGGGAGGCTGCCAGCCCAAAACTTGAGTTTCTTGCCAGCCCATACTAAGGGTTGTAAGAAGTTCAGCTCACTTTTTGGGTTCCTGGACTTTGACCTTTTTGGAAAGACACATGGCCATGGGTCAAAACCAATGGGATCCCATTTTGGGGTAGGTGAATTCACCACCCATTTTAGAACCTATTTTAGTGGGGATTGGGATGTTCACTGGGGGTACGATTTGAGTTTTGACCCATGGCCACATTTCGCGGCAAATACAAAGTTCGGCTACTTTTTGTGGCCAATTCATGCAGGAAGTGAGTCAGAAACGAAGCTGCAGCTCAGAGAGAACTGAGAGCTGGCACGCCTCAGGTGATGTGAAGTCCTCCTGCAAGGTTTGCTCCTACGCCGGTTCCTCAAAGCTCGCAGGCTGCGTCAGCTGGACCCATGTTGGAAGTGTGTCGTTTGAAGGGGACCCCGCAACATGGCTGCGGGTGTCCTGATTGGCTTTCCCTTTAAAGCCAAGGGTACCAACTGAACTCCTAGACATTTGTTTAGATACCAACTGAACTCCTAGACTCTATTTTTTAGATACCAACTGAACAGTGCTGGGGATTTGGAGCTTTCGGGCAGTTATCCCCAACAGCCACAAAATGGGGGGGGGGTTCCTCTTTAAAGCAACTCAACAAAGGGGTACAGAGTCCACAAAAAGATGGCAGACCCATTTCTCCTCCTCGACTCTTAGGTGGCAGAGAAGTTCGAGAACGTGGAGCCCGGGGAGTTTCCCGGCTGGAAGACCTACGACGACTTGTGCGGGGTCTTTCTGATTGGAAATCTCAGCGACCAGTTCGACAAGAGCCTGGGTCTCAGAAAGCGCGAGAAGTTATGCACGATGGCCGTTTCTTTCTTTCTTTCTTTCTTTCTTTCTTTCTTTCTTTCTTTCTTTTTTCCTTTCTTTCTTCCTTCCTGTCTTCCTTCCTTTCTTTCTTTCTTTCTTTGTTTGTTTGTTTCTTTCTTTTTTTCTTTCTTTCTTTCTTTCTTTCTTTTCTTTGGAACACTTTTTCTAGGGAAGAGGAACACCACCATCGGGTCTTTTTTTGGGAGGCAATGATTTGATTCAGAGCCGAGCTGCGAGAAGGGGCTGCCAACAGCCAGATCCTGGCCCACGTCATTGGGGAACCAAAAGGCGGTGATTGATCTGGCTGTGGGTCAAAAATAGACTAACCCCAAAATGGAACCCTAGTAAATGGAAACATGGACTAAAACCTGCAATCCCCTAATGGTTTAATTTTGAAAATCTAGTGGTTTAGACACGCACACAAACCAAGATAAGAATAAAGAAAGCAAGGGGTCGGCCCGAGCCTGCATGCTCCCCTTGCAAGTTGCTCATTGACAATTCGGAGCTTCTTCGCCGACCGCGAGGCTGTGCGGATGCATGTTGGGGCTACTCTGATCATATCTTCGCGCTGCTGCAGAAGGGCGCGCCCTTCACTTGCTCGGACATTGTGATGTACGAGTGTCCCCAGGATCTTGGGTTCGGGCGCTCGTATACGGGTGCTGGGGGGGGCGTTTCGTGGGGGAATTGCCCCCAGAAACGGGATCTTTTTCTTGGGATGAGTTGAGAGACACAGGAAACGACCCGCCAAAGGGGAGCTTGTTTCAGGAAACACCCCATGTACAATGAGTTGACACCCTGGTTTCTTTTTCATCAGAGTCCCTTCTCCGTCCGAGCCTTTCCTGGTGGTCTGGCCGGTCACGGAATCAAACACAAGGAAGCCTTCCTTCCAGACGATTTTTATTTTCCCCTGTTGGTTTTTAAAGGGAATCTATCACTACTGGACATATGTCTATTTTCCCAGACAACTTAAGCAAGTGGAGGCTTCAGTTGGATGCTTCACTCTTGCCGATGGTTCGTTTTCACCCTGGGATGGTTCGATCTCCTCCCAGGCGAACCGTCAGGAGGGTCACCCAAGTTGGGGAGTGCGATTTCCCGCCCATAGCAACCATGGGTGGTGCTTTTTGGTTGTTTTGGCAGAAAAAAGATCGATGGTGCCCTGGTTTGCCTGGTTTAATCAAGTTTCATTGTTGTACCAGGGCCATCTGTTGCCCCTAAAAGGGACACCTATAGCAACATGCAGAGCCCTCCCTCGTCTCTCTCTCTCTCTCTCTCTCTCTCTCTCTCTCTCTCTCTCTCTCTCTCTCTCTCTGTCAAACTACATGCTTCACTTTGCACTCTTGTTGCATGTATGTTCACTACCGCAGGCCTTGAGCTTACTACTCCGCATGAGTCAAAAGGTTGGCAGCTGCAGACTACATTGGTTGACTGTTTGTTTGAACACTACAGCACTTGCACTTGTAAGCAAAGTAACAACTGATTTTAACGTGGTAGCGGAGCTGAGATCCTAAACATAGGGGAGCTCCAGTAAGCAGTAAGTACTACAACCACAGCAACAGCAGCTACATGCCAAACTGCTACGACATGTCAGGAGAAGCAGCATCAGCCTCAGCACAACAAACTACAGGAGCAGAGAACGGGCCAACAGCAGACACAGTAGGAGCCACGACTACGGGAGCAGCAACAGAACAAGACAACGACGTTCAGAGACTACATAGATACAAACTGCCACCACCCTTCTTCACTGGTGACTACTCCCAGTATGAAGAATGGCTGTTCAAGCTACAAGCATACCTCGGCCTCATAGACCGAGACTTCGACCTGGTGCTACAACTAGCACAAGTGGCTACACGACAGATTGAGGACACAGACATCAGAACACACATACTCGACGCTACACAAGCAAGCAAAGCAGTAGACCTCTCCAGAGATCTACACTACATCCTCATCAACATCTGTCAGGGAGCAGCAGCTACAGTAGTAAGGCAAAACCGCTACAACGCAAACGGATGTGAAACACTACGACTACTACACAACAGGTTCAGCCTACCAGTAGGAACAAGGAGCGTTGGTTACCTTACCAAACTACTGGAACCCACATTCAACGAAGCGCAGTTTGAAGAACAATTTCTACAATGGGAATACGACATCAACCGCTACGAGAAAGACAATGGAACAGCACTACCAGATGGAATCAAAATAGCAATACTACTCAACAAAACCAAAGGAGCACTGCAGCAACACCTCCAACTGCGAGCTGGACAGATCACGAACTACATCGAGATCAGAGCACTCATCCTGGACTACTACAAAACGATTTCAGCCTTCACTAGATCTACTTCAGCAGTAGGAACAAACTACAATGGAGGAACTGCACCAATGGATGTTGACAACATATGGAGGAAAGGAAGAAGCTACAAAGGCAAAGGAAAAGGAAAAGGCGGCTACAAAGGAAGCAAGAGCAAAGGCAAGTACAGGAGTAAAGGACACTGCAAAGGATTCGACAAAGGCAGCAAAGGAAACTACAACAAAGGAGGATACAACAAGAGCAAAGGAAAAGGCTACTCAGGATCCAAAGGATATTACAAAGGTCAAGGAAACTACAGCAAATGGAAAGGAAAAGGAAACAACAACTACACAACATGCCATCGATGTGGCAAGCCCGGCCACTGGGCGCAAGACTGCAGAGTGCCGGTATGGCACATAGGAGAAGGAGAAGAACTACATCCACTAGAACCAGAACAAGTAGATCACGACAACAATGATGAACTACCTCAGGATGTGAACGACACTTGGGACTGGTACTACGAAGGAGAAGAAGGACAACATGAGGTGAACTACATGGAGGAGAACTGGAACGACTACGACTATGACAACAGCTGGGATTGGAATGACAACAGCTATGAGGACACAGCGAACTACATTGGAGGCATCAACGAGTCACACCTCACCATTGGACACATCAGACAAGCAAAATCACGACTACACAAGCACAAATCCAAATCACTACTTGGCAAGAGAACAACACACACAACATCATGGAACGACCACAGCAAGAGCTTTCAACAATTCCTACAAGAAGACACCACAAAGCTACACTTCGACATAGCAGCAGCAAGACAACAACAAAGGAACAAGAAGATTGAGGACACTATCACCCACTACATCATGTACTCCAACTTCAAGTCATACCACCACCTGTTGATCGACTCAGGAGCATCTACACATGTTTGCCCAAAGGACTACGCACCGGATCTTCCACTACGACCCTGTGGAGAATCAGTTCCACAACTCTACACGGTGACCAACAAGAAGATTCCAGTCTACGGCATCAAGTACGTTCCCTACAAGCAGGACAACTTCCCTACTACGTTTGTGATGTGAAGTATCCAATCCTCAGCGCATCAAGACTACTTGATAGAGGATATGGACTTGACTTCACTCCACGACACTGCACCATCACACATGGACAACAACAAGCGCACCTCATAAGACACTCAGGACTTTTCTACCTACGAGCAGAGAAGATCGACATCCCCACAGGATTCGACATCTTCCCAATGACTACAGACAATGGAAAATCCATTGCTGTGATTCAACCTACAGAGAAAGCAGTACAACAACACGAACAAATCGCACCACTCACACACACAGACCAAGGACTACGACAGATCCTTGGTGGAAACACTGACTACTGGAAACTTGATGGTGACTACGCCATAGAGTACACAAACGACCACGCAAAGCACTGTTCACACCACACAACAGTGGCTGCCCAATACCAGAAGGAGAACTTGATGATTGGAGACTAACCATCATCAACAGACAAGGGCAAGAGCAAGAACAACTACAAGAGAACCCAACACAACTTTCCAAGCAAGAACTACAACGAAGACTAGAAGGTGACAACTGGACTGGAGAAACCAGATTCAGAAGAAAGATAACACCTACACGCAGAGCAACATCAAAGACCACACCAACAAGGCAGAGCTCACAACCACAACGGCTAATGGACACACCACCAACCAGATCAAAGATCCAATTACGAGCACCACAAAAGATATGGAGACCTAAAGCAGCACCCTCTACAAACCTTGACACCACACAACCAAAGGAGACAATACACAGACAACTCACAGCACAGGAGATGGACCAGGGCAACCACCAATCAACACACTTGAACCTCACAGAACTACAATCACTCACAACAACTTTGGAGAAGTTTCGCAACGCAAAGATGACTGGACAGTCATGGGCAAGGCAGCACTACCATTTCAATGGAAAGGAACAACAAGGTTTACCGTGAAGAAAGACTACGAGTACATCCAGGAGAACCACGATGAAGAACAACAACACGAGCATCATGAAGCACACAGAGCAAGAGGACTACGACAACCACAGCAGCCCACTCCACAACAAATAGCAGAACACAACCTTACACATCTACCATACAGAAACTGGTGTCCAATTTGCGTTCAAGGCAAAGGACGCCAAGACAACTACAAGAAACAACAATCACGACAACCTGTCATTCAAGTAGACTTTGCCTACATCAAGTCACAACAAGACCCAAAGACCACACCGGTACTGACAGCAGTTGATGTTACTACACAACTGTGTATGGCAGTATTGGTTCCAGACAAATCATCAATGATGGACTACATGGTCAACAACCTACAAGCATTCATCTTTGAGTGCGGAAGAACACAAGGCATACTACAAAGCGACAACGAAGACACACTCAACGCACTTCTAAAAGCTACAGCAGCAAAAGTCGGCACAATGAGTGTACGACATTCACCTTCCTACAGCAGCAACAGTCAAGGAAGCGTTGAGCGACTACATAGAACACTTCTCGGACAAATCCGCGTCGTCAAAGCTCAGGTTGAAAGCAACTACAGCATGACGATGTCCACAAAGCACTGTCTACTACCTTGGATAGTACGACATGCAGCATGGACGGTAAATCGCTACGTCATTCACTCAGACGGCTACACAAGCTTTGAACGCCGCTGGGGAAGAAACTACGAGCGAGCAATCTGCGAATTTGGCGAGACACTACTTTACCTTCCACCACAACACAAGAAACTTCCGAAAGCAGACCTACGGATGCAGAAATGCATCTGGCTCGGAAAAGTTTCCGAAACCGGAGAAAACTACGTCGCAACGGAATCAGGCGTACAAAAGGTACGAACAGTACGGAGACTACAACCGGACTTCAAATACGACCTCGCACTGTTGAACAAAGTTTCCGGCACACCATGGGCACCACGACGGAACACCTACAACCCATCGTTCGCAACACTGTTGGATACGCAACTACAACCGTCAGAGAAAAGAAGGTCCACGCAAGATTTCGGACAACAAACGAACGCTACGGACGACATCGTTGCGGAACCCGCAACAAAACAACAACGCACTACACCACCTCCACGACTTCCGTCCACATCGACGTCAAGTTCACGACCACTACCGGATAGTCCTATGGCTACTTCACCAACCGGACGACAACATCCACCACTACCAGCACCACCTCGACAAACACTACGACGTTTAACTCCGGAAGAAGTAATGCAACCAACTAAAGCACAGAAGACCTCAAAGGACACTACAATCAGATCAACGGAGCAAGCAACCAAAGAACCACCACCACTACGACAGAAAATCATCGCAGTGACACTTCCCAACGGAAAATCCATCAATGAAACACGAGTCAAACCAAATGAAACTTCACGACGTCTACGACGAAGTAGATGCGTCTACCGTCAACGACAACGTCATCAGAGAAGCGATACCTACAAGATGGGTACACAGAAAGAAAGGACCAGGAGTACGAAGCCGAATCGTCGCAAAAGGCTACACCGAGAAGATCGAGGACGAAGACTCCATCTACGCCTCTACACCAATGTTCACGACACTCCGGACACTTCTCGCACTACAAATGTCACGACCAAACTGGATCGCGCGACTAGGTGACGTCTCTACAGCATTTCTACACGCACCCATCGCAAAAGACCACGACGGTAAACAACGTGACGTCTACCTTTGGCCACCTAAAGAACTTTGTCCACAACAGGACAAAATCTGGCGACTAAAGAAAGCCATGTATGGACTACGCAGTTCACCGAAAGCATGGCAGGACTACCTGGCTGAAGTTCTACAAAAGCTCAGCTTTGTAAGACTAAAGTCAGAACCCAACGTCTACACCAATGCGACTCGCGACTGCTACATCATGGTCTACGTGGACGATCTACTAGTACTTGGAGACAAGACCGCAGTCGACTCCACTTTCGAGGCCGTCCAGAAGCAGGTACTACTCAAGCACATCGGCTACCTCGAACCTGGCAAACCACAACAATTTCTTGGAAGAAACATCGACCACTTCGGCAACTACTGCAATCTTGGACTAAAGGACTCCTACATCGACAACATGATCGAGGAGTCTGGAATGAACAACTGCAACTCAGTGAACACTCCAGGAATTGCACACTACAAACCAACAATAGAAGATGAAGCACTACTTGACCACGAACAACACAAAAGGTACAGAAGAATTGTTGGCAAACTTCAATGGTTAGCATACACACGACCAGACATTGCATACTCCACAAAAGAACTAGCACGAGACCTCACAGCACCTACAGAACTTTCACAAAAGAGAGTCAAACATCTACTACGCTACTTGCACGGCACCAAGCACTACAAATTCACCATAGAACCAACAACAACACTCAGAGCAAACACCAACAACATCCTGGATCTCGACGTTCATGTCGATGCCGACTGGGCAGGATGCCCTACTACCAGGAAATCAACTTCAGGTTTCAACATCATCTTTCTAGGAACAACAGTTGCATTTGGCAGCAGAACACAAGCTACAATAGCACTTAGCTCAGCAGAGTCTGAACTCTACGCCATTTGCACAGGAGTTAATGAGGGACTACACCTCAGAAACTTCCTACTTGAAACCAACATTTGCAGCAAGCTAAACCTACGCATCCACACAGACTCCACAGCAGGCAAGAGCATTGCTACACGACAAGGCACTAGCAAACGAGCAAAACACATCGACCTCAAATTCCTCTACACACAAGACCTCATCAAGCACGACATCATCAGAATCCTTAAGATCAACACACTCCACAACAGCGCAGATTTGTTTACCAAATACATCAGCAAAGAAACACTACACAGGCTCATCCAGAGCATTGGAATACGCATCTAGCACTACGAACGACCAGCGCAGCAGTTTCACAACAACAACAACGACTTTGGACATTTCATGTATGTAAGTAGCTACATGTAACACGACACTTTTGGTATGTAAGTAACAGTAACTACATGTACTTTCACTTGCACTTTTGGCGGCTTGAGTCAACACTACAGTTGTTTGTTTTACATGTCTGCATTCGCCGACTGCCTGGTAGCAACTACTTAGGCTCATTTGTTTTGCCCCGTTTCACTACATTTTGCATTCCACTGCAGCCATGGCCGCTCCATCTACTGCAGATGCTACGATGGGAGACGCCACTACGCCCGACAGGGCGACTACACCTGAGGTGGCGGTCACTACAGACTCCAGTGACCATGGAACTCCACCACCTCAAACCTACAACGACTCCAACTACCACTTCAACCATTCTACACCCGGCAACACCGTCTACTACAACCCGACCACAGTGATGGACCAACTACACATCACTGAGCACCAGACAACCACTGCACCACCACTGCCCGACAACATTCCCTACACTCAATTTTTCACTGCATTTACACTTGAAGAGTATCAACTACTCTCACAACAACAAGCTACTCCACTGGCACAACTGGACTACACACGACCCATTCACTGCATCCCTGGAGATCTTCGGATGCCACACTACAATTCTACACTGCTCAGCATTTCATTACCTGAAGCAGCCAATGTCCACTACTACCACACGACTTCACTCCACACTACAACTGGCGACAACACCAACTACGTCATCATCCAACTCCAGATTGAACAACCACTACTCCTGAGGTACCTCACTTCAGGACAGTTTCTACACTTCACAAGGGACTACATCTCCTACATGATGTCGGTACAACACAACTACTACCTCCCGACAACAACACTGCCACAGACCATCTTCAAGGTGCCACCTTCACTGACAACTACAGCCTCAGGAACAACTACGTTTGGAATTACCACATGCCACTACTTCTACCTGAACTACTCCATTACCTGCCATGAGATGCCTAGCCAACGACACCGCTAGCACCTGACTTTACCAGACTGCCCTTACGGCAGATGCTACATGTATGACCCGGTCGAGTTTGCATACGAGCTTGACTGAGCAGGTTTCTTCACCTGCCTTAGCAGGCTCCCGCATTCCTTGACGAGCACTGTTGCTCGGCGCACGGTGCACATGCCGGAGGATGTGCTTATTGTCTTCGCGCAACGCATTCTCAACTTCACTGGGTGGATCACACGCGTGGTGGACATCCGCTTCAAGACTATATATATACTACTCCATTACCTTTACAACCGAGACCAACTACACGACTTCCAGCACAAAGCAATCACTACAATCCTCTGCAAAAGCATCCAATACTACGGATTCACACTACTCACAATGACCAACCTCACACAACACCACAAAGCACTACTACACCGTTTTCTACGGGACTACGACCAACACATGTCGTGTCCCGAGATTGATGATGAGCGACTACGGGGAGCTCCATGACAACCTTTTTCACCACCAACTACTACGCGACCTTGGACAGTCGACTACAGATGGTCCAAGCCTACCGCACCCAGAAATGGGGACTACATTTTTGAGCTCCTGCTCTACTACAACGAGTGCCTGCCTTCATTACTTCCGTCCAGCGCCCTACATCGAGCTGGAACCTGAGCAGCGTGAACTACTGAGCGCAGGTCACTACTTTTGCCAATACAGTAGAATTGATGAACAACAATGGTTTTCATCACTACTGTCAATCCATGTTTTGCACTTCAGTTGAAAAGGTACTACAAAGACCTTTTAACTGAGGGGCCGTGTCAAACTACATGCTTCACTTTGCACTCTTGTTGCATGTATGTTCACTACCGCAGGCCTTGAGCTTACTACTCCGCATGAGTCAAAAGGTTGGCAGCTGCAGACTACATTGGTTGACTGTTTGTTTGAACGCTACAGCACTTGCACTTGAAAGCAAAGTAACAACTGATTTTAACGTCTCTCTCTCTCTCTCTCTCTCTCTCTCTTTCTCTCTCTTTCTCTCTCTCTCCCTCGCTCTTTGTCTCTCTCTCTCTCTCTCTCTCTCTCTGTCTCTGTCTCTGTCTCTGTCTCTGTCTCTGTCTCTGTCTCTGTCTCTGTCTCTGTCTCTGTCTCTGTCTCTGTCTCTGTCTCTGTGTCTCTCTCTCTCTTTTTTCAGGACGCCCTTGCGGGTCCTGCGGAGAAGCCCTTCTATTTCTCCACGGCGGAATTTGATGACGCAGGCCGTCCCAAAGATCGACCGGGCAGCAAGGTGGCAGGCTACATGCAGGAGTCGAGCTTCCTGCACTTGCTGTTCGTTCAAACCCCGAACAACTTATGAGCCACGCGGGGTTGAATGTATTCGGCACGGATCGCTCTCTAGCAGTTGCCCAGCTCTTGTGACCAAATAAAAACCCCACAAAGGTCCGGAGTCTTAGTGGCGAGTCTTGAGGGATCCAACTGGTCCATGGAGAAGCTTGAGATCCGGGAAAATTGGCGCGATGCGCCGCATGTTTCTGATGCAGACCAAGCAAACCTTGGATGTTTTTTTTCTTGGCTTCCCACCCCTTTTTCGTGGCAGAAAACCGAAAGGACGCAACACGACGGTTTGGGGTTGACCACCCCCAAACGGAGGACTGGCGGAATGGGTAACCACCTCCAAAGTGGTGGACCAGGGCGAGTCATGCGCGGACAGTCCTTGGCGTCATCTCTGTAGAGTTTTGTACCACAGAGCAAGGAAACCAATCAAACAAACAACCCTTCCTATGTTCCCTTCCTTGCTGCATGATTTAGGGCACCCACCGTTTTTCTCCTTTTGGGTGTTTTCAATCCTTTGGTTTGCCGAGTGAAGCTTCGCCTGGCGTTTTGGAGTTTTTGTCTTTAGGAGTGATGGTGCTGGGTTGGAGGATATGCCCTAAGACAGAACACGTGGAACCTCTTTTTTTTTTCCGGGAGGAAGTTTCCGGACCTCGTTTGGGTTCAAGGCTTGGTTTTTGGGGATGCTTGGTTGCCTCGGTGCCCAGCCGTGTGGATCCTTACTTGTTTTAGTTGTTTAGTGGTTGGGTTTCCATTTATCCCACAAGTCATTCACTTCTCGCGGATCCGAAAACGGACCGCCCAGTTACCGTTTTCCAACAGGGGCCCGGCAGGCGTCTTTTGTTGGCAGTTTTTTCGCAGACATTCGGGAAAAAGGGGCTGGGTGTTTCAATCAATTGCCTTCATGAGCTCGTGTGGGCCAAACCTGCGTCCCTCAATGTCAACGTAGATCGTATTCTCTGGAATTGCTTAAGGAACCCTTTCGGATGTGGGTATGTGTGTCCTTGGTTTACCGGGGCGCTTCCTTTTGTTGCTGAAGACCATTTTCTATTTTCCCTGTTGGTTTTAAAGGGACTCGATGTCACTGGACCTATTTTCATTTTTTTCCCCATTTTGGTCTCCAAAATGGAGCTGAGAGAAGTGGCCAGGAGCTGGATGAGCTGGTTGGCCTGGCCTCGGTGAAGGCCGACGGAGGGGAGGGGGGGGGAGGGGGTTGGGTTTCCATGTGAGGCAGCAAAAGCTGGTATTCTGAAGTTGACCCAACATGGCTCGGTCCCCCCCCTTCTTCTTTTTTTTTTGGGGGGGGGGGAAGCCCTTTTGGGTTGTTTAAAAAATTAAAAATGGGAAACCGAAAGGACACGGCCCTTTTGTGGGAGTCCCCTATTTTGAGACAGACCCAAACTCATGCAAGGAATCAAGAGCGCAGATTCCCGGACCTTCTGAGAAGATTTCGCATGTTTCAGCGATTTTATTCTGTGGAGGTAGAACGGGGCGTGGAACATGGAGGTTCTCCCGATTTTTGCGGAGTTTGTGGAAACACTCCACCATTTATCTGCATATCAATCTGCTTTACGCCAGGTTCCCTGATTTTCGTTTTTTGCAGAAACGCTCCACCATTCTGCCAGGAGGATTCATCGGGAGTCAAGATTCCTGGAAGGCGGAATTTCAACTAAAACATTATGATCTCCGGACCTCCTGCCCAATTTGTGGGAACATTTTCTCCCAGGAAAGTCTAGCTGTTGTTTTTGTCGAACAACGTGTTGTTTCTTGCAATCTTCTCCTCTATCCCGCTATGTGAACAAACATATTTTTGGTGTTCGCCTGGTTGCTTTCACGTTGTTTCGGATCCCGCCCAAGCCAAACACACACAGTTTGCCCAAAGCTTGTCTCTCAGGGTGTCAATCTTCAGGGAATCAAGAGGCTCGTTGTCTTCGTTGTTTGCCATTTGACCCTGAAAAGAGGCTGGGGGGAGGCTGGCAAGCGGGGCAGGTAGTTGTTGAGACCTAGGGCCCCATAGAGTTCCATAGGGTTCGTTCGGGTTCCTTAAATTTCCGTAGGGTTCCATAGGGTTTCTTAAGTTTCCACAGGGTTTCATCGGGCTCCATGGGATTCTTTAGGTTTCCTACAGCCGGGAATCCCACCTTGGTCCCCCTTAGAGGGACTCCGCTTTTAGGCGGGAATGCACTCGCTGCGCGACACGGTGGAGTTCGACATGTGGCGACGGAAGTTCCTAGGGGAGAAGTTCTCACTGCTGGGCCAGTCCTTCCACATGCGCTTCCTGGGGAACCCGGGCACCGGCAAGACGGTGGCGGCCCGGTTTGAAGAAACTCATGTCCCCCCGACCCATGGGTGAAACCGCTCTCGTTGTTTGTTTAAGCAAACAAAATCAAAAAGGCGTTTTGTTTTTTCCGAGTTGGTAGGGAATGCGCCGCGCAAAGGTCTCATTGGATTGGATTTTGTGTGTCTTTTGGTTTGTCGGAAGGTTTGTGGGGTTCATGGGTTTTGTCTTGAAAGCCCACCCCACGACCGTGGCTCCGAAAGCGAGGGTTTCAATGCACGCCACCAAATTGATCAACTTTTTGGGAACGGAGTTCCGGCCCTGAACGAGAATTCCACTTAGGTGGCCCGACTTGGGGGAAAGATCCTGGTGGAGTTGGGGGTGGTGAAGTCAGAGACGGCAGAAGACGACTCGGCGGAAGAGCTCGTCTTCAAAGAGGCGGGGGGTCCAAGCGACGTGGCGGTTTTAGGTGGTGCTTGTGACAAGGATATACGAACAGTAGCAACGGCAGTATAATCCTGAAAACAACCACCAGTGCTCTAGTGCTACCTTCCCCATTCTTTCCAAGGATCCTTCTACAAAATCTCCGGAAACCCATGGACACGGCCGGTTTTTTGGACTGCATGGAGGATCAACCCTTAGAAGTGCAGAGGGTTTGTGTACTGCTCACATGGGTGTATCTTGGAACGGCGTCTGGAGCTCTTGAGTTCCGATTGGCCCTTCGAAGCGATTACACAAGAAGAACGTTCAAGGATGAAAGGGGGCTTGTGCAACCATAGAGGGTGTGGGATGCTGTGTTCAGGATGTGCGCTCCCGGCTTTCTAGCCTGGCTTCGTCCCGAATCCTGAGACTGGTGAGGTGAATACGTCTCCCATTGTGTGCCCGTTTGCAGGAGAAGGCAAGAGTAATTTTGAGGGTTCCCAAGTTTGGAGACAGAGCTGGACTTTCCTCGTCGCGCTCAGGGCAAGGAGAGAGCCTTGGAGTGAGTGCTTCTCAACTTGTTGGACCCCTTTTGGTTGGAAAAACCAAGAAGAAATCAGACCCATTTCAGGATCCCCTGCTCTTTTGAGAACCCCCCCATGTGTGCCATGGTCAGCGCTCTATGCACCGAGGTGGCTGTCCAAAAAGACAAAAGTGGAATGGTGACCATCCCCATTTTTGGCACCTTAGGTTTTGACCCACAACCAGGTGAAAGAAACCAGAACCATTTCAGGGGAGCTCTTTTGAGAGCCCTCCCTGTGCCAAGCGGTCTATGCAGCGAGGTGAGCCGTGGGGATTTGGTGAAGAGCAACTTGGGCCAAACCGCCGTCAGCGTCCGCGCGGCGGTGCAGAGCGCCTTCGGCGGGGTGCTCTTCATCGACGAGGCCTACTCCTTGGTACGGGGACGGCCGCTCGACGGGGGCCCCGAGGCGCAGCGTGGCACTGTGGATGGTGGCGAAACCCATTTCGCACCACCTGAAAACCGCAAGATACCATTGCTCGTTGGTATTTACAGGGGAATCCTCATTCCAGGGTTTCTTGGGTGGTGCAGGATTTCGTCCATCGACAGCATGTCACTGGATTTTCCCTCAAGTTGATCAACTTGCTGGTGGTGTCCATTGCAACGATCGCCACTTCATGCAGGTTCAAGAAGGGAAACGTCTCGGAAACCCTGTATAGGTGTGAATGTATTTTTTGAAGGGGAGCACCCAAAATGGTAGTTGTCCTTTTGTCCCTTAACCCCTCAAAAAAGGAACCACACCCATATATACGTGGTAGACCCTTTGAGTGCCAGGCTTTGATGACTGCTTGCAACCAGACACAAATCCCTGGCTCGTGCCAAACAGCTTCGCGCGGAAGTTCCTGCACCAAACCCCAGCCCAAACCGTCCCAAAGAAAGCCCCAACCCCCTACACCTAAGCAGGGCGGCTCCCAGCCGTCCGGTTCCTCAAGTTTTTAGATCTGTTTAGTTGGTTTCGCCAGGGGGTCCCATTTATCCCACTAAAAGTTAAGTAACCTTTTAGTAGGGGATCAGAAAACGGATAGCCCAGTGAGCCTAAACCCAACATAACTTTAAATCAACCCTGGGCCTGCCCAACAACCCTTTCCACCCATCTAAACCAACCCTGAACCAATCCCAAATAGTAGTAAATAACACCCAGAACAACCGCCCCCCCTTCCCAAAGCCCACCTCAAACCAAAGGTGAAAACCTTGCCCTTGAAACCTGCACGTGCCGGAGCGACGAGGAAAGACATGCTGGGCCAAGAGGCGGTGGATACGTTGATTAAGGAGATGGAGGATCACCGGGACAAGGCGCTTGGGCGATGTTCCACGTGAGTGTTCGATTGGGCGATTGGGCGATTGGGCGATCGGATCACCGGGCACGGCAGAAGATGAGTTTTACAACCCGGCAAGTCAAACAGCACCAAGCCCTAACTGTTTTTGTGTTCTCTGCAAGTGCTCTGTGAATCTTGTTCGAAGGGTACTTTTTTTGTTTGGGTTTAAGGAAATCCCGAAGGAACAACTGAAGCCCATTGTTTTTTTGGGGGGTCCCTGCATATTGACACGACCCATTTGGAATCCCCGATTTCTTCCCCCTCAATTTCCGGGTCCGATTCTTTTTCAGACAAACCCAACCTGAAGGTCATCGTGATCCTCGCGGGATATCAGGAGGAGATGGAGACCTTCTTCGAATCTAACCCAGGCCCCTGAGCAGATGGCGTCAGATGGGTTCCTCAAATTGGTTTGAAGGCGCCCCCTGTCGGACAGTGTGAAACGTGAAGGCAACAAACAAAGAGAGCTCCTTGCTTGGCATGGTGGACACCCATCTTCCCATTTGGGTGTGTCTGTTTTTAGGGGACCCCCGAAATGACCCCCAAAATGGGCGGGTTCTCCTGTTGGTGTCCGTTTAAGACCACAAAAGATGGGGTACCAACTCCGAACGTTTGTTCTTCTTTTGGTTTAATTGAAACCAGAAAACAAGGGTGCCGACTGCAAAAGGACACACAACATGTTTGTTTTCCTGCAGGTTTGCCTTTAGAACCACCAACAAGGGGTACCAACTCTAAATTTCAGGTTCTACCTGGTTTGATGGGGGTATGATGGGGGTATGCGACTCAAAAAGGGCCTATTAGGGAGCTAAGAGGAATCCCTTTTTGGGGGGGTCCTCAAAGCGGCCCCCCTGAGCACCATGGGACAGAACCATCTGGCCATGGGGCAGAACCTATGGCTCCATTTTGAGGTGGATGAACATCCATTTGCCACCTTTGATGTTCACCAGACATTTTCCTGGGTTTTGACCAGCCATCTGGGTCATGCTTTTTTTCCGGGAACAACCTCCCACCCCCTTCAGCCCTTCAGCCCACTCGCATGTTTTTTTGTTTTCCTGTTTTTTGTCCAGGAACAACCTCCCACGCCCTGCGGCCCAACTCGGCCCAACTCGGCCCAACTCGGCCCAACTCGGCCCAACTCGGCCCAACTCGGCCCAACTCGGCCCAACTCGCTCCGTCCGAGGCTTCAAGTCGCGGGTGCCCTTCGCCTTCGAGTTCTCGGACTACAGCTGCGAGGAGCTCGCGGAGATCGGCCGGCGCCTTGTTCGCGCGAAAGCGGCGGTTTTTTCGAAGCCCTAGGTCCAGCAATTGGTGCCCGTTCTTTGACCGTTTCTTTTTTGGGGGGAGGGGTTCCCCTACCAAAATAGACTACAGAAAAAAGTTGGTACCAACTTGTTCTAACCTCTCTACTGGAGGGTCCCTTACTTTTTGGCTGGTTCTCAGCCCCTCGAACCCACAGGGTCTAGTCTGCAACAGGGTATGCATGGGTAGCCCGTTGTGGGATTGTTTTTCTTGCTGGTTTGATAGGCAGGGAGTGAGAAATGGAATGACCCCGAGATACACTATCCATCCTACGGTGGGCACCGTATGGTTCCTTTAAGGCTATGGTTCCTTTAAATCCCGACTTGTTCACTCCCAACACGCGAAAGGTCATTCCTTACTGAGCACCAGCAAGTTTACTCAGGTCTGTCTTTTTTTGCGCTTCGGCCCTCCGTTTTTGTGTTTTGCTTTTGTGGCTTTAAGGGGAAACCAAGAGGAACAACAAATTCCACCCCCAAATGGGGTCCCGAGTCCCAGAAAGAGACAAGCCACCCACTTTACTATTGGGTTGGAATTGTTTTTTTGATTTTTGTTTGGGGATGTGTTTTCGATCCCACCATTGCTGTCATGTTGTTGTGCGCAGGCGGCAATGGCTACCAAGTTTAGGGAACAAAAGGGTTGTTCAAAGAGGTCAGTGGTTTATTCCCATACAGGTCAAGTCGTCCAACCTCAGGTACTCCCTTAGCAAGCAGACCATCTTCCCCACAGAGGAGGTGGGATGGGGGGTGGGTGGAGTGAGCATCCCCCAAAACTTGTTCGGGGTATTTGAACCACCGGAAGTTAGATCTTCTGATCTGGGGCGAAATGTGTTTGATTTAACCCATGAAGAGTCGTTGCTTTTGGATTCCTTAGTTTTGGTCGCTGAGTCAATGTAACTTGTTCCCTTCTGAAAGGGGGATTCAAAGAGCGCCTCTTGACTCCCATGTACATAGGCAAACTGCCCCAGAACGGTTGGTTACATAACTCCCATGTCATATGTAAATAGTCCCCTCAAGACCCCAATTCAGTTTCAATCCACATGTCCCTTTGTGGAGGGGACATATAACTGGGCAATCGGATTCGTGACCTTACATAGGGGTTTACAACCTCGCTCAGGTTGGTGAATGATAATTCACCCAGAATCCTTCTCACCTCTTTCTTCTGCTTCTTCGTTTCTGTTGAATGGGCTAACAACTAGGGAATGACACGTGCTAAACAGGTCCCTTAAAGGAAACGAGCTGAGCAGGGAACGCTCCAGGTTTTGGGAATCACCTAAAAGATCTCTGCAACAAAACCGAATCGGATGGATGGTTTCTCTCGGGGTCATTCCATGTCTCGTTCCCTGCATCTCTCGAAGCGAGCAGAGCGACTCCCACGGAGCCAACTCCCCAGGCGGACGCCTGGATGAGCAAGGTCGTTGCCCGGCAAACGGGATGCTGCACCCAGGCGCGGGAGGGGGGGGGGGGGGGCGGGCTTTTTTTAGTTTTATTGTTTTGTTCTTTCGGGTTTGAAACAGCCCCAGGCAGAAGGTGCTCCGTGGATTTGTAACCCTCAAAACGCGTAAGGGTTGTAAAGCCCCAGGAAGGTGCTCTTTGGGGTTTCAGCTTTCGGAGGGCCGGACAGATTGGAAGTGGTGAAGTCCGTTTCCCAGGCTCTCAAATGAGGCGGGGGTCGAGAGAAGGACTCCCTGGAGTCCGGTGTGGAGCTATGAATCCCGCTTTCCAGTGTGGAACGCCCAGGATAACGTGAGAACGGAGTCATGCTTGGATAGTCATGGGTTCAAGCGCTCAAGTGGTCATGGTTCGATCCAAATCAGAGAAAGCGGCAGCCATCTTCTACAACCATGTGTCTTGCCCATTTGGCCATTTCGCGCAATGCCTCGAGGTGGTTGGCTTTCCTTTGGCTTCTCTTGCCGACGAGCAAGACGAGACTCGTTTTGGCGGGGCAAGCAATTGGCCATTGAACGATTCGCATGGGCTCCCTAAAAAGGAGAAGGTTTCCTCGAAGTATGCCGCGCTAGATCCAAAGGTGGCAAGAAATAGAAACAGGTGACACTGATTTTCCACGGCTCTAACTCTATGCCCCCGTGAAAAAATCACCTCAAGGTGAGTTTTCTTTGAGGTGAAGTAGGGGAGCCTTGGGTGTGTACAGATGCCCCCATCGAGGTATTCTGATTTGGGCATGAGCACACCCAGAGGTCAAACGAGGTCCATGATGAAGGTCCTTGAATCATAGTTTTCCTAGCCTGGTTTGAGAATAGCAGTCTTTTGGCTCAGGGCCTACATAATTACAAGCATTGCTCTCCTATGCTCGCGAGGGAATTTGGTCAGACCTGGGTGAAAGTAAATGGTCCGATTCCCTGTCCACCAGTAAAGCGGATGATGAAAGTTGAGTGGGGAGATTGTGCCATCTATTTTTCACCCAGGTGAGCCGTCAAAGCACGCATTTCGGCGTTCTAAAGGGACGCCAAACCGAGCCACTCATTTTGGGGTCCTCCTACTTTGACACATGCCCAAATCTTTGCTCATTTTGTGCCAGCTCCCTTGGTGGTTTGGATTGGTGGTTTGGGGTTCAAACCCCCCCAACCACCAATCCAACTCAGGATCCAATCCAAGGCCACCAATCCAAACCAGCAATCCATTAAGAATAGGTATCCAAAAGGGCTTGCCCCTGGTAAATGGACACATGGACTAACATCTGCGTTTTTTTCTCGTTGGTTTCGTTTTGACCCACGCCCAGGTCACCATGGCCGTAACCAAAAAGGTGATTATGGCCCAGGGTCCCTTCCCTGGGTGGTGTTAAACATCACCTTTTTGGCCCATGAAAGGTGAGTGTCCCTTTCTGATGTGTTGTTTTTTGGGGAGCCCTGTGGCCAGCGGGGTGAAATATAGGGAGCCCTGTGGGTGCACCCAGCTGGCAGGCCCAGGTGGCCGCCGGGAGCTGCCGAGGCGCCGCGCGGGACAACGGCAACGGCCGCTCCGTGCGGAACGTGGTGGAGGGCGCCCTGCGGGCCATGGCTGTGCGGGTGGCGGTGGCCGGGGCCACCACCAAGGACTGGGGGCCCCGAGGGGCCTTGGGGGGGGGGGGGTGGTGGAGGGTTGGGGGAGGGTTGGGGGAGGGTTGGGGTTGGGGAGGGGGGGGAGAGTTGGGGGGGGGGGGGAATTTTGGAGGTTCAAGCCGCGCAAGCAGGTGGGGAACCAACCGCAGCTACCCTAGTGAAATGGCCATGGTTGTAACCTAAGTGGGTAATCTGCAGTTCTTTGGCTAAGGATCAAACATTGCCTGGGCAATTTGTGTGGGGGCCAATCCTCCAGGCTTGGGTGTCTTTGCCGCAACTCGGTTCCCTCAGAGAAAGAAACAGGGAAAACCCTGAAGTTTTCGGGTCCTCAGTCCTCAGATTTCGTCTGGGGTGAGCCGCTTTGGAGGCTCGGCGCCAATTTTTTTGGTGTCGTTTTACGGCAAATGTTGGAGATCTTGCCCAAAAGAACGACAAATCCGCCAGATTTCGTCGATATGTTTGGGACATTTGGGGGGGCTCGCTCGCCATGTTTCCCACAAGCCAAGGGTCACGCGTTTTTGAGACACATATGCTTGTTGATTATGTCAAGGCTTCAGTTCGAATTGAACTTCCTACGTATGTCCAATTTTGGGAACGATCAAACAAGCAGCTGTTTCATGTCCATTTCAAAGTGGGTTCTAACTTTACGCAGTACCGGCAAGTTACCGCAGTTTCACTATGTACTCCCCTTGCCCCACATGGAATCCACCAGAAGTCCCCTTCCAGTTAGGTTTTCTGGGAACATGGGGAGGGTACATGGAGCTTGCTGTTGCGGGAGTAGTACGTGACACAATCATCATTTGGGCTTATTTTGCTTGATCCCTCTTGGGTGATGTTTACAGAGGAAATATGGGAGCCCTTGCACGTAAGCGGGGTCGCTCAAAATCAATCCGCAAGATGCGATTTTGCCAGATGGTGGCGCCTCTTATAGCCTTATAGTACCGTAAGGCTTATGTTAGCCTTCATAACTATGCTGGTAGAACCAAAAGTCACTGTGTGAGACGGGCACTGCTCATGTGTGCAATTGTTGCCCATCACATCATGAACACAGGAGCACACCGCCAGCATATGATGTGGCCTTGTATTATGCCAGGTTGCAGGTTAGCTTCCGCCAAATTGGTGGTTTGGATGGGTTGTTTGGGTTTGAACCCCTGGTTCTTAAGGGTAAAATTGGAACCGCTTCCTACCCTCCAAGCCAAGCTGCCAATGGGAAGCTGATGAGCGAACAAAAATGGGTTTGTCTCATGAGGGACCCCTAGACTTCCTTAGGATACACAACATGTTGGTTTTCCTTTTGGTTTTCCTTTTAACCCACCCCCAAATGGTAGCCTTAAAAGGAGCCCCACCCAAGTTTCGTGACAGGAGAACGTCACCCAGCTCAATGCTGTGGACGTGGCCGCCGTAGGCGGGGAGATCATCCAAAGCGCGCTGCACGGGACCTGCAAGAAGCAGCAGAAGGCGATCCCGGAGGCGATCCCGGGGCTTTGGGTTTTGGGGACGGAAGTTGCCACTGGCAAAACATGGCTTGGGGTGGTTGGGGTTGTTGGGGTTGCTGGGGGTTATTTTTTTTTGGGTTGTTGGGGTTTTGGGTTGTTAGGGTTGTTGGGTTTGGGGTTGTTAGGGTTTTGGCGTCGGTGTTTCTTTTTGGTTGTTGGGGTTTTGGGTTGTTAGGGTTGTTGGGTTTGGGGTTGTTAGGGTTTTGGCGTCGGTGTTTCTTTTTGGTTGTTGGGGTTTGGGAGTTGGCGTGTTTTTTTGTTATTTTCTTTTGGGGGGGGGGGGGGGTTGTTGGGGTTTTGGAGTTTTTTTTTTGGGGGGGGGGTTGTTGGGGTTTTGGAGTTGGGGTGCCTTTTTTTTGGGGGGGTGTGTGTGTTGGGGTTTTGGGTTGTTGGGATTTTGGGTTTTGGGATTGTTGGGTTGTTGGGGTTTTGGGTTTTGGTTGTGTTGGGTTTTGGGTTGTTGGGATTTTGGGGCTCGTTGTTTTTTTCCCCTTTTTTTTTTCCCGAAAATATAGCGATTGGGTGGTTGGATGTGGCTGTTTCACTTGCAGTATTCAGCAGTGTGGAAACTTGGGTCTTAAGCTGGTTCGCTCTTTGTGATACGAAGAACGTTTCCATATTTCTACGGCCAACTTGCATACCCCAAATGGACATACCCCATCTATAGGCCTTAGATAGGTATGTACCCTGCATAGCCCATGTAGAACCACTACTTTTGGCGTATGTCCATTTGGGGCACGCAAGTTGACCCTCACATGGGATAACGCTACCCTCCCTCCCTCCTGATTTCGTATGGGGACACCTGGGCCTTCCAATTTTCTTGATTCGCAACCTATGAGGTGCCATGTTGAGAGGAAAAACTGCCAACCATACCATAGGTGTTCTTCTTGGCTGTTGTCGAAAATAGATGGCGATGTTTCACAATCAATGGTGCCAATCGGTGGAAAAGGACACCGTTTTTGCTTTTTGGTCCTGTTCATTTGTACCAGGGGGGCTGCAACAGCAAACAATGAGTTTTTGCTGCCATACCAAGGGTGGTAAAGCAAAAGGATGCCATTTAGTGGGGGATTTTTGCCCAAAAAGGGCGGGGCCTGTCTATTTCAGGTACCACCTAAGTGGTTTGGATTGGTTTTTGATCAACCTACTGAATCTGGGGCAAGATTGAAGCTGTTTTGGAGTCAAATACTGACTTCAACAGAATTTGGGACACAGGTGGACAGTGCATGTGGAGTACTTTTGAGCCCCTTCTTGTAGAGGGGTAGATGAGCCACAATCAAAAACCGGGTAGATGAAGGTTGGTACGGGACAATCCCAACCATAAATAGCTGTGCTCGCCTTCTGAATTCCTTACATGGTTCTGGGAATCGACCATTTTAGTACCGGGTTTTGAGCAAGTAACTCATATGAACCCCTGTATTAAACCCCTTGCTGGGTGAATTAAACGTTAGCTATATATAGCTTAGTGGCTTATGGGATCCTTCAAACCCATCCTTCTACCCGATTCTCAGATTAATCGGGTTTCCTTCGCCACGCCACCGGATGGATCATGTTCGGAGGCCCAGCTGACCGCGGGCCCGCGGGTGCTGGGGCTCTCCAACTTCGCGGCCGCGGCGAGGCGCGGGCCGCGTGTTCGGCGGTGAAAGGTGGTGCCGGGGCCACCGTACTTTCTATTTGCTGAAACGATTTTTCCCCCTTGTTGGCTTGAAAGGGAATCGATTTCCATACTGGAAATATATTTTATTTTTTATTTGTTTTCCAGGGGTCTTAACAAAATGGAAGGTATTTGGGTATAAATGGGTATGGGTCAAACTTAAACCACCAAAAAACCACAGGTTTTGGTCCATGTTTCCACTTGCCAGGGCTCCATTTAGGCTACCTATTTTTGACCGACAGCCAAATGAACATGGGGGCTCCCTCCGATTTGGGGTTCCGTAGAAAGACAATCCAATCGAAAGCAAGAACCGTTGACCTACAATAGAGATATTTGAACTGCCCTTGGACATGGAAAAACTGTCGGAGAACAAATTCCTCCACCAGCTTGCGGGTAATTTATCCAAGGGCTTCATCCATCCAAAGAAACCGGTGCAGGAGTTCATCGATTCATCCACAGAATGTTGACCAAAGTTTGCTTTCAGAATTCAGGCCAAGATGGCTCTGCCGAAACGGTCTTTTAACGATTTAGGTCGTTGATATCTTAGTTTGCTCTGGTCTTAAGAACCAGATGTCTACCTTCAGGTCACTCTTAATTGGTGGTTTGGATTGCTGGTTTGGGATTTGAAGCTCTGTTTCGTCTGGAGGGTACATGGGAAACCTCTCCTTACCAACCAACATCTAAACCACCAATTAGCGGGAAGCTGAACCTCAGCTGTTTCTATGAGGCTGAAGAAAAACCGGGCAGGTCCCGAGCGGTTATGTACCCCATCTGCAGAACAGGGCCCTGCCCCGGGAAGGTGGCAAAAAGGGAAAAATCCGGAGGTTTCCCGGTGAGTTTCAGGCCAAAACCACCACCAAAAGGAGGTGCTGCTTTTGATTCCATTGGATTTTCTCCAAAACCAATCGCCGAAATCCCGTTGCACAAACAGCCCAAAAAGGAGGTCTCCCTTTGGATTTGTGCTGCAAAACACCCTTCAAATGAGGATGCTCCCCTTCAAATGAACATGGAAAGCCACAAAAAGGGTCCCCCAGAAGGAGATTCCTCTGGGTTTGGGGTTCCATGTCAATCTAGAAAGTGCCCATGGACAGCCCAAAAAAGGGTCCCCCCAAAGGGAGATTCCTTGAAACATTGGTGGGTTTTTGGGTTCCATGTCAATCCGTAGAGGGGTACCAACTTTAGCCCGCGAGGCTCGCGGGGGAGGATTGCGAGAAGGGGAAGGCCGCGTTGCTGGCGGCCGAGCCGGCCAGCGACGCTGTTGTGGATGCGGGTCAGATTGCGGCTCAGCGGATTGCAGTGGTCTCTGGGTGGGTCTGTTCTGGGAATCGCCGACAATGGCTTTGGTTCTCCTTTTGGTTTCCGTTTAAAAACACAAGCAAAAGAAGGGGGGACCCTCAAAAAAGGAATCACACCCATATTTTTTCACAGATACATATATAGGGTGTTTCTCGAAATTAGGGTAATCATGGCTTTCAGGGAAGCCAAGGAGGCCAATCTCCATTTATTGGATGGGGTCCCTTATGGACAGTGGCTCATGTGTGCCTGAAAACACGGGTTGGTAGGGAGAATGATGCATTTTGATCATGGCACATCCCCCGCGAGAATGGACTGGCCAAAAAGGTCAGTGGGCCGCCTTCTCACGGGTAAGAGTTTGCCAGCCCCCATTTTCCACAAAGCCCTCACTAGTCACATATCCCATGGTTTTTTTGGCTTGGGGTCCGTCCCCCCTTGGCTATTGGGTAACGGATCTTTAGACTTTAGCTTCTAATCAAGGGGCTTTCCACTAAACCCACAAAAAGCTAAGGGGCTTTCCACTAAACCCACAAAAAGCAAAAAACTTTTGGCAGAGGGATCAGCAGCAAGCAAGAAAACGACGAAGCAAAGGTGGCCGAAAGCGAAGCGTCGAGCTCCAATGTCTCGCAGCCGCGCCGCCTGAGGTGATCAAAGAGCAGTCCTTGTCGAACATCTTCAAGCGACTGGACCAGATGATCGGCCTGGCCTCAGTGAAGCTCGCGATGCGGGAGTTCTACGCCACTGTAGTCCCTGCCTTAGCTTTTCGCGAGGAGATGAGCAAGAGGCGCAAACAAGACATGGCTATGAATTTCTTTTTGGTGGACATCATTTGGGTGGGGATTCATGTCCACCAATCACTTTCGAGGTGCCCTATGAAAATTGATGGCCAGATTGAAGGCCTGCTGGTTTTGGGGAGGTCATGAGCGACCCCCAATTTCGCCCCCAGAAATCGGGTCCTCTTTGGGACCGGCGAGTATTTGTCCGTGGGCTAGAAAGTGGCCATATTTCTGGCAGTTCGATGTTGGACGGCAGACAGGGCCCAACACAATTCCCCGCCCAAGTGGCGGGGGGAACCAATTTTTCCCACGTTCCTTGGCTACTCTCGTCTGTCACATACTCCCGTGCCCTTCTTTCCCATTGGTCATAGGAAACCGCTCTTTGAGTCGGTGGGATTTGGTTTTCCGGGATTCAGCAGACTGGACTTCTTTCCCATTTTTGGTTTTCCAGGATTCAGCATCAGACTCATTCAGTGGGATTTGGTTTTCCAGGATTCAGCAGACTCATTCAAAGGGACACTTCGCTCCCGAGGAGTTTGCCAAGTTGCGCAGCTCGGCGGACACTCGCTGGCCACTTGCGGCCGCCTGGGTTTGCGCCCTTGTCGCTGTGCTTTTTCAGGGGTGCGGTGTCAAAATAGGAACCCCAAGCTGTGTTGCGGGTTGTTTGAAGGGAAGCCAGGTCTTTGGGACTTGGTAGTTACTCTTCTAGGTGTGTGCAGGGGCAACCAAAAGGACACCGAGGCCCATGACACGATATGTGCCATTTGGGAGAACCCCCCGTTTTTTCAAATCAATAAGGTCGTACGGGTCTGTCTTTTTTTCGGGTGCCCCCTTTTTTTTTGGGTGGTTTTAAAGGGAAACCAACAGGAAAGCACTCCATTTTGCAGCATTGAAGCCTGGGTTGGGGAAGGAATCCCCCTATTCTAGGGTTTGATTCCTCATTCTTTTCAACCATCGTTCTTTTGAAAAGCCGGCCGTTTTCCCTGGGTTTAGTGAGTCTTTTTTGGAAAGAAGGATCCCTGGAAAGAATGGGGAAGGTACCCCTAGAACTCTGCTCACCTTTGGCTCAGGAGAGCACTTCGACTTGGCTCCGGTGAAGAGCCAAAGCTACCACATGCGTTTCCTGGGGAACCCGGGCACGGGCAAGACGGTCATTGCCCGTTTGGTGGGACGCTTGGCCGCGCTTGCCAGCCCCATGCCGCTGAATTCCGCTGATGATTCTGTTTCTCACGCGTAGGGGAAGCAGACAAGAAGTAACCCTTGACCTTGGCTCAAACGCCTTCAAAACCTGCGGGAAGTAGCACTCGAGGGAACATGGCCCTAGGCTCTTTGTGAGGTTGTTCTTTTGCAAAGGGTTGTCGCTTGTGTATGGCTTTTCAAATACACACGCTTTTTTGCACGTGAACCACCCATTTGGAGTGGTTCGTCGACATCTTTCATCCGTTTTAGATTTTGGGGTACTCTAAATATGAACCGGCACTCCCCACCTTGCCGGTGTTTTCAAAATCTTCTTGGTACGGTGACCACAAAGCAGGTGGTTCGAATCGACCCGGGCGGAATCGGAAGATCTGGCCAAGACCCTTCAGGACGGCTGCTATTGGCCATGGGGGCCGTGACAGCGCCCCCAACGCGCGAAAGCCGGCCGCGGCGGAAAGCCGCTCGGCGGAACGGCGCGCGCTTGTGTTTTCTGAGGGAGCTCGAAGAGTTTTTTGTTTTTATAATCATGTTGAAGAGACCCTGGTTCTCCAACGCCACCGGTCTATGTGGTTTCTGAGGGAGCCCTCTTCGGCTTGCTGTAAGTGGACACCAAAAAGGCAGCCGGCATGTTCGAAGTGATGGCATTGTTTCACATGTTGAAGGGGGCCCTGGTTTTGCACGCCACCAATTTCTTGTTTGACCTCTTATGGGGCCAAAAGCCAGGCAGCCGAGGTCGACAACAACGGACTCCCCATGTTCAATGCAAGATGCTTTGTGCCATCCACCGTTGTTCCCTCCAACCGTTCGCTCCTATATACTTGATATAGGGCCAAACTGCTGAGAAGCACTTTGATGGTGCCATACTCCTTCAATGTCTAGCCTATTTGAGCGTTCAACATGTGTTCACTAAAGGTTTCCCCCTATCCGCTTGTTGACACAACTTCAAAATGATCACGGCACATGTTTGCCTCGGTCAAGCACGGACGGACTAAATCATGCACCACCTAAGAAAATGGAATTATGAATCCCATGAAAAATGTCAAAAAAAGCAACATGGTTTCAACGATGGTTTCAAAGTGGTGTAGGATTCACGGTAATTCGGGGCTATTGAGAACCCTGTTCAACCCCTTTTTGTTTGGAGGGATCGCTCCAAACAACTATTCCCCCCACCAAACAAGAACCCCACTTCCTTTTCACATCACCCCCCTTCCCCCGCCCCAAACAAATAAAACACAACAAACAGCCAAAAACAAACAAACAAACAGAACAGCAACCACAGAAGAGCCACTTTCGGGTTCACCTGTGCGCCCGGATCGCTCGCTGAATCGCATACTCGCACGGCAGACCTTCAACGAGTTCAGCCGCGTGGACTTGGTGGGGGAGTACATGGGCGCCACGGCCCCGAAGGTGAAGAAGGCGGTCGCGAAGAGTTTGGGCGGTGTCTTCTTCCTGGACGAGGCGCATCGGGGGGGGGTGGTGGACCATGGCCGTCTGGGGCCTGGGCCTCCTGAGTGGGCCTGGGTGGGGGTGGGTGGGGGGGTGGGGGGTGGGGGGTGGGGGGTGGGGTGCCGCCCAAAGAAGCGCCCTTCGGGGGACTTGGAGCTTTCAGGGTTCGGAGGGCACCGGGGCTTGCGGGAAGCGGCTTGCGTAGTTTTGTGAGGCTGCCCTTTTTCAGGTGACGCAACGGAAAGCCAAAGGGGACACCACACATTTTTTTTGAGGGGGACACAGGGTCCGTGCCTCTGCCCCTTTTGGCTGACTCACCTGGGCCTGGAAGCGGCATCTGGCTCGGGTAATTACTTTTGAGAGAAAATGCACCCAGGGGAGCAGGGAAGTTGCTTGAAAAGGTCCTTAACAGGTCCCAGGGGTCCTCCCTGAAGAATTCCATGCCCCCAGAAAAACAAGACTTGAAAGGTAGGAGGGCTAGAACCCTCCCCAGTTGTCTCGTTTAGAATGTTTGGTCGAGTTCCCTTGAGATGTTTAAAAGAGGTCGTGTAAGGAAGGCATGTGGGTCTGTCTTTTTTTGGGGGTGCTATTTTTTTCGGTAGGTGTTAAAGGGAAACTAAATGGAAACCTCACATTTCATGTGTTGCCTTGAAAAAGACCCCCCCCCCCCCCCCCCGCCACATGGCTCAAACTTCAAGAGCCAGACCGCAGTTCGTCTACTGTTTTTGCAGGGCAACCCATTTTGGCGGCCGATTCATATTTTGGAGCCATGCAAACATTTGTTTTGACGGTATCCTTTGGTGCTGCTTTCAAGGAACATCGGGTGCCTTAGTTTGGTGGCTCCCGAGACCCGTCTCGAGGCATATGCCTTGGTGCAGGATGCGCAGGACAGCGGCGAAAGATGAGACGCTTCAGGTGAAGCAGTGAAGACTTGGTATCAAAAGAGCCCCTGAGCCATATATAAATATACTCAACCGCATGCTGTGTTTTCTTCATACGTCCATATATGCATCAGGTTCCAAAAGGGGTCCGACCTGGCCATGGCTTCATATTCTGAATCAAGACAATCAGCCTTTGATTCCTACCCAAGCCCATCCTTCGGCTAGCCACGGCGCAGTGGGGCTCGGCTCGCTCGCGCGTTTTGCGCACGTGGGGTAATTGGAACCCGGGAAGCGGATTTCAATTGGTGGATTCAGAGGTGTCTTAGAGGGGATCCAAACCTGATTCTCTTTTTTTTTTTTTGGGGGGGGGGGCACCCTTTTAGCCAAAATGAGGTTGATAGCTCCAGAGTCAACATGTTTTTAGGAAAAACACACCAACACCTAAAGATGTTCTAACAAGCAGTTTTCGATCGCTTGCGCAGGACAATCATGTGCGGTTGGCATCCTAAGGAACCCATGTATGATCGAATCAAACCCATTCAACTGGTCACCCACGTGTTTGCTCCTAAGTCGCAGGACGAGTTCGGCATCGAGGCGGTGGATACACTGATCAAGGAGATGGAGGACAAGCGCGAGAACTTTGTGGCCGGCGGCCGAGTCGGGAACCAATCTGCCGATTTTTTTGAGCCCGGGTAAAACGGCTGAAACTCCATGTAGCTCCTGTACGTGGGGATCCCTGATTTTTTTGGTTTGGAATGAGGGCAAAACGAATGCAGATCCTTTCACCTCTGAGTGAGGGTTTCTGCGAAATGGTCCCATCCAAGGCTCTAGGGGGGGGGGGGCATTTGGTTACTGGGGCGTTCAACCCTCAGTGGGTGATTTCACCACGTAGGGCAACAGTGCATCACAGGTTTTCGTAATTCCAGAGCTTTGTCGAAGTTCTTCGTGTTGATTGGTTTCCATTCCCCAGTTCCCATTTCGAAATCGTTTCCATTTCCCCCCTTGCTTTTAAAGTGTCTCACATTCGTTCAGAAAACCGCCGCGTTTGTGTGGGGGGCCTGTATGGGGGTCCGTGCAGGTGATTTGCGCAGGCTATGAAGAGGAGATGGAGCGCTTCTTCGACAGCAACCCCGGGTTCAAGCCACTCGGATGTTCGGTGCGCGGTGCACCACCCATTTTAGAACCAATTTTAGTGGGGATTGGGATGTTCACTGGGGGTACGATTTGGGTTTTGACCCATGGCCAACTGAATGGAGTCTGGTTAAAATACATGCACCCTGGCAAGGTAGCCTTTTGCTTCCAAGTCAAGTTTCACCTTCCAAAAAGGCCAGAGGGGAGGGAAGGGACAACGGTCGCTCTACCCGCCTTTGAATCAAAAGCTTCATTTAGGGCAGTTCATACTTATCATTGAGCACGGGTCCCTATATTTTCTTTGGGAGGTTTTACACATCACCTTTTTTCTGGTCGATCAATTGGGGTTCTTTTAACATATTAGAGGGGAAATAAAGGGAGCCCTGTTACAACCCCTCCACTACTCAACGCGCACCAGCTGATCAGATTAGGGAAATCTCGTTTGAAAGTGGAGTGAAGGTGCCTCAACTCATTCTTATCCATGGGGGGAGGCACTCAGACAGTCCCAACCCGCTAAGCAAAAGTTGGCTTGCGCCCCTTCCCGAATTTTAAGCAGCACAAGCAACTACTGCTTTGTTCAGAATCCGGGGACCCCGAACCGCTCCAGATGCCCAGTGTAGTCAAACTCCAGGAAGCTGAAGGTTAGAGCAGGTCAGCAGGCTCAGGGGATTTTGGAGTTAAAGGAACTGCGGCAAACTCGTCCGTGCAAGCAATGCCTAGAAGGCTGAAGAACCTGTTGGTGTTGCGGAGCTGATCCTTTGGTTTTCGCTTACTCCAGCGAGGGCCGGGATCCAAAGGCCAATCCTCAGCTTGGGGGGGCTGGTTTGGGTGATGCACTTTGGCCCCGGGAATTTACTACCTCGGATTTTTCGGACGGCGGGGTTTTGGTGGAGCTGCCCCGCTTGAAGCGGGTGGCAAAGGGTGAGTCAGATACGAAGCCGCTGGGCCTGGGCCGCGAAAAACATGTCCCTGGAGGCGCCCTTTCTCCCATCGCACTGGTACCCGGTACCCGGAAGATTTTTTTATTTTTTATTTTTTCTGTTCCCCCATGGCGTTAGTGGGGGAGGCAAGCGTTGCAACCTGAGTTCAGAGCTTAGGGCTTTTATCCCACGTGGCTGTGGTTGTCAAAACCTGGTAACATTTCGGGGGGGTGAATTCCCCACGCGTTTTAGACCCTATTTTAGTGGTTGGATTGAATCGGATGTTCACTGGAAACTCACCGATTTGGATTTTGCAAAGCCCATGGGCACGTTGGTGCCGGCGACTGAAGGTCGCGGGTGCCCTTCACCTTCCACTTCGAGGCCTCGCGAGTCGAGTGTTGGAGAAAAACGGTTGGTTTGGTGTTTTGAGCCAGACCCCAGAAGGAACCCGACCATGTTGGGGGTCCGTTTTTTGTTCAAAGGTTATTTTTTTGGGTGGTGGGGTGGCGCATGTTTTGTTTGATTGGTAGGGTTGACTTGCAAAACCAGCCATCTGGGATCTCCTTCAAGACTAATTCATAGTGTAGACAGAGTATGAGTCAGGACCAGAAATCAAGTCTTCGGTGTACATGTTGGCCAAGATCTCAGGGGCTGAAGCCTCCCAAGTGTCGACTGGCCAACCGCGGTTCAGGACTACAACTGCTCGGAGCTGAGCCAAATCGGCCGCCTCAGTGTGCAGAAGCATGCGCCTTGCTTCAAGAGATCTCCTTTGGTACGGGCCAAAATAGGTGCTTTACCTATGCTTTCCTTTTCTAAAAGCAACCCCAGAAAGGGGACCCTAAAAAACACCAAACCTAAGTGAAGGTGTACTGGGGCCATTGTGCTTCTCATGATTTTGGTCTCAAGGGAAGCCTTTCCCAACAGGATTCTTGAGACCCCCACTTTGATCCAGGTTTGGGGGCTGGAAATCCCCCACCCAATGCGCGGCGGCTGGACTAGCATCCCTGTTTTCTGTTTAAGAGGCATTTTCGCCTTCACAGACCCCACGTGGATTTGTTTGGTCTTTTATTTGGACCGTTGTTGTCGGCAACATCTTTGGTGCTTGCCTCACAGTTGCCCTTGGGCCGGGCGAGTGATGCGTTAAGCGTCCTTGGTCTGATGTTTGAGTACTCTTTGGTACCTCTATCCTTTTGAACCTTTGGGACCATGACGGAAAATGCACCACCAGTGGGTTGCCAGTTTTTGCGCTCAGTTTGAAGCCCAGTTTTGTTTCCTTGGTTCCCAGCACAACTGGCTTGGAGATGATTGGAGTTTAGAGGGATTTACAACATGGCTCAAAAAATGGTACACAACATGTCACCATGATATATGAAAACAAGACTAAAACCTGCGTAACCCCCCAGTTGTTGAATTTTGAGCCATCTCCCCGAAAAGACGAAGACGTCAAACTTTCGTTCAGGCGCCATCTGATTCCGTCGCGCCTTGAGGGCCTGGTGTTGCCGGAGGAGGCGCAGCAGGGCTTCCAGGAGGCGATCCGCTTGGGCAGCGCCTGCGGGAGCCTGAGAGAGCCTGAAGCCATCGCTGGTGCGGTAGCCAGGGATGGTGGGACAGGAACACAGGTTTAAGTTTGGTTCTGATAGTTTTTTTTTCTTAATTATTTTATTTATATTTAGGTGATACTTTGTGGGAGAGTCTTATTAAAAAAAAGAAGAAAACAAAAAACAGTCTTGCGAATGAACCCAGGCTTTGGTTTCCCCTTAAAGGAAGCCAAATCGGATGGATGGAAAAACGAGAGTGGTCGTTCCATTTCTCATTCCCTGCCTATCGCACCCGCAAGTTTGTGAGTGTCATGTGAGCCACGTCCCCTCAAAATTATTATTATTCGGGTAGACGAAGGTTAGGGAGAGTTTCCCCTTGCCATAAATGCTTGCGAATTGCCGCCTGCTTAAAATTATTGACATGGCTCTGAGTAGACCATTTAGTACCGATCGGTGATGTGGCCAGCCACTGTGTCCGTTTCTTCACTGTGGATTGCTTGGACATAGGTGTCCTAAATGAGTTTGGTCGAAACAAGATGGGGATTCCTGGTTGACCTGGTTGTTTAAAAAAAGCTCTGCCAGGGAGAATCCGTATCTGACACATGTGTTTTGATGCAAGGCTGCGAGACGCTGGAAGACTGCGTTCCAGACAGAACTCGGGGCAATGGCCGGGCTGTGCGGAACGTGGTGGAGGCACGACGCAAAAACACTCCCAAATTTGGATTGGTTGAAGCCCTGCCATGGGGACATGCCATGGAGTGCCCTCAGGGACCTCCAACCCAATCCAAACGTGCTATGCATTTTTTCAGAGTGGGAATCACCTCAACAGTGATGTCCAGAAGCTTGTCATTCAAACTCACGGCTGGGTATGGGTCAAAATGAAACCACCAGGGGACGGCGTGTTTTTTGAACCAATGTGTCCATTTACCGGGGGTTCCACTTTGGGTACCTATTTTTGACCCACACCCTCAGTGCTCCTTCTTCGTCACTGAGGCGAGCGTCCGTGCCATGGCACGACGACTTCAGGGGAAGTCGAGCATGACGGTGGACGACTATCCGGAGGAGCGGGATGTCTTCTCCACCTTCAGCGCCGCAGATTTCAGCGCGGGCGGCTGAGAGAGTTGTATCGTTTGAAGTTCATGCAGCCATCCACATGTGGGTGTGTTTTTTTGTGGCCCCCAAAATGGCTCAACTCGTTTGTTGACCAAAACCAGTGCCCTCCAGAAAGGCAGACCCATGTTGGCTCCCAACTTGGCTTTTTAGCCTTTTAGTTAGGTTGGTGGCCATGTTTCCATTTCACCCGCCAAAAGTTAAGCACTTTTCCCGGCAAATCCAACGGACAGCCCAGCCATGTGACATGTTCGCAAAACAGCTTCAGGCTGTGGTTTCCGAGAGCATCGACTCTCGCCTGTCCATGCCCTGCAGCAACCGAGGCGACTTGGATAGAGATTTTGCGTCGTACTTTCACTCGGGATGCGAGTCGAAAGTGCGGCAAGCCGGGGGGTTTCATGAAGATTCGCCCGTGTTTTGTTTGGTTGGCTTGTTTCTTTTTTCTTGCTTTCTTTCCTTCCTTCCTGCCTTCCTGGGATTCCTTCGTTCTTTCCTTCTTTCTTTCCTTCTTTCATTATTTCTTTCATTCTTTCTTTCGTTCTTTCTTTCGTTCTTTCTTTCATTTCTTCCTTTTTCCTTTCTTCCTTTCTTTCTTTTTTTCTTGTTTCTTTTTTCTTCTTCTTTTGTTTTCTTCTTTTTTTCCTTCTTTCTTTCTGTCTTCTTTCTTTCTTTCTTTCTTTCTTTCTTTCTTTCTTTCTTTCTTTCTTTCTTTCTTTACTTCTTTCTTTCTTTGTTTCTTTCTTTCTTTCTTTCTTTCTTTCTTTCTTTTTTCTTTCTTTCTTTCTTTGTTTCTTTGTTTCTTTCTTTCTTTGTTTCTTTCTTTCTTTCTTTCTTTCTTTCTTTCTTTCTTTCTTTCTTTCTCTCTTTCTTTCTTGTTTATTTGTTGTTTGCTTGTTTGTTTGAGGATTCAAACGATCCACAGTAGCTACGTTCATGGGCACGATTCCATATTTGTGGTGTGCGAAGCACCGGAGAGCAGGGCTCCCCAGGCTTGCTTTTTGGCCCCCAAATGACCACGGCTAGCTTTTCTTACGTGGGAAATCGCGATTTTATCCCAATGGTCGTCCCATGTAAAGCCGGAGCTTTTGATGAAACATGGGAATGCTCCCTAGCTTCTTGTTGATGCAATTGGGCGGCTTAGAGCACCATTTGCATGGTGAGCTTGGTGCGATGAATTGTTTTCTATCGAAACAGGGCGCCCAGCCTGGCGACAGGTGCCCCCAGAAGTTGATCACCGGTTTTCCCCAGCTGAAAGCGATGGGGAGGAATCCGGGTTCCGGAGGAAACTTCAGGGGCTGTTGGGCTTTTGCGAGGTGAAAGCTTTGGGGTCGATAGGCCCAAGCTGCGGAGAAGGTTGGGGCATGGGAGGGTTGTTCCAAAACTTTGAAATCAACCCTAAATTTGTCCTAAACCGACCCTAAACCACCAGCCCTGGGATGGGATACTCTGGCTCACGTTCGTTGCAGCATTTTCTGCGGGTCAACGGCCAACCCAGCAGAGTGGAACCCCCAAAAAAGGGTGTGTGTCTCTCTCTGTGTGTGTGTGTGTGTTTTTGTGAGCGTACCTTTCTTCTTATAGGCGTTAAAGCAAAACCCGAAGGGAACCACCATTTTAGGGGGTCCTCTAAAAGACGCCGCACCCATATACCTTTCTTTTTCTTTGCTTGACAATTATAAGGGGAGTGTAAAGTATGTAAGTGGACAAGAGGCATAAAAAAGGGGATGGTAGTTTTCCGCCCGATCGCCCACTTCTGTTGAAAGTGGGAAAGCTGTTTGAGTGATACGCCTTCCGGGATTGTGAAACCGAGAATGCAAAGGAAACCCCACACCTTTCGCTGGTGGGGCATCATGAACACAATCCTGCACCAGTTGGTGAAAACTGGGGCTCAACCACCAATCCCAACTGCGAAGCGGATTGTTGAAAGGACGCCCGACCAAAAAGGGACCCCCCCTTCAATTTGACAAATGTGGGGTGTGTGTTTGTGTGTCCCAGTCGTCCCTCAGGTTTTCAGTTTCTTTAGGGTTTAGTGAGGGTTTCCATTCAATCCACAAAAAGTTATTCACTTTTAGCCAGGGATCTGAAAACGGATAGCCCAGAAAAGGGAGGGGTTGGGTCAGCATTAGGCGAGCTCAGCAAGATCATCAACGCCTTGGATTCCCGGCCCTCGGGCGTGTATGTGGACCTCCCTGCGAATTTGGAGGTCTTCTACAGCCAGCTGCCGCTTGGCGACTGAATGATGGTGGCCGCAGCCGTACCGCCGTACCGGCGTGTGTCTGAAAATGGGTGTGGCTCAAAACTAAACAGGAGGGGTTACGCAGGTTTTGGTCCATGTTTCCACTTACCAGGGTTCCATTTTGGTACCGGTTTTTTGAGCCGCAACCAAATAGGGGGACCCCAATCATGGGCGGTTGGTCCACTTGGTTCCTTTTAGGACTTCAACAAGGGGACCTTGGAAGAAAGACAGACCCACACCTTGATGGACAAGCCTCCCATTTCATCCATCCCAAGTGGTGCAGGATCCAGCAGTGGGCGTATGGCATCCTTGTGCCGTATAGATGGCACTGTGAGTTTGGTTCCAAGAACAAAACAGGGCTATGTATGTTTCGAAGTTGGAGGGCCATAACCCGGGCACTCCAGTACAGATCAACACAGAACTCTCCGTCAGCCATTGTCTCTACAGGGTGTCCAAGCCATTTCAAATTTCTGCAACTTTTGAAGGGGAAATCCAGTGCCCCCTGTTCTAGAGCAACCTCCTTTGAAGATATGGGTGTGGTTCCTCTTTTTAACGGTACGTCTTTCTTGTGACTGAAGGGACACCACAGCAACACACCGGGCCCGACAAAAAGACGAGCCTCCCATATCCTTGGGGCAAGAGGAGCTCACCGAAGGCTTCGGTCACGTGTGCCGTTTCTCGTCGGGCTGGCCCCCCCGTTTTATGTGGGTGGCTTCCTTTTGGTTTTCCCTTGAAACAAGAAAAGGGGGTAGCAACTCAAAATTGAGACCCGTATGATAGTATGGGCGTGTCTTTTTGTAGGTACCCCCAAAACCGCTTTGGTCTTTCCTTTGGTGTTCTTTGAACAGCGGCGAAAAGGGGACCCTAGAAAAGGACACGCTCCCAACCACAATAGAATTTGCCTTTGGGCAACCCACACAGTGGGGTCTTTTTTTGGGAGTTGGTTCCCCTTTTTGGTGTGTTTGCAAGGGACAGCGAAAACCGCCAGCCAATTATGGGGGTTCACCCTTCAAAAAGACACCCAATGGGTTTCAGCCGGTTTCCCTCTTCACACCAAGCATGTTGTCTGTATCGGGGTCCTGGCACCTGGCGGCAGAGATCACCGCGCCCCCCGCACCGGGATTTTTGTGGCGCTCTCGATACCATGACAAGTCTTGGCCCGAGGTCAGTCAAGCTGGCGGGGCTAGATTAGCTTTGGTTTTGGAGTAGCTATTGGGGAAATGCCATGAGATGAGATTTGCTACAAGTCATATGCCACGACTTGGGTCGGTCTTTTTTTGGAGGAACCCTTTTGCCGATTGATTGGTTTTAAAGGAATCCCAAAGGGAAAACCCGCAGGTCCAACCCAAAAAAAGACGAGCCACCGACTTGTGTTAGGAGAACGGGAGGAAAACAACGCCCCCCATTGATTCGGCTCAAATGCCTTGTCTTGGGTTCAAAAAAAAAAATGTCTTAGGGAAAGGGAGAAAAAAACAACCGCAGCATGCCCTCGGTTTTGGTACGCTGAAAAGTCGGCTAGACCTCAGGAAGCAACTCAGCCTGGAGACGCAGAAGGCCGGGCAGCTGAGGCCGGGGCCCGATGAAACCTCCGCGCAACGCGGTGCTTTGCTCGCTGAGACAGGTGCCCGTCGACTCCTCGCTAGACCGTTTTAGTAGTAAATCCAAAGTGTGGACTTTTTCGGGCCCATCAACTCCCTGAGTTCCGTTTCGGACTTTCGAAGCTTTTGGGTTTGCGCAGACACACCCATACACACGCACACGCACGCCACACACACACACACACTTATGACACATGCTCATCACACATGCTGTCACCGACGCTAATCCCACACGCTTATATCGCACACACACACAGATCACACGCACACATATCACATCAGACTCACAGACGGCCAGACACAGACACAGACGCCAGGGGACACAGACGACACAGACACCACAGACACCACAGACACCACAGACACCACAGACACCACAGACACCACAGACACCACAGACACCACAGACACCACACCACAGACACCACAGATACCACAGACACCACAGACACCACAGACGCAGACACACAGACACGCACACACACACACACAGACACAGAGATATGCGACACAGAGACACACAGAGACACACAGAGACACACCGAGACACACAGACATAGAGACATAGAGGCACACAGACGAAGACGCACAGAAAACACAAACACAGAGACAGACACATACCGACACACAGACACACCGAGACAAACACACACACACACACACACACACACACACGGACACAGACACACACGCACACAGACGGACGCACAGACACAGAGACACAGAGACACAGAGACAGAGAGCCAGAGAGACATAGAGACATAGAGACACAGACACACAGACACACACCAACTATTTTGAAGTGTAGTCCTGAAACATGTTTTTGGCAATCCTTAGGTGGTGGTTGGACTGGTTTGGGGATTTGAAGCCTGGGCTCTTTGTAGGGGGTAAATGAGAAACTGCTAGCATGCCAAGGGTTGGAAAGTGAAGGTGTATGAGAGGGTTTGGAAGACTACCATTGGCTTGAAAAGGCCTTATCTTGTTGGAATGGGTGGACGGATTTTTGTGGGTGTGTGTTACATACACTAAGCTGACCAATAGCTGAGCCAGCCAGGAGCCAGCAAGCTCAAAGGACGAGCCCCGTGTGGGAAATGTTGGAAAGGGTGTTGAGGTCGAGTCCATTTCAACCCGTAAAGAAACTCCAGAGCTGATGTGACGGCCTTTGCCATCCCCAAGCAGCCTTCTGGGGGATTTCCCTTGAGGTTGCATCGATCTCAGAAAGCAAAGAGTTGGGGAATGTCCCCTTGCCAAAGGTGTGGATATCAAAGGCCCTGTTGATTCTTTACGGGCTTTTGGGCAACAGTTTTCTTTGTGACTCAACAGAAAACCGTTTTTGTTTGTTCACCAATCAGGACCTTCTGTTGAGCATCAATTCAGCGTTGCAGGGCCTATGACGCCTGCGTTGTTTTTTGGTTTGTTTACCAATCAGGACCTTCTGTTGAGCATCAATTCAGCCTTGCAGGGCAGAGCCTATGACGCCTGCTTTTTTTTGTTTTCCCGATGCGGGTGAGCAGTTCCAGATGACTCCTTTGGGACCCCAACAAAGGGACACAAGATGGACACAGAGCCATCTGTAGACAAACCCGCCCAACCCTCCATTCGACCCCGAGTTCGCACAGGAATTTGGATTCTAGCAGTGCGAATCTGCTGAAGCAATGCTTGGGCAAGATCGAGGACGTGGTGAGTCTCGTGGTCGAGCGCCATTTGGCGATGAAATGAGTGGTCAAGGGCTTGACCTCGGCTTTCCGCCCGACCGATTTTGTTTGACCTCCCCCTACACCCAATACCCACTTCTTTTTTCGGGTATCAGCCCTTAAGGAAGTATGGTCCAAGGAGAATCAGGTTTTCCAAGCGAAATAATTCCCTGAAAGAAAGAGGTCTGTTTTGAGTGGGTCCAATGTGCGGGGCTTATGGACGTTGAACCAGGTCGAGGGTCGAGAAAAAAAACCCCTATTTCAAGGAGCGCCATGGCGATTTCGTGAGTTGGGCAACCGATGCACATCCATCCCCCAAGTTGGTGGGTGGGCAAAACAAAATCCCCCAGTGCAACTGTTGTAATGTTTGCTTTGATGGGTATGGGTCAAAATTAAGCGTTCAGGGGACCGCAGATCATAGTCCATGTTTATCTACCAGAGCAAGCCATGTTAAAATTGCCCTGTTTTGGAACCACACTCAGATCTGCGAGCCTACTGCAAGCCACCGAAATTGCGAGGCATGCAGAGCTACTGTAGCGAGTCTGGCTTCTTGGACAAGTTCGCCAAGCAGATCAAGTCGGGCGCCGATAGAAGTGCTGTCGCCCCTCGCCGCCAAGTACGTCTTTCGACGATGCATCATGATTTGGCAGTGGGTCAAAAAGTGGGTTAATCCAAAGTGGCTTGGCCGGGTAAATAGAAACATGGACTAATTTTTGAGCCATGCTCTCGAAGTTCAGAGTCAAGCTTGCGGGTGTTTGTGAGGTCCAAACTTGTGTGCCAAGGGTCTCCAAGTGTACAACCATGCGTTTGATAATCAAAAGCCCCATCCTCGAAATGATGACTTGGGAGGGGGTGAATTCCTGGAATTTTGCAGGTGTTTGTTTTTTCAACCACATGTTAAGTTTCCCACCCCCCGCAAAATGTGGAGTTGGACGGGGTGTCCCCTGGAATTGAATGCGCACGTTTGCGGGCGAGAGAAAAATGGAATTGGGTCGTGCCCACTCCCTCTTAAGATTGGGGAGAGGGCTCGCCGATGTTAACCATTGCACTCACCCAGCTTACATCTTGTATGGTGGCTGAGGACCGAGCATCTGCAGTCCTCAAGGCCAGCGGTTTGAGCCGACGAAATGACCAAAGCGCAACCGCCATTTTCGGTTTGAACCTATGTGCCCCAGTAGTGCCCTTTCATCCTTTTTTGGGGGAGGGCTCCCCTACTAAAATAGACTACAGAAAAAGGGTACCCCTATTCTAACCTTTCTACTGGAGAACCTAGCAACTTTTTGGTGTGGTGCGGTGGGGGTGAGGGGGGAAGGCCATGTGGGCAGAATGGAATAGCTCAGCATTGGACCATAGGGCGTGGCATACACATCGCTGCCGAGACATCCTTTGTAGAAACACGGTAAGGGCTAGTTGTGGTGCCAAAGACGCTGCCTCACGGTGCAAACTTGGTAAATCACTACCATTCTTTGCCCAAATCAGGAAGCCATTTCGAGGGAGAGGAACATGTTGACCCGGGATAATATACCCTTGCTAACAAAAGCTCAAGCCATGGGGAAGCCGGGAAAAGGAAGGCCTGAAAGAAAAACAACGCTTCGGCTTGCTGGATTGGAGCTGGAAAACTGGCCTTTGGTCTCTGTAGGTTTTTTTTTTAGTTGGAGTTCGTACCTTGGTTTTGTGGGTTACAAAACGAAACCAAAAGGACAGCCACCATTTTGGGGGGCCATATTGCCTCGGGGTCTTAAACATCACCTTTTCGGCCAACAGGTGAGATTCCATAGAAATGATGTCTTAAGCGACAATGTACGGAACCCCGCTAAACTTTTCCCGACATTTGTATCTCCCCAACCAACCAGCTAACAGTTAAACCTTTTGCAGGTAAAAGAGTTGCTGAACCCTCCCCCTTTCGCATGGCTTTCAAAGGACATGTTGACCCCAGATTGGGAGGTGTTGTCCGGCCAAAGGGACGGACCTGCTCGCGTCAGATTGTTTTAATTGTCGACCAGGGGTTTAGCAATCCTGAGTGTCCATTTTTCTTTAACCAACGAAGAACATAGCTTCCTGAGACACGCCCGTGAATGGTTCTTGTATGCAAGCATCAAACATTGCAGGTTCAGTCACTTGACAAGGAATATTCAACTTAAATGTTACAGTGAATGGGTGTAATTATGGTGACTCCCTCCACGTTGTCTTGAAGGGCACTCCTTGAGACACGGCTGAACAGTGGCAACATACTTGTCTTGGGTATAATTAACACAAATTGGTCTATCTGGTGGGTGGATCAAACAAGGACTATTCCTTGGCGCAATTTTCTTGCCAATGCAAGCAGGGTCTTGCTGTAGAGTCCTGGTCGTTTTTCTGCAGGCGACGGCCAAGGACGTGCAGATCTTCCAGGAGAGGGCTTCTCAAAAGTACCTCAAATGATGATGTCCCGCATTTGATCCAACCAAATGGATGGCGGTTCCCCGAAGACAGCCAGCAGTCAATCTTGTTCATTGGCGCTTCCCATGTTTTTTGCATGTTAATATTTTGCCTGCTGATGGGGTCTCTGAGGTTTTCCGGGCACACAAGGGGCGAACGATCACTTGCCTCGTTTTGCTGGTGCAAATTGTTTCTTCTCGAAAGCTCATGCGTCCATGTAGGCAACACTTATTTGAAAAAAAACCCTTGTGTAACTCACTCCCTGAGTTCCTGGACTTTACACTTCTTGGGAAGACGAGTAAACGTCTTAGTGGTAAACATAGTTTTTTTGCAAATGCACTGAGGAAGTGAGGTAAGCATTCGTGTAGGATACAAACAAAACAATAACTGTTCGCCTTTTGCCCACCACTCCATAATCATGCATCCATGTAGCAAGGAAAGCCTTTGTGCAAAGCGTGAAGCATTTTCTTGTATCCATCCCACCTTTGTATAAGCGCCCTCGTACGCCATCAATTTGGGTTCAGCATTTTGTGATGTCCACCGTACATCTGGTTGAAATTCATACCCATACAACCGGGTGTGGCTCCTTTTCTCTTATTCGGCCCTCCGATTTTTTGAATGGAGGGGCTCGTTTTGGTTCTTTCACCACATTCCAAGAATCATGCCACAGGGCTGCTCCAAGACCCAAGCTTCGGAAGGCTTCGGTTTTTCCTCGGTCACGTTCCGAGCTACGCCGACGGCTTCGCAGGAGATGTTGGTCTCCTTGGAAGGCGACAATCCCTCGCGCAGCGCCCAGTCGGGCCCTCGACTCGAGTCAAGCAGTGTGGTTTTTGTGTGTCTCCGGCTGGATGGGGACAGGGGAAGTAGCTCAAGCAAATCTTCAAAGGCGAAGGCAAAAAGAAAGACGCCCCTTCCTCTTCCTGGGGGCTGCCCATGTTTGTTGGTTTTCAGGCTTCACTTCTGTGGTTGAAGACCCGGGTGAGCAACTCTTCGAGCACTGGCGAAAGGGGATACTCGCTCAACGCATTCATGTCCTGGAAAAGTACTCAACATGATTCGTTGTTTTTCGAGCCGCTTTTTGAGTTGGTTTAAAGGGGAACCAAAAGGACAACCACCATTCGGTGGGAGCCCTATTTTGAGACACACAAATACCCACACTAGCTGTCCTTCTAGTCTCCTTTTCAACATCCAAAAGGGGGTTCTTCATTTCGGAGACAGGGTCGCAGCTGCATTGGAGATTAGAGGGTTCGCGAAGTTGAGTCCCCTTGTTCAACTCCAGTTGCTGGTTGAACGGGCCGCAGATCTTAAAGTTGGGTCCCTGATCTTTTTTGCCACCCATCAATGCGGAGCGTTGATTGGAATTGAGAGGAAATGGGCGGGGGAATGGGGGATATTACACCGAAATTTCGGCATGTGTTGTTTGTCTTCGGGCAAAAAAGGGCAATGGCAAGCTGAACCAGACCGAATGCATGATCGATTTGGTCATTTCAAAGGGTGGTTGTACTCGGTATCAGGATTAAAGTAAGGCGCTTAAGTGTCTGTCCTTTGTTTGAGGATAATTTGTTGTTTGTGGTTTTACAGGGAACGAAGAGGAAAACCACAATTCTGGAGGGGTCACCTAAAAAAGGACACACCCATATACCCTTTACCAGAAGAAGCAAGAGTCAATGGGCTTTGCGCGCAAATGGCTTTTCCGTCAGCAACCCGTGGCTTCTGCAGAGGTTCAGCTAAAGGGACCTTTTGAGGTGTGTTCTTCTTTTTCTTTGCTAGCCATCACAAGTCAGGTACTTAGCCGGTGGTTTGGCTTGGAATTTTGGAGTTTTGGATTTGAAGCCCTGGTTCTTGGGCGCAAATGGGAAAGCTCTCCCTCTCCCAACCACCGGGCTTCAAGCCACAAATCAGAGGCTCGCTTTGTTTGAGGCAAAGTTGAGGCTGCCCCCTTGCCACAGGCAGGTGCTATCAAGAACCGCCCCTTGATTCAAAAACCCCTGGCGGTTTTGATTGTAGACCCCTCGCGGTTGTGATTGTGAGGCATTGTCTGGTTTTCAACATCATCTGTTGGGCCAATCTGGCAAGCGCGGTTGCATGTATGCGGGCGTGTCTGTTTTGAGGCTTGGCGCCCTAGGGGTCGTTTAGGGGGACTATGGCACGCCGCTTCGAACCGAACATGACCAAGCCACAAGGGCCGATGGGTAATGATTGGTAATTATTTGGTCCGGCTGTTGTCCTTTTCAGGGACCATTTTTTTCGAACATGTGTGTGAAATGATGAAATGGGACTTTTGGAGAAGCTCCTCATTTGTCGGGCTCATCTTTTTCAAAGGGCCATTTCAATCGGACAACCCAGGCTTTCAGCTGGGTTTCCCTTTGTCCCTTTTTCCAAAGAGGGGTTGCCACTGTCCCCATTTTTCGGGCTCTCGGGGCCGGGAAACCTAAACCCCGGCTCCACCTTGCGCGAGTTTGGGCCCATCCCAAAGCCTTGGTCCCCCCCTCAAAAAAAAAGAACGCAAAAAAAACAACAACAAAAACAGCGGCCCGATGGGCCGTAAACGCGCGTGCTTCACAAGACGCTTCTCCCATGGGCAAGCTGCTTCCAATGCTCTTTTGTCCCACGCTCGTCAAACAAATTACTGGTATAGCCAAGAGCCAGGTCCATGAAGGACTTCGAGGAACAGCTAATCTTATTCACGCAAGCTTTGTGCAGTTCTGCGCACGCTCCCAGCAAAGTCTGCAAGCCTGGCCTTTCCATGAGCCTCAGCAGCGAGTTGACCTACATGAGCATGCTTTGGTGCGCCACATCCCAGGCGATTTGGCCTGCGCAGTAGACAAACGCAAGTACGTGCGCAAGACAAACAGCGCAGCAGACAAACGCAAGCGAAGCACAGGTACAGTCCAAGCAGAAGACCAAGCGTCCAGGAGGAATGACAAAGACAGCCCCAGGATGTCCAGCGACAGATGCAGGCGACGAGGATCACGCGCGACAGACAATGTTGCGGCCACCAGCGGATCTGACACACGGCAGCTTAACTCCACCAACTGATCGACGTACTCAGGGTCAACCTCGAACCAGGGTGAGAGGTTGGAACGGGAGCGGAGGCAGACACGATGAGCAGATGAGACAGCACGACGTCATCAGCATGAGCCAAGACGGCTATGAACTCACGCACATTGTGTCATAGGCCCCTCCCACCCCCACATCCCCCCTTTCCTGGCAGCCAAATAAAACCTGAAACCAGGAAATGCTGACGCGAAGCAAAAAAGACATGTAAAACGGCCGTGACAGGGGGATGCACGCGCGTGGGCGCGCGCGTTTGCACAAACAAACAATAACACAAAAACACACACAAGACCCAACGCTCCTGGGAGTCTGCGCGCCAAACGCCTAAAGCCCTCGCCAGCCTCGAGGGAAGCCTCCGAGCGCTGCGCGGCCAAAGTGAGGGACCTTAAGTCGAGGCCTTTCAGCGCCCCGACCTGGGTGGAAATTGGGCGGGGTTGGCTCGGACGCTCCTTTTGGGGGGCCGTTTTGAAGGGTAGCCTCAAGGAAGACCAACGGTTTTCCTTTTGGCTTCCCTGTAAAGACATGAGAAGGGGGATGCCCTCAAAAAAGGCAAAATCGATTCGACGCGGCTTTTGTTGAGCCGCATGGGTGTGAAGCTTGGGCTTTGGACGCTGGACGTGCGCAACAGTTCATGTTTACGTGAGGCTCCCCACTGACGGCTGCGAAATCCAGATGAATTGCACTACCCATCGGAAACTATGGGAATGAGGCCCGTAACGTTTCTCGGTTTTTTGCCGGGGAATCAAATCCTTCCGTTGGGTTTCTGAATGGTGACTTCAGGATTTCGCAACCATCCGGAGTATCTACATAGAGGGGACAACAAAACATCGCATGGTGCCGTTCACTGGACCGAGAGCATGTAAGCTTTGGTTTCATAGCAAATGATTTAAAAGAATGGAGGGACATCGGGATGAATCCAAGTTTTCCCATGTCCTCTAAGGGAAACAAGTCAGTTTTGACTGTGGCGCATATCCCGGTCCCCCTTGTCCAATCATGAAACCAAAAAGCTGAGTCCTCCCCCTTGAAGGGAAGCCAAGAGAGTGTTGCAACAGTTCTGGCGGTGTAACCCATGGGCTTAATCATGGGGTCGGCTTCTCCGTAGCAAAACTGGGGTTCTCGGTCAAACGCCGCGTATTGGGATCCATGATGTCTGGTTTGTGATGAGACAAAGTGCAGATTGATCCACATGTTTCCAGGATAGTATGATAAATCTTCATAGCAACTCGATTTGCTGGGAATGCCCAAGTGGGCAAAGAGGGCAAGGAGGAGCCGTGGGCTTCTCCTGCTTACCTTGGCTGAATTACTTGGCCTGGGCAAATGAAATGGGTGTGTGTGTTTTTTGACGGTACCCCTCTTTGGTGTGAAAAAGACAGATCCTTGAAAAGACAGACCCATCTCACCCGTCCTGTCTCAATTTCGTTCGTGGATTATTCGGTGTTCCTGGCAGTTGCTGCCCCGAGAGATCCCTCTAGTCTCAGTCCTCGACTCGATTTGGTGAGGGCTTCAAATGTCCTAGAGAGCACCAATCCAAAGAGGGTGAAACCCGCGTTGGCCCATGTTTCACTGGTTTAGTAAGGATTCCAGCAAGACCTATGCACACCAGCTTCACAACCATGTTGGTTCTGGTAGCACGTTTTGGTCGGACGTTGTGGGAGTGTATAGACAACCATGATAAGGATGCCTCCTAGTTGCACAACATAAATTTCAGAAGGGGAGCCTCAACTCCCAGTTCACAAGGGGCCAAGACCTGAAGCTCGGATGTGGTGCACCTCGCCAAAAGCAAAGGGACATCGCGTGGCTCGCACTCAGTGCCTGCCCCAACCAGGATTCCTTTTCTTCAGTTCCGAGCCATTTCAGCGATCATTTCAATGGAGATCAGAGTTGCCGCTTTTGATTTGGGGGAAATCCAGTGACTCACTGCTTTTGAAGGTTTCCCATTTTGTTTTTTCCGGTTTTGCCATTTCCGGGCCAGTGCCTGTTCCGAGGTGGCCCTGTGAACCCCTTCGCCTGAACCTGGCCAGAGATGGGGGCATTAAGCCCAAAACCAATCGGACAGTACCCTTTTTTGGTGCGATTCAAGTCATTTTAGTCCATGTTGGAGTCCACGTTGGCCCATTTCAACTCATTGAAGACGATGTTGGTCTATGTCAGCCCATTTTCGTTCATCTTGGATCATTGAAGCCAAGTTTTTCGATGTACTACACAAGCCGTCCGAATGGTTTGGCACGCAAGATGCCACTGCCCAAAAGTAAGGCAGAGGCTCTGGCAGAACTCTACTAAAAAAGCGAGAACCGAACTCGGAGCACGGGTTTCTTGCATAAAAGGGGAGTCTCATTATTTTCAGAGCCCCCCGTAGGCGTTCTGGGACTTTTTGCTGCTTTGGGAACCATCCTGGGAAGAGCCAGACTCGGTTCGCAGTTGATAGGGCGTGCGCGGCCATCAAAAGGCGAACCCTCGGGTCGACCCTAACCAATTCATGGTGCCTTTTTGGGCTGAAAGAAAGAAAGAAAGAAAAATGAGAAAGAGAAAGAGAAACAGAAAGAGAGAAAGAAGAGAAAGAGACCCCCGGGATCCCTAGGGATATGGCCCTTAGTCCTTAATGGCCAAAACAATGATCACCATGAGTCGCTCATAGTCACTGCTGTGGATGGACAAAATCCTGTTCGCGCGGCCTAAGAAACCCTGGAAGCATGATTCCCCTAAAAAAACACCAACAAAGATTGGGTTTCCCACGGTTGTTGAGGTGCTGCACGGTTTCGCCCACAGCATTAGTCAATAATAGGTTGCAATGGCCTCCCCTGCTGCGGCTTTGAGCCATGTGACGAAGCATTCGTGCATGTCAATGTGAGCGGCGCTGAGCAGATGTTGCCGCGGTATCGGCTTTGGGTGGTCCATGTACTATCGGTTTCGCAGGTGGATACTGGTTTGGGGGTCCCCCATCGATTTCTGGGGCTAATATTGTCGGGGTCTCCATGTGAATTTTCTGAATCGTTGGTAGCGTGCAGATCTTGGGAGTGAATTGGCATACTTCGGATTTGGCAAGATGCTTGGGGCAGTTGCTGCTTGGTGTGGCGGGGCTTCAGGCATTTGCCCGGAAAGCCATGTTTTTTTGGCTTCAAGCCCGTAGGATTCTCATCATGAAGCGGAAGGCGCCAGCTCATCCCGCGAAGGACGTCAAGAAAGCCAAGGGGCAAAGTCGGCAAAGCTCCACCGTCGCGTCGAAATCAGAGAAGGGTTTGTCTGAAAGAAGGTTGAAGCAGTATTCGTCGGCGAAATCTGGAAAGCTGTCCTTGTCAGTGGGCATCACTGGAGCTCGAGCAGGAGACATGCTGCGCGGTGTGGAAGGAGCCAGCAACGGTGACGTGGCGAATGTAGTTCTGCGCATCGTTTCCGGCGTGGTTGCTGCACCGTCGATCATTCGCAGAAGCGTGGAGGCCGAGGTGGGCCGGGAGGCCCTGGTGGATTCTGTCAGCAAGCACTTCGGCATCTCCAAGGCGGCCGCGGGGCTGCGCTACGACGACTTCCCCCAAACTGAGGCGCCCAATCACCAGCCCCTGGGCTCTGGATGCGTCCACGGCGTGGAGGAGGACTGCGGCTGCCCGCCGGCCGCGACCTTCGTCGTTGCTTTGGCGCAAATTGGTGAAGGGAGGTTAGGACTGAACCACTTTTTGCCAACTAATGGCTTTTCCGTATTAAACCACTAGAGGTTAAACTTTTAGCATGGGAGCAAAAAGCGACCGAGGTTGTGTCGCAAGGAGTGTGGCAAGGTTTCGCAGAACAGCACGGGAACGGCGCGGAGCTGCAGCGCCTCGGTACAGATTTGGGGCATATTTTGCTTCGAAAGCTTGAGTCGAGCAAGCTGCTTTCAAGACTTTTGGAATGCAGCAAGCTATGCCCGGAGTCAACCTGGTGGATTAGTAGGGGTGTACTTCCCCCAAAAGCCAAGTTGAATGCCTCTGAAATGGCGCACCTTTTGCATCAAAATCAATTTCCCTTGACATGTCCGGGGTCTCCGATCCCAAACATATTTCATATTTTTGGATTGACTATGAAGCAGAATCAGAACATGTTTGTTTCTCATACTTTAGAGCCTCTGGCTCAGTCCGCCGACATTGTCCTCTCCCTTTTCTCCTGCTTCCTCTCTCTCTTTTCTCCTCCCCCGTGTTCCCTCGTCCTCTCTCCTCTCTGTCTCTCTCCTCCCCATGCTCCCAATCCTCTCTCTCTCTCTCTCTCTCCTTCTCTCTCTCTCTCTCTCTCTTTTGTCTCTCTCTCTCTCTCTCTCTGCTTCTCTGTCTCTTTCTGTCTTACTCTCTCCTTCCTCTCTATGCCTCTCTCTCTCTCGCGCTCTCTCTCTCCCTCCTCTCTACCTTCTCGCAATGCCTCATTCTCTCCACCTCGTGTCTCTGCCCCCCCCCCCCCCCTGCGGTCGCTGCCTCTCTCTCCCTCTCTCTGTCTCTCTTCTGTCTCTGTCTGTTTCTCTCTCTCTTTTTTTCTGTCTCCTGCTCTGTCTCAGTTTCTTTCTCTGACGCTTTCCCCCCTTGGGTCTCTGTCTCTGTCTCTTTTTGTGTCTCTGTCTCTGTCTCTCTCTCTCTCTCTCTCTCTCTCTCTCTCTCTCTCTCGCTCTCTCTCTCTCTCTCTCTCTCTCTGTTTGCATTGCAGCGTCATGTCCCCCCTGAGTTGCCTCGATTTCCGTGCACTCCTGAATTGTCTTCGCACTACTGGCTTTCCCCTTGATTTCGATTTCCCCTTCATGTCCTTTTCATGTCTCGCCATTTTTCGAGGATGTCCTTGTCACGTCCCCTTCCATTCCTTTCAATTCCCCCTTCATGTCCCTATCATTTTCTCGGTATGTCCGCTTGATTTTACCGTGTATGTCCCTTTCTTTCATCCTTGCAGTCCCCCCTCACTCCCCTGTTTTCATTTCTTTCCCCTTCATGTCCCTTTCAGTTTCCCTGCGTTTCCCTTTCATTTCCCCTTGCTTTCCTGTCATGTCAACTTCCCGTCCCCTGCATGTCCTTGCATTCCCCTTTATTTCCTCCCCTCATTTCCCTGCACTTCCTTGCATTTTCCCTTCGCTCCCCGGTATGTTTCCGAGAAAAAAACACTGTGTTTCGAACGTGTTCGCAAAAAGGATGTCAAAAACACAGAGTTTTTCAGATTTTCGGCAAAAGGAGGCAGAAAGCAAAGAGCCGGCAGGGGGATTCGAGCCTGGGACCCTTGTTTTGCAACACCCTCTCCGGGGGACACCCTATTACTACTGGAAATATATGTATTTTTTCCCGGGGGCTTAAGCAAATGGAATATTTATTTTTTACTTCGAGCCGATCAGAAAACGGGCCCAGCCGAATCTCTCCAGGGCCATGGTGGAGGAGCACCGCGCAGTCTGCTGGCGCGATGTGTTGAAGCTGATGTACACCCCGGGCTTGCCGGAGGCGTGACAGCTCGCTGCGAGGGGTGCTGCTGACTTCCGTTTGGTGAAGAAGATGATTTGGTTATTTTTCTGTTGGGGGAATCGATGTCACTACTGGATTGTCTCCTTTTTTCCAGGTTAGGAATATGGCACGGTCGTCTCAGAGCCACTGTCAAGACTTGAAGCTTCACGGAATCCAGGAGAAGTAGGTCGAGTTGATCCACGGTGTAATTGTTTTCTTCCTTGGATTGCTCACCTTTTTGTAAACAACCGTTTTGTTTTGGTGGAGCTTTCCGTTGCAAAGCGCGCGAAAAGCCGGTGTTTCCATTGAACAGCGGAAACGCACAAACCGGGAAAGGGGCTCCGATTCCTGGCTTCCTTTTGAACACCCCAACTGCAGGGGCCCTCCCTTGGGTACTTGGATGGCATCTTTTAAAGGGGTTTGTTTGCTCAGATGGGTGCTGTTCCGCGAAACAACGTCCCCCCAAAAAGAACCACCTCTGATTTTCGAGGGCCACCCACCCCATATCCATCGCTGTTTGTCCACACCTGAAGATTTACGCGCACAAAGGGTTGTCACACTGCTGGACCCCGTGTGTCCAAATTGGGGGCGCCCCATAAATAGAGGTTTTCCTTTGGAGTCCCTTTCAAACCAACCAACACCGAATGGCAGCGGGGAGCATCCGGGGCCGAGTATCGCATCCGGCGAATATCGCTTGCATCCGGCGAACGCCAGGGCAAGAAGCTGATCCTTCGTCCTCGGCTCTTTGAGCTGGTGGCGGGACCTGAGCAGATCCTGTCAGAGGCGAGCTGAATGCACTCAACATGGTTCTTGTTGGGAAACCTTGGACACATTTTTGCTTATGGTGGTCTAGTGCTTGAAATCAGTGCTTGAATCCAACTCCACTGAACTGCTATTTTTTTCAGAACTTTTGCTCCCCTAACCCAACGTCAACCAAGGAAACTCCTTTGGTTTCCCTGCGGTTTGTGTGTTTCCTGGTCCATTCGCACTTTCACGTGGGACGCCAAAGAGAAGCCCGGGCTGCCTGGCTGCGGGATGAATCTGAGGGATCCCTTCCCATGAGAGAGAACCTCTTCTTGCATATTATATGCTTCTGTGTCTCGCAGTTTTGGGACAGGAGTATCCCAAAGCTTCCCGTGTATAATATGAAGAACTTCTTTCGCTACAAGACACCCACAAGAATCACATCTTCCTCCCACTAGCAGGGCACCTGTGGGAGAGCATCTGGCAAGTCAGTTTCCTCTTGGAGGGCCAGGCGCCGTGCTCATGGCTTCAGGAGGCATCTTTGAACCTGCCTCTATAGTGGGAGGGCATTCTTGACACCAACTTGAGGTAAAGAATGAGGAGGTCTTGGACGTCTTGGATGCCTTTCCTGGTGACAGAGCAGGCGCTTTGACTCTGAGGCTCTCTGGTATGCTGGTGCGCGTGCCGGCCTCTGCACAGGCGTTGGCGTGAAGGAAATGAGATGGTCTTCGGGGTACCTATTTTGTGCGACCGGTTTGAATGGAACTCAGCACTGTTGTTGGCAAGTGTTTAGTTTTTGTCGCTTCTTTGTTTGGTGCTGTCCATTTTTAGTAGGAGGCTGCAAAAACAGTAAATTTTGCGCTACCATACCAAGGGTCATAGAGTGACACCAACAGAAAACCGCCATTTTACAGGTTCCCCTGTTTGTAGGACCAATTAATTTCATGGGGAATACCTTTCCAAATGTTTGAGAGCCCATCACGTTTGGAGGTCCTTCCACCTCGAGTTTTCAGGAGCATAGGACTGAACCATTGTTTTGACTTTCTGGGGCAGCAAACAATGTCTAAAGAGGCCCACATATCCACAACGCTTAGAGTGTTTGTTCATGACCGTACGGATTTGTACACCGCTTCTTGCCACCCCTCAATCGTCAGAACCTCCAGCCTTTTCCTCAGCTCCATTTTGTGAGATCTCTTTTTGGACACTCGCTGTTTTTCAGAGAGTTTCCTTGGGTGAAGCTTTAAACACCATTTGTGTCTCAAGAGTTTTCTGGAACTAACATAGCTATTGTCCAACCCACTTCCTTCCAGGTAACCCCTGAATTGGTTGTTTGGATTTGGAATTGAATCCTTGAGAGGTTGTAAATGGGAACCCCCCTTAATTACCAAAATCCAAACCACCAATTAGGAGGAAGCTGATACTGGTTTGGTCGCTGAATGCTAGTAACCCTGCTTGCAAGAGCTTTGGGGGAACGACTGCCAACTTGAACTGGAATGTCCTCCCGGAAATTCTTGGACTGGGGCTCCCAGACATTGTTGACCATCTGCCAGCCCCTTTGGACTTGTTGTTTTCTAGGTCCTCCAGTAGTGCCAACTTTTAACCCCTGTTTTGGTTGGGAGGGTTCCCCCACTAAAATAGACTACAGAAAAAAGTCGGGTACCCTTAGAATATAACCTCTCTACTGGAGGACCTAGCTTCGCATTTCGGGGCACCCGGGCCCTTGGACAGGCTTTCCACTTGGAGCCGGAGGCCGTCCGCGAGGCGGTCGAGGGCCTGATCTCCACCAGTGAGGAGCAACTCGGTGGCGTTGCGGGAATGAACCTGGAGATTCCCTTAAAGGAAACCACAAGGCATGGTTCACAGGGCTCATTCCATTTCTCTTCTCTTGCGACTGCTTCCAGCACGCACCAAAGCCACGAAGAAGCCTTTGTTTGTTCCTTTCCTCTTTTTTTCCCTTTCGGAGTTCTTCTCTTCACAGCCAACCATTTGAGAAATCCTTGCAGTGTTCAACAACTTGTTGAGACACCCTTCCTTTTGTTGAAAAATAAAGAACCGCCAATTTCGAGGCCCTTCTTTTTCGGACATGTACACCCAAACTTCAGGAATCTGAGTGGGGTCCCAAAAGTATGGCGGAAAGGAATGGGAGATCAACCAACCTGCCTTTGTTCCCCCCCCCCCCCCCAAAAAAAAAAAAAAAAAAAGAGGAGGGGTTGCAGAGGGTATGCATCTTGCTTAAACCCGCCAACCAGTTTGTCACCTTTTGCTCTCCAACACACCCAGCACCTGATGGACCTGGAACAGGGTTTTTCTCTTCGCACCCTGTGTCAGAAGGGCCCATGCCGGCCGGGAGGGTATATTTGGGGGTACATTTGGGGGTTGATCAAAAGGTGTCCGATGAACATGGGATGACCATGCGGGGTAGAACCGCCGCAAAGATCGCATTTCAAAGACATGGGGAAACGTTCGCCATGGTCAAACCCGGGGGGGGGGGGCGAACGGAGCTTTTGGGCTTCAGGGAGCGATCGCAGTCAACAGCTGGCTCCGGTCCGGGGCGGCCCTGAGGCAAGGTTCCACAAACGTTCCAGGGTTCCAGCATAAGGTTCCAGGGTTTCAACTGAGGGGCTGCGGGTGGGGATATTAGCTGAGGCAGATCCTCGCATGCTTGGCTCCGCTGCGGAAGCTGAGCCTCGGGGCCTTGAAGAGCTGCCTGCAGAAGGTAAGTGGGTGGCCCCCTTTGGGTTTTTTGGTTGGGGGTTGCTGGATCCTGTTGCTGCTTTGGCTTGGCTTCGGTTTTTCAGTTTCGTTTGGATTGACACATGTCTGTTGAAGGGATCATGTCCTTTGAGCAACGATTGGAATCCGACTTTGGAAGAGACCGCTGGGAAGTGATCAGAAGCACACACAGAAACCAGTACCATTTCGTGTTCAACCCAACTGAGCTAAAAGGACACCGTGATGTCATCGGCATTTTCAGGTATGGGTTTTGGAGGTATGCGACAAACCCATGCAACCAATTTTGTGGATGCCTGTATATCACCTACGGCAGTATATACCCTATACGAGGTATGTAAACTCCATAACTCCCAAACCCCGCCTGAAAATGGCTTGAGCCATCAGACGACTCCGGCGGTGGGGTCATTAGTGGATCGGGTTGACTGTTTTTGGGGATCAAAGTCAGAAACTGCTTGGTTGTTTCCCTTTGACCTGCCACTGAACGGGGGTAACTTTGATGGTAAACTCATGGGGCCAGTATAACCATGGTAAGGGAGCACCCCCAATCCCAGTTGTCAAGGCAAAATTGTATAGGTGCATATTTGAACCCATGGCCATTTAGAACCCTTTAATCTCCCATCAAAAAGCCAGAACTAACGATCAATTAGGCCATAACTAGGGTTTAAACCAAATGTTCATCCTTTGAAGTTCCAACCTATAGGGTCCTTACCCCAAACGGACAGTGTCCAACATCGGTGGGTGAGACGAACCAGCGACATTCCCAGGGCTAGCGCCAGGTCATCCGCTTTCACGCGAAGGACGTGTCCCTGGGCCAGAATTCCGTGCCCGTCCCGGCGCCGGTGGTCGCGGCGGCGAGCTGCGGCCTGCTGTTCGCGGCCAAGGCGGGACAAAGCACATCGGTTGAAGAGGGATTCCCCCGGTTTGGGTGTGTCTTTTTGAAGGACAAAAACTCTGGAAATGGTGGTTTTCAGGGATTGCGGTTTGGGTGTGTCTTTTTGAAGGTTGGTTTCCTGGAAACGGTTTTTGTTGTCCTTTCTTTGCTGGTTCTCATGAGGGAATGAGAGAATTTTGTTTGGCCAAAGGTGAGTATCCCTTGGGGTGATGTTTTGGGGAAATGTAGGGACAGAGAAACCGATCGCGATGTGTTGGGTGGTTTTCTAGGGGAAACCGCCAGGAAGCAAGCCATGAACTGGTTTTTGAGGGAACTGGGCGATCTTTTAAGTGGCTTACAGATGACCGTTTTTCCCACCTTCACGTTTCCTTTCAAGAGACACCCCGCCTATTTTTGTTGGTTCCTCTGCGGCGTTCCATCTGGGTCTGTCGCAACAAAAGGCGGGCCCTTTTTGCATGGTAAAGTGAAGCTGTGGCTCAGAAACCCGGAATTCATTCCAAACTGGCTTGCCCTGGTCAGTGGACACTGGAAACCCGAAAAAACCTGCGGAATGGGCCCCTCCGATCGTTTTTTTTTTGAGCCAGACCCAACTGAAGCCAAAAAAAAGGGGCAGCCAGTTTGACTGGGGCCCCGCTCCCCGAGCTTGGTGTTTGGGAAGGCCGTCTGGGAAGTGGTAAACCACCAGTCCTGCCCCTTTTTTGGGGCCAATCCACTCAGGTTTTGTGAAGTCCCGAAGTGAACATGAGGTTCGGGGCATAGGCGTCCTGTATTTTTGGTGAGATTGCTTAGAAAGAGATGGGGGTTCCACATGTTCAGATGGCCGAAAGGACCCCCGTCTATTTTTACCCAACAGCACCACTATGGTTCGGTTCCCGCCCTCCCCCCCCCCCCCTTTCCCGGCTTCGACCTCGCGCCTCGGCCGTGGCTGTGCCGCGAGGGCGGCTTCAGCCCGGAGCTGCAGCTCTTCACGCGGGGCTGCACCGCGGCCCTGAAGCGCCTGGCCGTGATCTTGGTGGAAGACGCCTGGGTCGAGGACCCCCAGGCGACTCGAAGCAAGCCAAGCGAAGCGCAAAATCGAGGGATGCAAAGGGAAGCCGGCAAGTGAGAAGTGGTCAAGGACAGAGTCTATCCCATGCGGGGGTTCAATTTTTGTTTGGGAGGGGAACCGGGGGCCGGCCCGAAAAATGGGGGATGGACCTTTTGATGTCCCTTTATAGCCACCAAGCAGGGGGAAATGAGGGTACCTTTTTTTTCTCGGTGGTTTTAAAGGGAAGCCAAAACAGAACAAACCAGTTTGGGGGGTCTCCAAGAAATGTTCCATCCCTCTAAGCGAAAATCCTTTAATTTTAAAGGGTCAAATGGGAAAGCCTGGTTTTTGGTTAAGTTTTGGAAAAATAAAGGTTTTCCAGAAAAAAAACTGGTATTTCACTTACATCCTTTATTTTGGCACTTTTCGCAAGCGAAATGTCGGATGTTTGAAGAACAGAGCAAAGGTGCCGGATCTCGAGCAGGTGTTGAAAGGAGCCGCCAGGTTTCTTTCACTGCCAAATTGTATATTGGGTTTCTAGATGTTTTTTTTGAATCTCTTGTTTCCTTTTGTACCGCCAGGTGCGCGATAGCCCCCTGCTCCTCAAGATTGGAGCTCAAAAGGTAGGGGTAGACGCGAGGGCGTGGTCAGCCAAAACTCAAGAATGAAGCGGGACAACCAGCTTGAATGTACAAGTGTGCAGTTCGCTACATCAGTAGCTCTGCGTGATTGACACATCATGCTCAAGCATGGTACTTCTTTTGTATTTTTTAAAACATAATGCAGTATCCCAAAGTGGCACTTGCATTTGTTACTCGGCTCGGCGCACAAGCCAAATGCCAACAAAGCTGGCCTCCGCCTAATTCGCACTTTCTTCCAGCACCCAGAGATTCCTCATAACTTCGATTCGATGGGAAGCACCGTCCAAGCCAAACATGTTGCGTAGTACGTGTTTGTGCCCGAAAACCTTCGGACTACCGCAATGTCATACAAAACCAGTTCGCTGCTCGCGCAATCTAGCTGTGTGCCGGCTTTTCTTTGCTGGAAAGCTTGTGGAATGGCGAGCGCGTGCGAAAAAAAAGGAAACCCATAAAAATCCCATACGAAGCCCATCAAAATCCCATACAAACCCATATTTTTCCGAAAACCTGGTTTTTCCTAACCCGTACAAAAACCGTACAAATCCCATAAAAATACCGTACAAACCCGTACGCGATTTATGGGATTTTCAGCCTCTGCTCAAACAGCTTTCCAGGCCCGAGTTGCCCGAAATAAGCTTGCAAAGTGGCCCTGCGAAAAGCAGTCATTCATGTGTTCGTCCCACGCGTCTTTTTCTACCTGCTGTCCAGTGTTCAAAGTGGGTTACGCTCCGAAAATGATGTTCCTGCGACGTTTAGACAAGCCTGCGAGAAGCTCCGGGATCAATGCTTTAGCACGGGACTTGGCTGTCAAACAAGTGAGCATTTGCAAGGCGGCCCTCCAGACGTATCCGACGCGAGCTGTACGCAAACAGTCCCAAGCAGATTGCTCAGTGCCATACACAATATGTATACACGTGCAGCTACCGCTTGCGGTAAACTGGGACTACTTGTTGCCCTTGTCAGCAAGTTCATATTCCAACGCTGTTTTAAACTTCCCGAGCCACGATGGGAAGCCTTCCCAACAAATTGCGGATTGACCATTGTTTCGAGTTCAGCAGGTGATTTGCAACAGGTGCCATGCTCAATGAGCTTGCTTGGATGGGATTGCTAGGCGGCCGTGGAGCGTTTAACTGGATGTAAGAGAGCCAACAAAAGGATTATATTGAGGGAACCACAATCATAACTCACGCAAGACCATTCTGATTACAACGCAAAAAGTAAAAACCCGGTATTTCCTGGAAAAACCTGGATATTTTGCCATACCTTTAAAATAAACGGATATTTGCTTAGAGGGATGTCAAACTTTCTGTGTGAACTCCCGATTTCGAGAAAGAAACAACAGTGGAAGGGTCAACCTCAGTTCCTTGGGCTGCATTGTAAAGGTTTGGTTACTGTGGCCCAATCCACTCAGGTTTAGTGAGCTAGGCAAGAGCATGGAACATGAGCTTGTTGCATTTTAAAAACCGGTTATCGTGTTTCTTGGTGGCTCCCAGGCATCGCTGTTAGCTTTGTAGGTCTTTTTAGTTGGTTTTGTGGTTGGGTTGCCGTTTAACCCACTAAGGGTTATTCACTTTTAGCTGGGGATCTGAGGACAGCCCAGGTTAGTGTAAAAAGTTGAACAATTCGACCTTCTTCCAGGCCAGAAGAGGTAAGTATAAAAGCGCTTCGTCTCACGACTCCCCCGAGAAATGGTGGAGAAATGGGTTCCTAAACAGGATGGGTGAAGAGAGCAGAACAGGAGCTGCAATTCTTGGATTTGTGTCATTTTTGACCCCGCATGTGTTGGCTGGTCTTCCCAATTGGAAAATCGATATGCCAAGCTTCATGGCCTGTTGGAGGTGCTTGTGGTAATGTTCCTTAAGGGAGCCGTGTGGATTCGGTTGGTGTATGTCGCGTTGTTTCTGCGTCGCATGGTGGAAACGACGAAGGGGGGGGGGGGTTAACCTATCGGCCCTATCCCTGGTCATGAACGTCAAGTGCGGAAGGTCACTTAGGGGGAATGAGAAACGGAATGAGAAATGGACTGACCCCACAAGCCTTCCCTTGCGCTTCGGGGAAACCCTGGGTTCATCTTCCAAAAAAACACCAAAGATCACCTAAAACTACTCCGAACCAAGGAAAACACTTCCAAACTACTCCAAAAAAATCCAAAGCACAAATCCAACACCCGGAAGGTCATGCGGGTTTCGCCCTCGCCTTCCATCGCCTGACTTCCAGGCGCCTGCGCAGCTGGCGTCGCTGCTGGCTTTGGGCTTGGTGACACAGCAGATGAGCTATGAGCCGCCCAGGCGTGGCAATTTTTGGAAGGAGTTCAAGGAGGTCAAAGGCTTGGTGGTGAAAAACCAGCCATCCGGTTCCAGAAAGCTTTTTAGATCTTTTTTTTGGTTGGTTTTGTTTGGGTTTCTAAAAGTTATTCATTTTTGGCGGGGGAGCAGTTTGGACAGCCCAGATGGGTCTGCGTTTTGTTTTTTTGCAGGGTTCCGATGAAGAAGGTTTGTTGAGAGGGAGACCAGTTTTGGGGTTATTCTAGTTTGACACGCACTCAAACAGACCAAAGCTGGAGGTGTGTTCGAAGAGGCTGGAGTGTTTGCGCGGATGGGTGGTGTGATTGGGGGGTAGGAGCAGCTTTGTGAGTATGGGTATGAATTCGAAACGGGGCGCCAAAATGAAAAGTGGTCGGTAGCATAATTCCGGCAACGTTTTCGTTCTTGTTTTAAATACACCAGCCGTGTTTTGTTTGTTTTTTTGATTCCTCATCTTGGATTCTCATTTTGGTGTTTTTTCACAATTTAAGTTTGCAAGCAAGTGAGTCAGCGACTGGTGATTCCAGAGAAAGAAACACATACCTCGATCGATCCCGGTGTTGTATTTTTTTACACCAGCCGTGTCTATTTTTAAATTCCTCATTTTGGATTATCATTTTGGTGTTTTTTCACAGACGAGATGAGCAAGCAAGTGAGTGAGCGACTGGTAATTCCGGAGAAGAAAAAAACACCACCTCGATCGATTCCGGTGTTTTTTTGTATTTTGAAATCACGCCTGGGTAGGTCCTGTTCTTTCTTGAAATTCCGCCGGCTCCAGTCCTTTTCTTGTTGGAATCACATATTCTTTGAAAAAAAAGAAAACAACCATCGCCTGGGGGTCCCGGTGTTTTGTTGATTGAAATCACATTAGGGGGGTCCCATTTTTTCATTTTTTTGGTTCTGTTTTTTTTTGTTTTTTTTTTTTTGAAATCACATCTGGGGGGTGCTGGTGGTTTGTTTTTTTGGCATCAAACAAACACCGGAGCCCCCAAGCATGACTTGAAAAGAAAAACACCAATCCCAGAGGCGTGAATTCAAAACAAAGCGGAGCCCCAAGGCGTGAATTCAAAAGACAGAACACCCCGGACCACGGGCATGAATGCGACAAAATCAAGCACCGGGACCCTCTGGCGTGATTTCAACCAAAAACATCACCGTGACCCCCCAGGCGTGATTTCCCCCCCAAAAACGGGACCCCCCAGGCGTGGTCTCAACAAAAAAACACCTGGACCCCCCAGGCCCAGGCGTGATTTCAACAACAAAACACCGGGACCCCCCCCGGCGGGATTTCAAAATATGTGATTCCCCCGCCCCCAAAAAAGCACTGGAGCCTATAAATCCTCGTGCAAATCATGTTTGGCAACGGGCCAACTCGAACCTTGGGTTTGGTTCCTGTGGGATTTGTACCCTTTTTGGGCTTGCACGCTGGAAACGAAACGGACGTGATGCGTTCTCAAGAGGACGTGTGTGAGAGTCTTTGTGCCGAGTTCCAGTTTAACCCTGGAAACCATTTCCTGAAGCAAGCGCGTGGCAGTCTCCTGGTAGCAATTCCATTGAAGCTATTAAGCAGAACTGGATGCATCAAGGGACGCCTTGAGGCGTACCTGCTGCAGTGATGGATGGTCCTTTTGGCCCCTTCGTTTCTCCTGTGGGCTTCCTAGAGGGAAGCCACTTTGACTCCAAAACATGTAGCATCAATCCATTTTCCCTTTGTTTGTTTCTTCGGGAGTCTAAGTGTATGTGTGTGTGTGCTTGGTTTTTAGGGTGCGGAAAACCAACAGGAACGCCACCATTCCCCCCCCTGACGCGCACACAGACACATCCGCGCACGCCCATGCAAGCAAGGGACAGCATGAGTGTAGTCCCTTGTCGGTTGTGTAGTTTGATGGGGGTTTGTTTTCGGTGGTCATGTCCTGGTTTTTTGTTGTCACGTTTAGAAGCTGCTCTCAGCTTCTCATATGAGCAGCTGACAAAACTATAGAGGACATGGGAGCAATCGCATTTTTCCCATGTCCCTCCTCTTGGACAATGCGGTAGTTTTGTCCGGGGCTGGTGGTTCTACAACCTGGCTTGATATGGAGTATAGCAGTCTCTACATAAGTGTCAGAAGAACCAAAACTCAGTGGGGTTTGGCCGCTGCTCATCTGCGAGGCTGCAAAGGGACCTTCACTTTGAGACAAGCACCAGTCAAAGGGTGGGGTTGCAGGACAATTCTAGCGGAAACCCGCTTATTCCGGGTGTTTTGGGCTATTTCCTGGACAATTCTAAAAAGACGTTCGAGGCACGTGGTGGTCTCCGCCATGCGGCTGGCGGCCAAGGCGGCCAGCTCCGGCAGCGTGATCGCCTGGCGGACGCCTTCGAAATCGGCGTCGGCGTCCAAGGCGGGACAGGGCTCACTTCCCGAGTTGGACTTGAGCCACTTTTTTTTTGTTTTTATGGTTGTCGTTGGGGAACATTTCGCATTTTTGCATATTGTGGTTTGGTGGTTGAAATCCAACCACTTGGCTGCTAAAATCTATTTTTCTTTGCTCCCCTTTCAACGTCAACCAAGTTTTGGGGCTGCCACCATTTTGGAGGGGTGATTGCAAAGCTCAGAACTTTTTTTGGTGCCAGCTTCCATTTGCTGAAGTGAAGTCGTTCTCTTGTTTGTTTCTTCTTGTTTTGTTTTTTTGAGTTCCCCTTGTTGTTTTTTTTTTTTTTTTTTTTAATGGGGGGAATCGATTTCACTAGTGGACATTTTTTTCGCACTTGTTTCCAGAGTCTCAGCCTGAGAGATGCGTTTGCCTTATTGGGAGGAAGTTGGAAAGCCCTCAATGGTGACCCCGGATTTGTTTAACCCCTGTTTATTAACATTGGGGTGGTTCCCTCCAAAAAAATAATAAGACCCCTCCTAACCCCGGGGACACCTCCATATCAATAAACAGGGGTTTATTTTTCTCCGGGCTCACCAGTACCATGTTGGGGCGTCCTCACAGGTGAAAGTGAAGGTGTCCGAGCCGCAGAGCCGCTTCTTTCAGAGCTCCGCCCACCTGCTGCGCGTGCTCCGCAGCTTTCCCGGCGACATGGAGATGCTCGACAGGGCGGCGAAGGACCGGGCGGGGCGTGGAAAACGACTCCGCTGGGTGTCCTTCTTGGTGGTTGTGGTCGCAACATGGATGGCCCTGGTTTGCCTGGTGGTAAGATTTTGCTAGAAAAAACAGAGACGGCCCTGGTTTACCCAGTGGTTTCAAGTTTCAATCATCTGCCAGGGCCATCTATTGCCCCTAAAAGGACGACCAGACCTTCGGCCCAGGAAGCTGTTTGTTGTTTGAACACTGGTTTACACAATCCTGGTACCTCTTTACAGGTAAATACGACAGGAGCTTGTTTAAGAAATGGTGGTTGGCAAAAGTGGTGTTTGAACAACCGAGGGCTATTTGTAGATTCCCCCGAGCTTCCTTGGCGGTGTGGTTCTTGGGTTTTGGTTGCAAGCTTTGTTCATACAAAGCAAACCCGGCTCGTGCTCGTTGAACGGGGCCCAAACGGAGTTTGTTCAAGCCAAAGTTTCCCTGGGGCCCAAGACACAAAACAAGCCCCCAAGACCCTCAAAAGCAGGCAAGTAGCGGCTCTAAAGTCATACCCATGGGTACAACCACGGTTGTGACCAAAACCCATATGGGTCACAACCATGGTTGTAACCTACGTGGGTTGAAGCTTCCAAGTGCGCCAGACCGTCTTGCTGGTGCTCGGCAGGGAATGAGAAATGGAACGACCCCGAGAGAAAACATCCAACTGGTGGTTTCCTTTCTTCGAGAATCCCCAAACGGTTCATTCCACCGCATTCCCTCCCGATTTCGCAGCAGCAAGGTTCATTCAACCCCTATAAACCATCCAACTGGTGGTTGCCTGGTTTCCTTTAAGGTAATCCGTGGGTTGTGGTTTCCTTTATACGAGACTCCCTGGGCTCGTTCCCAGCTACCGAGTTCGCAGCCAGTCCCGGTGTTCGAGGCCGCCACTCTGGGCGCCCTGGAGCTGCAGCGCGCGGCGGAGCGCCCGGAGGCGAGGCCGCGATTTCAAGAGCCAGGGCTATTGGCAACTTGATCTTCCAACACCCCTGAAGCGGAAAGGCCTTTGGCTGATGCTTTTTTTTCAACCAAGAGCAACATGGGTATGGCTCAACAAACCAGAATTCCAACAATGGAACCCTGGTAATTGGAAACATGGACCAAAAGCTGCGTAACCCTGGCTCTTTAATGTTGAGCCACTGCCACATCAAGAAGGGGCCCCGGTTTTGCGGGTCCTAAGACCAAGGTTCTTGTGGCGAAGGAAGCCAACACAATCAAAGCCTGGACCATTGGAGGGTAGCGAGGGACCATCCCCTTGCCAGAAATAGGCTGCGGTTGCCTTCATGATTCTTTACATGGTTCTGGGAATTTTAACGCCGGGTTTTGAGCAAGTGACTCAGGTGATGCCGCTGTGCCACCTGGTGGACCAGCACGCCTTCCGCGGGGTGGGGCACGCGACCCGGCGACTGGCGGAGTGGGAGTCAACGGCAAAAAAGCGGGGCCAAAAACGGGGGAAGCCCCGAAGGGCAGTTCATTCCCCGAGTCCTTTTTTTTTTGATGTCCAGCCAAAAGCAATCCACCCCGCGAGAAAGAAGACAGGCTCAGGTGAGGAAGATGCCTGTGGATAGACGAAATCCACCCAAACATCCCCCCCAAGAAACAAAAGCATGCTCAGGCTCAGGTGTTAAAGATGCTGCGGATGGACGAACTCCTGCACCACTTTGAGACTATGGGAAGCAACCTTTGTGTTGATGTCCACCAAAAACGATTCCCCCCCCCAAAAGAAGCAAAATGAGCATCCAAGTGCGAAAAGAGCATCACCTACGTCTTATTTTGCTGGTGTCCGGCGTCCGGTTCGCTCGAACTCCAAGCAAGGTGCTCGGCGCCGGCTCTGGCGCGACGTTTGCGGAGCGCTTTCGGGTTCTCTTCGAGAAGTGCACGGGCTGCAACCCGCGACTGTCCAGCTTGGTGGACTTTGAGACGAGACCTGAGGCAGGGTGGGAGGTTCCCCGAAAAGGGCACACGACTAGGGACGGATGAAATCCGATTTGAAATCTGGTTGATACGCCACCTATCAACAGGTGGATTTGTCCATCCACAGTAAGGGGGGTTGACGGGGTTGGTGTTCTTTTGTTGGGTACTCACTCTCTAAAAGGGGGGTTTGGTGTTTGTTTCTTCTTCTTTTCTCTCTTTTTTTTTCTTTTGACGCACTCGGCCACTCGCTGATTCTTTCAAAAAGCGCGGCCCCGATCGATCCGATCCGATTCGAGGTGCGAGTGGCTCGCTTCGCGCAGCGCTGCTGCCTCCACATGGCGCTCTCGAAAGCCCGGAGCGCGATTCCCTCGGCGTCGGAAGGCGTCTCAGTGAGTTTGGAGCTGGAGCCATGGCCAGACTCGGCAAGAAGCCGACTTCCTTTTTGGAAGCCCCTTTCTGCCCAGAAGGGTCTTCCTTTCGTTTTGTGGGGGTGTTTTGGGCGTGTTTTTTTGAAGGTACGCCCCCCAAAAAACTGAATGCTCAACACCGCAAACCGGGGGTTGCCTGCTTTGCCTGGCCTTCAGTTGCCACTTGCCGCCGGATCCGTCGATCCAAGGATGCAGGCGTGCTGGCTGCGGCGGTTGGACCGGTTCCGGTGCAGGCGGGTCGGAAGCGGAAGCGGGAGCTCCTGGTTTTGCTGGGCCTGCGGTGTCCGGAGGATGAGGTGGGACTACTCGCCAGCTTTGCCATTCCCATCGGGTGTTCGGAGCAATCGCATGGAACCCTTTGGTGGGAATATTTGGGGTTTTGGGTCGTTACCGGAGCCCTAGGTGGTCATGCAAAAGCCAGCGAGGGCGACCAGAGACTTGTTCGGTGAGCTCACCGAGCAAGAGCGAGCAGAGGCGGACAGGGAGCTTTTGGTCAAAAGGGCTTGAACGTCACCTCTTGGGCAAGCGAATGTTGCAATCTCTTTTGGAAAGAGGGATTTAACACGGAACGCGCGCGCCTTGTGTGTGTGTGTCGTTTTGGTTGTTTGTTTGCTTGCTTGTTTGCCTGCCTGCCTGCCTGCCTGTCTGTTTGTTTGTTTCTTTGTTTGTTTGTTTGTTTGTTTTTGTGTGTGCGTGTGCGTGCGTGCGTGTGCATGCGTGCGGGAACCGAGTAATCAAATGGCACTCCCCACTTTGAGACCTCTTTGATCAAGTGGTTCTTGATTGGGGACCCTGGTTTTCTAAAACCGATTGGTTTTTGACCTTCATGTCAGCTCTTGGTTCCCGTTTCCCCTCGAGGCCATCTCTGTGGCACGGTCTCAGCGCCAAAAAGCGCAGTCGCCCCTCTTGCCCGGCACTCAACACGCCCAGTTTCGCGATACCTGGATGCTGGACGGGCGCAAGTGGGAAGACCTGGTCAAGGAGGGTCACCTGTCAAAAGATGTTTGAAGCGTCGGCATCAGGACTTTAGTGGTCACTAGGAACCGTTGCTCCGAATCAAGATGCCTTGTTCTCCTCTTTCATTGAGGGGAGTGGAATCGTATAAGGCCTGAGTTCATTGACCTTGTACTTGTTGATTCGGGACTAGTGGCAAGCAATACGTTCAGACTTTTTGGTTGTCCATTGATTTTCAAAGTTTTTTTTTTTTGGGCGGGGGGAAGCAAACGAGGACCCCGTTGTTTGAGCCCATTTCCCTGTCAGGCGACAAGGCACCATTTGGGTTTGTCTTTTTTACCGTCAAACAAACATGAAAACACAAAACATGGCGGGTCTGACAAAAGAAACCAACAAAAAAACATGTTGGGTTTCCTGTTGGTTTCGCTTCCCAACCACAAACCATGTGGTACCAACTCCGAAAAAAGCAACACGCAACTTGTCCACTTTCTCTGCTAAGGCTTGAAAGTCACGGTCCCATCGGCTCCAGCCCCCGGGTGGTGCAACGAGTCCACAGACTGGGAGCGGCTGCTGGAGGACGACGCTGCCTTCGAAGAGGCGCTCCAAAGCGCAGGCGGAAGAATCGGACCTCGGGGCCTGGGGAAATCGGATGCGCGGGAGGGGAGGGGGGCGTTTTTGCGCCCCCTTTGGGCTTCGGCGGAAAAAAGTTGGCGCAAAGGGGCCGAAAGGAATTGAACTATGTTTTGGGCTCAGCCGAAAGGAACGGGGATGGGAATTTCCGTTCAAAACGGGCCCCGCAGGTTTGGGTAGATTCTTCGGACTTTCGGATGGAGAAAGCAAGCTGGCTTCCCCCACGAAAGGCGTAAGGAGTTTGACGCCGAAAACCGACTTGCAAGGGTGGGCCCATGGCGGTTTCTGGCAGTACTTTGTAGGATTCCAAAAGAAACCCTCGCAGGTGCTGGGATGACCCCCGATGCGCGAAAGTGGACTCTGCGCCTGACCAGTTCCTTGGCTGAGGGGTGACTCTTTTTGTTGCAAGTTTTTTTTTTGGGTTCTGTTTCTTTCCTTTGCTGTTCCTGGCTTTTTTTGTTGCCGGTTGTTTTTTGTTTGTGGGTTCTTTTTTTTTCAAGTTATGGGGCTTCCAAGAACCGTCCGCTTTCGTCCGTCCGCTTAGCAGGCTTTTGAATACGTGGCTTTTCTTTTGGGTTCCTTATTCTCACTCCCCCAATTGCACTTGCTTAAGAATGTTTTTCACTTTCCCCTGGTGGCAAAAGGAGTTGATCAATACTGGCAATACTTATTTCATTTTTTTTTTTCCCAGGGCTCTTCACCAAATGGAAGCCCCCAAAAAGGGACGGAAAGGTGCGCTTCCTCACGCAGCTTGCCTGCGCGGGGTCTCGCTTCTGCGGCAGCAGTACACCAGCGTCCAGCTGCCAACTCCGTCGCTGCAGGGGGGGTTGGTGTCGGATCAGCTGGCGGCCTATGACGGGGACTGGCTGGTCTACCGGCTCCTGGTGGGGGTTGCTTGAAAAGGGGGGAACCCATCTCTGTAGGCAAGCCTTTGGGGAAGCTCCAGATGGGTTTGTGTCTCAAACTAGGAACCCGAACCCCCCCACAGTTGCTGGTTTCCTCTTGGTTTTCCGAAGCCACTCACTCCCTGAGTTGCTGGGCTTTATGCGCTTTTTGGTCCATATTGGCAAACAAAACAGGTTGGGCTTGTTTGGCCACTCAGAAATTGAGGCGACCCCTTGAGACTCAAAAGGAGACTTGACCCAAGCTCTTTTATCTTTTGTTGGGGACCCCCCAAACAAACATGGTTGTTTGCCTTTTGGTTTCCCTTTGCCACCACCAAAACACTCAACAAAAAGACACTCCCTGTATCAACATGATATACATGTTCCCAGATTCCATTGGGCAGAGCCTCAAAAGAAGACGAGCCCAAACATCATTTCTTTGGAGGTCTTGGTGTCCCAGTTGGTGCCAGCGCTGCGCCCCACCGCGCCCCCCAACTTCCAGGCCCGCGTGTCCGGTTTCGGGTCCGGTTTCGGGTCCGGTTTTGGGTCGGGTCTGCGGGGGGGGAAGTTTTCGTCGGAGTCTTCGGATTCGTCCGGAGAACCCCAGAGGAACCGCCTCAAAGAGATCATATCCTCGCTAAAAAGGGGGGAACCACCCCTTAGGGTCTGGATTTGTCCGAAGTGAATCGAGATTTCACCTTGAAGTGTATAGACATCATTGGCATGTAGGGTTTGAGACAGTCCCTGCCCCCGCCCACACTGGATTCCGTGAAAAAGTATTTTTAAAAATCAAGAAAGTCTTCCAAATTGTGGTGGCTGTTGGTGTTTGGGGCAGGTTGCCAGCCGGCCGATTTCAAGAGGGTGTCATTTTGGGGTGATGTTGAAAGGGGAAAATATGGGGAACCCTGAAGTACACTCTTTTGACCAGCACAGCGCAACAACTGCTCTTTGGAAAGTACTGTAAGTGTTGGACATGGGATAAGGCAGGGGGGGTGGTAGATCTTCTTTTTAGATCAGTTCGGGCACGAATCGATGGCACACAACAGTTTGGCTCACAGCGCTTACCTATCTAGTTCTCCACGAGAATCGGGCCCTTTGATCCTCCTGGGCTCCTTGGGTGTACCCCAAAGGCTGGAAGTGGAAACAGAGTTTCCCAAAGGAAAGAGTCCAAAGGAGGGTAAGTTTCCCAAAGGAAAGTAAGTCTCACAAAGGAAAGTAAGAGTCACAAAGTAAGAGTCCCAAAGGAAAGTAAGGAAATTAAGATCTCAAAACCGTCCTGTCACCTTCACTTGTTCTTTAAACAGTCGCAAATCTGTTCGCTTGGTGGCAGGGGGGGTCTCTTGGCCAAGCTAAATTTGGTGGCCGATGTCGCGCGAGGTTGTACTCCACTTCCTTTCTTCCTTTTTTTTTTTGGGGGGGGGGGAAGTGGCATGCCAGGTTCCTGTTTGTGTTGTGTTTTCTTTGTGAGGGAATGATTCGCCATCCTTTCCAAAAGCTAAAGCGGTGTTGCCACATGTGGCTGTGGCTCAAACAACCGGAATTCCAAAATGGGTTGCCCTGGTAAGTGGACACATGGACCAAAACCTGCGGTTTGCCCCTCCGATCGTTTAAAATTTGATCCACACCCATTTACCCTCCCGGCCCAATGGGTTGCCATTTGGTACATGGCAAAGGCGAAAGCCCAGTGGTTGCCGCGAATTCAAACCACCCGTTGCAGGATCGACCTTGTGTCTGGCTGAAATTCCGTCGGACAATTTCCGTCAGGTGGGCAACCCCGTGCTTCTGCGGGTCCTGGAGAAGTGGATGATGGAAGGCGATGATGGAAGTTGAGCGAATTGGGCGAGGAAGAAAAGTGTGTCCCCAAAAAACCATGCCGAAGGGCGCCGGCTGAAGTTGGGGGTTGGTGTAAAAAAAACAATCTCAAAAAACAACAAAAATAGCTGGACAGTGCCAACAGAATGGCGTCCAAGGGTCCTTGGATCAGAACTTCGATCTTCCCATGTTTATCCCCTAGACAAAGTCATGTTGAAAAGGGATTTTTCTGAAGCTCGGAACGGATTTCCTCTTTCGGACCGCGGATGTTCGTGAAGTTAGGACAGGCATCCAACTTTCGAAGAGGAAATCCGAGGAGCCTCTTTCGGGAAGGCTTCCCTCTTTCGGAAGGCATCCAACTCGTTGGGACGGCGCGTCCTTCGGGTCCTTCTTGTTCTTCGGCTTCTGGCGCGGAGTGGGCGGAGCTCCGGCGGCAGCTGGAGGCGTCTGCGAAGCTCATGGAGCATCAGAGGGAGGCGATCTGCCGCGGCCCGACTGCGACGGCCCCGATCGGCGACGCGGGGAGAGACACAATTCACATGGCCATGGGGGGTGAATTCACCTAGCCCAAGATGGTAATTACCATTGGTTTTGACCCACAGTTTTGTTTTTGTCTTTTTCGAGGCCCTTCTCAGGTTGGTTTACAGGGAAACCAAAAGATCACCCCATCTTTATGAATTCCGTTTGGCCCCCAGTTTTGTGCACGGGTAACTTTCCCATGTGGTCATGTGGGAATATCATATTTTAGTGGCTGTCCAATCAGTGGTCATCCCATGTAAAGGACCCGAGTCTTTATGGCTATCTGCTTGAAGGATCTTTGGACTGGAACACTTGGTCGAAACAGCTGGGACTTTTCAACTCTTGCAGCGGGGTGAACAGCAACCATGCCCAACCCTGGCGGGTAGGCGCAGAGGCCGTTTCGCTTCGAACGTAGGGGACCCCGAAAGAATGCATTTTCCTTGCGGCTTCCCGAGTTAAGAGCAAACTGAATCCTCTAAGGGGATGATCCAAGTTTATTTTTCCCTTGTTGGTTTTAAAGGAATCGATCAATCACTACCGGGCATATTTTACATTTTCCCAGGCTGCTTAAGCAAATGGACGCTGAGGGATGATCCGAAGCTTGACACTTTACCCTGGTAGTATACTGGATTTTGACCCATCAATTGTTCCCTGGTCGAAGAATCCTATTTTATGAAGAGCTTACCGATTCAGGATAAAACAAGTAAAAGTCCATGAAGGTCCTTTACTATGCTCCCTGATTGCAGAAGAACCTTCGTGTTTTTGTGTTGTTGTATCCTGAATCGGTAGGCTCTCCACAAACTAGGATTCATCGACCAGGGACACGAGCTACATGGACGCATTCCTCCCAATACTTTAGCGCCCCGGGTTTATTCTCCCAGAAAATCGGGCATGCCTTCCACTGAGCAAGCTGATAGCTGCTTTTGCAGCCATCAGGTATGGTGGAGCGGGACGAGCACTTGAAGTGTGGAGGCCACTTCCTCATCATGGATACTGGTCATGGCAAAACCATCACCGCGCTTCTTTACGCCTTCAGGCCTCCTCCGGAAAGCACGCTTTGTGTCACCAAATGGGCGTTTCAAGTAAAATCGTGGTCCATGTCCTGAAATGGGTGGTTTCCTCTTGGTTTCCCTTTAGCTACCAACCAAAAGGACACCCAGGCCCGAATTGAATAGGAGGGTGGGGTTGTTACGTCCCCGTCAATCATTAATTGATGATTGTATTTGCACAAGGTTGTTTCATGTTGGACGAAATGCAAGTTGGCAAGAGTTGACACAAGTCACACAAAGGAAGTGGAAAAGAGCAAGCAAGTCATAGGAAGGGACACATAAATTGAACAAACGAACAATAAAGATCCTAAGCACTTAAAAGCCCTCTTGGTTGGTTTGGTTTTTCCCTCACGCGGCTGTTCTCCTCTGACGGATGAACATGCTCATGTGTCTTCAATGCCCTGGGAGCCTGATGATCCGAAGGAATTCCTTAGCTTCACGGAGAATGGAACCGAAACTTGGGTGGTTCCCAGCCGTCTTAGGTTTTCAGGTGTCTGGTTGGCTTAGTGGTGGTTTCCATGGGCCTGGATCTTCCACCCGCCACTTCAAAGAGGGGGAGGGTGACACCAGGCCTTCTCAGATTGTTTTCCACAGCTGAAAGCTGTGCGGGCTGGGGATAGCTTTCGAGGGTGCAAAAGGAGGGTCCTTCGGGGGCTCTTTGTAAAGGGGATGCTTGAACATGGACCATTTGGAGACCTTTTCATCGTATCTTTACCTGCAGTTTCCGCTTTGGACCTTACATTTCCTGCCTCTTTCGAGAGGCAGGGAATGGGGACTGACCAAGAAAAACCATGGGTCATTCCCTGCTGGCTGGTGTGAGGGTGGTCCTTTTTGCTTTTTTGTTTCTCCGATGGCAGGTGGCTGGAAAGCAGTGGCCAGAATGTGCGGCGCATCATGTGGGTAACTCCAGCGGGCACGGTGGAGAATTTGGTGAAGCAGTTGCGTGTCTGGGCTGCAAGGAGTTGACGTGCTCCTTGAACAACAGCTCGAGAAAATCTGGCCCTGCTGCGCTTGAGGCACCACCTGGCGCTGTCCGACACACGTGGTGCCTCGTATCTCCAGCGCCAAGAAGCCGAAGACGGGAGAAGGTGCCGACTTGGCTCTCAAGGATTTCATGGTGTGCCTCGGTGAGTCGATCGTTTTGGGACTCGCGGGAGGGCGGTGCCAATTTTTGGGAATGTTTGTGCTCTGTCGGATGTGGGTATGTATCAACATAGGGGTAACCCAACAATGGATTTTGGTTTTCCATTTGAGTCGCAATCAAAACCTGGATAATTGGACGGTAGTTAGGGGCCATCCCAGCCATAAATGGGTGCGGCCCGCCTTTGCAATTCGTTTCATAGTTCTTTGTAGACCATCTTAGCACCGGTCGGTTTTGATTCTGACTCATTCGGCTTCCCTTTAAGCCAGGGTTGTGGATCAAGGGGTTTATCCCCACTCCTGAGATACAAGGCAAATTGCCCCCGTTATTTTAAAAAAAAAAAATGGGGGGGGTACCACAGGAAGTGGATTTCCATCTCAACAGCCGCGCTTTCAGCCAACAAAAAACCATGGAGAAAGCGGCCTTAGGAATGTGATCCATGCGGACCATTTGCGGACTGCCATCGACAAGGGGCTGGCTGCGGAGGCCAGAGAGCCGGTGTCACGTGGCCGTGGTTTGTTCTTTATTGTTTTGTTTTTTCCATGTTCTTGTTCTTTCTCATTTTTATGTCATTTCTTTTTTTCGTTTTTTTCATATATATTTTTTTCGGGGGGGGAGACCAGTTTTTTTCTTTTTCCCGGAGGTTGGGGGGGGGGGGTCCTTTTTCTTTTTCAGAGGGTACCGTTGTTAGGGTGTTCCAAAGGGAATCAGCATGAACACCGAAGCCATTCTTCCCTTCCTACTTTGACACATACCCATTCTGTGCTTCTGAGGGGTCCACAAGAAAGTCCATCATTTTGAACCCTGTACCTGTTTTCTCATGTTCGGGTCAAGAAGCAGGGTTGGCAGATGGATTCCCTGTTTGAACATCTTACCATTGTTCAAACAACTTCCTTGATGTCCTACACTCACTTGGAGAGTTCCGGGACTTGAGACTTTCTAGGAATAGATATCATGTCGGTGGCACCTGGACCAAGTTTTGACGTTTTAGCAAGTGAGCAGTAATTTGGCGTGCCGTTTGTCCAGAAATCTTTTGGTTTGGATACCTCTGCAATATGTTTGCCCCTAGGCCACATCTTCCTTTTTCGTCTTCGATGAAGTGGACGAGATGTATGCCCCGACCCTGCGCACTTCCGCCGCACGTCGGCTCTGCCAGCTTTGCGGGGGCCCAAGTGGAGGAATCTGAGCTGGCTTCCTGCCTGAAACCACTGCCCATGGGGTGTACAATGTTGATATATGGGAGTTGGTTTTGAAGGGCCCCCCCAGAAAAGAGGCGAGATTCCTAGCTTTCCCACGGCAGTCGTCTCGGGGTCGAGACCAAGGAGCGAGCGAGAGCAGAGAAACAAAAATGCGGGCTTCGGTATGGGAATGGAACTATGATGGCTCTAAACTGGAGAAACCCACATGCATGTCCTTTTTGAACGGTACGCTTTTGGGGTTGGTTTAAAGGGACATCAACAGGACAACCACCATTTTCGGGTCCCCTAAAAGAAGACAGGTCCACATCTAGACTGACTTGTAGAGCTGGTAAAGAAAAAAGCCGAGCAGTTGCTTTGGTCCAGTGAAGGCTTCCCCAACCGCACCAGGACCCAGCACAGGCCCCGTGACAAGATCAGCGGCGCGTCACAAGTGGCAGTGTTTGTCAAAACCGATGGGATCCCATTTTGGGGTAGGTGAATTCACCACCCATTTTGGAGGTGAGTGTCCCTTTCTGATACTTTTTTTTTTTTGGGGGGGGGGAAATTCGGGAGCCCTGTGGCCCCACCCATTTTGGGCTTCCTATTTTGGTTGGATTGAATCGGATGTTCACCGGGGCAAACCGATTTTTGACCCATGAGGTCCCAAGTTCGTAGCGCAGACCGCCACCCCCATGCGCAAGAACGAGTCGCAGCTCATCGCGTGGCTGGCGGAAGCTTCGATGAAAGCCATTAAAATTCTGCTCTCGGCATTTTTTCCCGCGCGCGGAAGGAACTTCTGGACCAAGAGGTTTTGTTCCACAAGTTCTTCGCTGACTTCGGATTTGTGTTTGGTTTCTGACATCTTTGCTGTTCGGATTTGGGCCATAGGAATCCAAAGGATTCCCTAAGATGAGTTAATCAAGTCTCGCTCAGCGAACCGTTCTTAGGCCCTTGGGTATGGTCCTGCGGATTCAATAGAAGTTCACACGAATGTTGACCCCAGATGAATCATCCCCACTTCAAAAGTGATGAATCCCCAAACCTAGGGACACCCCCCTATTCATATGGGGTTTGTTCATCCTGGGTGGGTGTGGCTCAAAATTAAACAGGGGGTGCAAACCGCAGGTTTTGGGTTTCCAATGGTTTCCAGTTTCCACTTCCCAGGGCTCCATTTAGAGGTTACCCTATTTTTGAGCCACATTTAGGGTACCGTTTTTTTTTTTCAGCCACCGCCGGGTCAACAGTTCCCAGAGTTTTCGGTGTCTTAAGGATACCTGCGCCTTCCCTGTGGACAAGAAGAATTGGCTGGTGGCCGCTTCGGGAATGGTCTCTATGCAGCTGGAGCTAGGCAAGGTGTGGGACGGACTTCGACTCGCGGATCCATGTTGCTGTGTTTTCACCACCGGGGCCCAAAGCGGATGGTGTCCATTTGATTTCAGTTCAAGCCAACCCACAAGAATAACTCCCTAAGCACTTGATATAGATGTCCAGTGGGCGCCTTCAAGTCTGGGTGTCATGCACTCAATCTGTACAACTGCATCTTGAAGGGGTCAGGTTCGAGATGTTCGCGCGAAATGTGCCATGCCCTTTGCAACTGAGTATATTGATAGCGGCTGCATGTATGTACGTATGTAATGTAATGTAATGTAATGTAATGTAATGTAATGTAATTTGATGTGATGTAATGTAATGTAATGTAATGTAATGTAATGTATGTACACGTATACATATACCTATATATATATGTATATATATATATTAATATATATATATATATATATATATATGTTCCAGTCCCCAGGCCCCCCCCCCCCCCAGGGTAGGCCCCAACCCTGAGCCCCCGGATCCCCACACCCCGCTGCTACGCTCCCCACACCCCCTCCTCGAGCCCCTGAACTCCCATCCTTGCATCCCAACACATAGGACAACTCAACCCACAACCAACCTAAACCCGCAACGCTAAACCAATTCTACACCCCTAATCCTCAACCCTAACCCTAAACCAACCCTAAATCAACCCTAAACCAACTCTAATCCAACCCAACACCCACCCAAAACCCACTGTAAACCAACCCTAAACCAACCCTAAACCAAGACGAAACCCACCTAAACCAACCCTGAACCAAACCTACATCAGCCCAAGCAAACTTTAAACCCACCCTAAACCCACCCTAAACCCACCCTAAACCAACAACCCTATACCCACGCTCTAAACAAACCCAAAGCACAACCCAACCACCCACCCAACCACCCAACCACCCACCCAACCACCCAAACCCCGCCCCCCCCCACCCCACCCCCTGGTCCACGGACTGGAACATATATACATACGTATAGCCCTGATACCCTGCACTAGACGCTGTATATGGCCTCAAGGGGGAACCCAGCCACCGAAAGGGCCCATGGATTCTCAAACAACCCCCTTCGCTTCGAGATGGTGGGATTCTCGGGGGTCTCCGAGGTGTGCATTCGGATTTCCGGATCCCTAAGCCCCGCTGTCCTGGCGAACCATTTTTTTTGGTTTGGGGGGGGGAGTCGTTTTCTGGCGAACCCCTCGGTGAACCCCCCGCACTCGGAGGCATCAAAGCGCGGGAAGAAGAAGTCTTGGTGCCCATGGCGGAGGAGGCAAGCTCAGGGCGTTCGTTGGTTTGGAAGTTCTCCTTCCATTGGATAAACTAGGTCCCCCAGCGAAAGGGCGCCCTTTGACCGTTCCTTTTTTTGGGGAGATTCAGGTTCCCTTCACTTCCATTTGCGGATAATAGTATTTTTCTTATTTCCCTTCTTGGCTTTTGGAAGGGAATCGATTTGCAAAAAACTGGAAAGATGTTCTTTTTTTTAGGGAGCGAAAAAGCAAATGGAAGTTTTGAACTTCTCGGGTTTGTTTGGCAAGTCGTTCTGGATCCTTGGTAAAACATGACCCCCAGATATGTCCCAAAAGTACTGGTTCCCCAAGACAAAACAACTCGCTTATAAGGACCCCCTTGCAGAAAGAGTGCGCGGCTTTTGAAAAAAATGGTCGACATTTGGGGGACTTTTTGCCCATTGGGTCTTAAAAACAAAGTTGGAAGGGGGGAATTCCCATGTTCAATACTGAGGTCAAGCAAGTTGTTGTTTAATGCGGTGGGTTCAACATCAATCCGCAAGATCCTTCTGCCAGATAGTAGTGGTTTCAGTGGTTTCTCTTGTTGTGGTGGTGTCGCACTACGGATGACAGATTGGGATTCGGGACCCCGCCATTTTGAACAAGAACCTCTCAAATAGCAGATTTGAAGGTGCAAGCAAGAGCTTGGGGAGGGGAGGGAAGTGTTTTTGCGACGTTTGGAGGGGTGCCTTTTTGCGGCCCTTTTAGACGCCCAACGAACCAAGTGGAGACCGGAGCCAAGAGGGCCCGCTGTTTTGGGCAACCATTTGCCTGCTTTTATCAAGGGAAGTTTGAAGCAAGAACTTCAGTAGTACTGGAACTAGTTGAGGTAGCTCTGCTTAAGAACGCATCACTTGCGCGTGGCTTCTCAGAATAGCGCGGGTGAAGAAGCTGAGATGAAGCAGGAAAGGGAGAACTAGGGAGTAGAAGCGTGCAGAAGAAGAAAGTGGCCGCCCCCCGACAGCAAGCCGCGTCTCAAATTTGCCGCGCCCGTCATTCCGATCTCGCGGGCGAGGTGCGAGATCATTGCAGAAAGCTGCTCAAGTCCAGGACGGTGCGCGTCCCAGTGTGCAAGTCAGAAAAGGGTGTGTGAGTGTGTGTCACGGCAGGACCCCCAAAATTCGGGGTTTCCTTTTGGAATCCCTTTAAACCTCTAAAACGTGCACCCCGTCAGAAAGGCAAACCAAACGACGTGCCTTGGATTTGCCGCAAAGCAGAGATATCATCCCTTTTCCCAGCAGATCTTGTCATTTTTTTAGCTTGTTTACCGCCAGTTTATGTTCTTTTCTCACTTGTTTGCTTTGCGGAGCGGTGGGCATGGAATCACACGGATTGCGTGAGGCTTGTTGGCTGGAGATGGCGTGCCGCTTGGCTTTAAACGCGCCAATCAAAACCCTCAAATGGAATCCTTCAGTTCTCTTGGGGGACCACCCCCTACCATCGGGCTGATCCATCCGCCATTGACATTATGGGTTCTGGAAGTATGTGATTTGCCGCAAGGCCCCTCGCGAAACACTAATCACAACTCCAACAACGACCGCCTGGAAGCAACAAAAACACACCTAAACCTTTCACCGAAGCCCCAACACCCTGTCAACCCAAATGCCAAAGATCCCCAAAAAGCCCTAAAAGCCAAACTATGAGTCCTTAAGCATTGCAGAAAGCATCCCAAACGACCCGGCAAGACGAGGGCAATTGTGGCCCACCCATTTCCAGGGAAGCCGGGGATTTATTGTCTGCTAACTGTACCTATTAGTTGGGCATGCTAACTGATTCTTTCTCGGGCTCTTTGTTGATTCCATCAATATAGAAGCAACCATGCGCCACAGCGATCTTTTTGGGGTTTGACAAGATGATTGCTTGATCTTGGTTCCTTTGTGGTCTTACCAGAGAGGGACCTTTCACATGCTGAGAAAGTGAAAAAAGTTTCCCGAGGAAAGAAGGCCCTACGGCGGATTCAAGGGACCTTCTCCTTGGACCTGGACATTTGGGCTCCCATGGCTCTTGTTCGCCCTTGTCACAAGCTCCACATCTGGCTGGAAAATTCTGACCGAAGCTCACGTGGGTCAGGGGCCAAGCATCTTGGATGGATGCACCTTGGTGCTCGTGATATGTGCCGTCGAGACACCCTTGGACGAGATGGTCATGTAGGCAACCATGGCAAGGGTTCCTATGGCTGACCCTGACCCACGTGAGCTTCGGTCAGAAATGTCCCGCCAGTGCCGGTGAATGTGGAGGTCGTGACCGGAAGGGCTAACAAGGGGCAAGCCAAGGGAGCCCAAACGTCCAGGTCCAAGGTAGCCGAATAGTTCTTGACGGATTCAGCGAATCCGCCGCATCCCTTTGCCCTTGTGGTTTCGCCTTTCTTCCTCGAGCAGACTCTCAGGCCGGATTTGTTCATTGCAAAGCCGAGCCATGCGAACCCAAAGAAAGGCCCAAGTGCGGTGGATTCAACCACATTTGGGTGTGGCTCAAAATTAAAGAGCCAGGGTTACGCAGGTGTTGGTCTTTGGTTCCATTTACCAATGTGCCATTTTGGTACATCTTTTTGAGCCACACCCATTTCTTGCACCTTTTGGGGGAGATGATTTTTCACCCGATTGAGCGTCCCGTTGCCGAGAGCTTTCGGAGCTGACAAGAAAATGTTCTGAATCGACATGGGTTCTGCAGTGGGGTTTTCGCAAGGAAACGCGGTGGGAAGACCCCCTGATTTTTCAGTCAGTTGCTCATGCCCCCATTTTTGCAGAGACACTACTCCACTGCCGGCATGTTTCCACCTGCAAAAAAGTCAGCCGGTGTTGCGCTCCACCGTCGTTGCCAGGTGTCTAGTGTTTTTTTTGTTTGCCATGTTTTTAGTGTGTTTGCCCTTCTTTTTTCTGTTTTTTTCTCCCATGTTTCTAGTGTTTCTCGTGTTTCTAGTGTCGGTGTCTCCCAAAGCCTTGTGCTCTTCCGTTTCCGGCGACTCCCTCGTTCCCAGTCCGAATCCGAGAATCCGAGGCCTGGTGCAGCAGCACACAGATCCGGCCATGGTGCGGCAGGCGGTGAAGGCTGCCCAGGAGGACCGCGGCTTGGGCACCTGCTTCACTGGGGGGGGTAGAACCTGTATGGAAACAGGTTCTTTACCCCCCCCCTCCCAAATCTCCTCCTGGCAGCGGCAAAAGGCACAGACAGGACACAAACAAGGACACAGCCCAGCCTGCTGCTCCGTCAAAGGCCAGCCCTCCTTGACCAGCTGGGCAACCTTTTTGTTGGTTACCCAGCGGTCCTTTCTGGCTACGCCTGGCAGGGCAGCAGGTGGGGGACAAGCAGAGAGAGACAGACAGACAGACAGACAGACAGACAGACAGACAGACAGACAGACAGACAGACAGACAGACAGACAGACAGACAAAACAGACAGACAGACAGACAGACAGACAGACAGACAGACAGGCAGGCAGGCAGACAGACAGTTAAGAGCAGCCAAGGCACCAAGGTGGGCCAGCCCACCCACCCACCCACCCACCCCACCCCACCCCGCCCCGCCCCGCCCCGCCCCGCCCCACCCCACCCCACCCCACCCCACCCCACCCCACCCCAACCCCACCCCACCCCACCCCACCCCACCCCACCCCACCCCACCCCACCCCACCCCACCCCACCCCACCCACCCCACCCCACCCACCCACCCACCCCACCCCACCACCCACCCACCCCCCCACCCCCACCCACCCCACCCACCCCACCCACCCACCCACCCACCACCCACCCCACCCCACCCCACCCCACCCCACCCCACCCCACCCACCCCACCCCACCCCACCCACCCACCCCACCCATACCACCCCACCCCACCCCACCCCACCCACCCCACCCCAACCCAACCCAACCCAACCCAACCCAACCCAACCCAACTAAACCCACCCCACCACCCACCCACCCACCCACCCCACCCCCCACCCCACCCAACCCAACCCAACCCAACCCCACCCAATCCAACCCACCCAACCCAACCCACCCCAACCCAACCCAACCCAACCCAACCACCCACCCACCCACCCCACCCCACCCACCCACCCAGAAGCACCCAGAAGCACACAAAAGCACACCAGGCACCGCGGCCATCCACCGCGCAAGCCTCAAGCAACCACCCCGCAGCCCGCAGCACCCAGAACTGGGCTCTGTGCTATGGCTGGAGCTGGAGGGCCACCCCCAAAGGGGGCTGGCCAGGGTGGAGGCCAGGAGCAGGGCTTGACCCCCTCATCTTGCCCTGTGCCGGGAACAGCCTGGCAAAAGGGCAAGAATGGTGGGGGTGGTACATTCTTGAGCAGGAGCATAAGAGGTTCTCCAAGTGCTACCACTGCAAACGCAGGGGGCACTGGAAGATCCAAGGCTCTGAGATCTGGAAAAGTGCATGGCAAGGGTTTTTAAACCCAAGGGCAGTGGAAAGTGTCAGGACTGGCAGGGGCAGGGGCTCCCTTCTGTTAAGGAGAAGGACAGCTGCCTTGTACAGGATTGGGCAGATCAGAAGAAACTTGGGTGTGAGAACTTACACCCAGCTTTTTGGTCGCCCTGACTTGGCTGCATTGGATGGCTGCTGGGAGTGGCTGCAGCAAGCAGGCCCTGCTTAGCAGGCCTGAGGCATGAGCCACCCTATGGCATGTCGTCATGCTGCACCATCGGCAGCATCAGCGGCAGCGATTGCCAACACAGCCGGTCCGCCATCACCCGTGTCGGCGTCGTCACGAAGTACAAAGACGTCACCGCTGTCGAGTTCATTTACAAAAGCTTGCTTGCCTCCTACGGCAACGTCTCCATAGACATCATCAACAACGTCGACGGCATTGGAGACGTCAACAGCCGCAGCATCTATGTCATCGGCGGCGGCTACGGCGTCGGCGGCATCAAGGGCCTCTTCGACGTGGTCCACCGCATCGTCTCCGGCAAGGACGAAGGCGTCAGCGTCATCGGCGTCTGTCTTGGTTTTCAGCTCCTCCACTGCTATTTCGTCGGGGGAGTCACCAGTGCCGAGTGGGGCAACGCACTCGGTGAAGGATTGACGCACATCTTCACGCGCAAGGAAACGCGCGTCGGCTACTTTGGGGTGACTGGACCTGTCACCCGTGGCTTGCCTGCGCGTGGCGTGTTCAGGCATTCTTTTTTTCTTAGCACCGGCGTTGATTCCGGAGCATCCATGTACTGCGGGGACGAACCCGTTCGGTTCGTTTACCGCAAGAACGTGTCTGGCTACCAGGCTCATCTCGAGCAACCGGCCAGCAGCGTTTCACTCAAAGACGCACTCGATTTCGCATCTTGCGACAGTGTGTGCCACTACGTCGCCGCGAGCGCGTAGTGTTGTGTTGACACATGAGTGAAGCAGAATGAACACAGCAGACATGAATGAAGAGCCAGACATGAATGAAGAGCCAGACATGAATGAAACAACATGACCAGAGCTGGCATCATGATGTGTTTTTTAGCCTAAATCCAATGCAGCCCTTCTAGAAAGCCCGTGGGGTGTGGTTGGGTGGGGTTGGGTTGGGTTGGGTTGGGTGGGTTGGGTTGGGTTGGGTTGGGCGGGGGGTGGGTGGGTGGGTGGGTGTTGGGTTGGGTTGGGTGGGTTGGTGGGTGGGTGGGCGGGTGGGGTGTGGTTGGGTGGGGTTGGGTTGGGTTGGGTTGGGTGGGTTGGGGTTGTTTAGGTTGGTCTAGGGTTGGGTGGGTGGTGGGTTGGGTTGGGTTGGGTTGGGTTGGGTTGGGTTGGGTTGGTGGGTTGGGTTGGGTTGGGTTGGGTTGGGTTGGGTTGGGTTGGGTTGGGTTGGGTTGGGTTGGGTTGGGTTGGGTTGGGTTGGGTGGGTGGGTTGGGTGTGCTTCTGTGCTTCTGTGGTTGTATGCTTGTGTGTGTGCTTGTATGCTTCTGTATGCTTTTCTGCGTGTTCATCCTTTCACGGGACATGAGTACTGCTCCCCAAACCATGGAGAAGAAGGTGGTGCGTGTGTGTTGGTGCTTTTTTTCATTGTGTGTGTGATGGTGCGCAATGCGTCTGTGCTTGTGTGTGTGTTGGGCGGCTGGTGGGGCGTTGGTTTTGGATCGTTCGGGTTGGTTTAGGGTTCGGTTTGGGTTTTGGAGGGGTTTAGGGTGGCTGCGTTGGGGGTGGGGGTAGGGTGGGCTTCGGCTCTGGTGGTTTTAGTGCCACCCATACTTTGCTTTGGTGGCATGCTAGTACGTAACTGATTGGCCTGCATTTGGCCTTCCTTTGAGCCGCTTTTTCAGGCTTATTTGGCATGGAAGGATGGGGGTCTGAGACCACCATTGTAAATGATCCTTGTACCTTTGAATTCGATTTTCTTTGGGTTCTCCTCTTTGGGGTTTAGGGCTGGGCCTCCCAAACCATTCTTGCACAAATCCTTCTCCAAAACCAAGGGGAAACGGTGGTGGAGAAGGATGACAAGCAAAGAAGCGGCGAAACGCTGTGAGATTTGGTCGTTGAGCTCTCGGAAGGACCGTGTCAAACATGCAGATGGCGGTGTTTTGCTGGTGGCCGATTCGATTCTCGTCCGCACGCTCCAAGGCTAGCGCTTGCGTTCCTTTTTTTTTGGGGGGGGGGGGCGTGAATTTGAGAAGGGAAGCATAGGGAACCCAAAGGAAAACCGTTGACTGGAAAATAGAAAAACGGCTTTGTGGGTAGACCTCGGTTTTGATAGGGCAAAGAGCCTTTTGTTGAGGTACCTTGTCGGCGGGTTTTACAACAAGCTTACAGGTGATGGTATGGAGCAAAGCAATGTTACTCGGACAGCATAAGACTTCGTCGGGCCAAGCCAGGTACCGCTGGGACTCAAGCCGTTCACCGAAGAAGCCCTGGAATGATGTTTTCCCTATAAATGCCCACAAACAAGTTTCAACCCTTGGTTTCCAAGTGGTGCGAAGGGTATTTCGCAACCATCCACAGCACCCATGTATCTAGGGGTTGACTCCCCATTTTTTTCAACCATCGTTCCTTCCAAAATCCGGATCCGTTTTCCCTCGGTTTCCGGAGGTTTTCTAGAAAGATTCGGACCCCTGGATTCAGAATGGAAATGGAAGGCACCCCTAGAATGTAGGGAGGCATCTTTCCCTACAAATGCCAACGATCAAGTTTCAACCTTGGTTTCCAGGTGGTGCGAAGGAATTTTTGGCAACCATCCACAGTACCCGGGCAGGGAGGCATCTGAGCGCTTAGGCGGCAGCATGCCGAGAAGCTGATCAAGCTCTGTAGTGCCCATCTTCCCACCGGGGACTTTGCGTCCCTCGAATCCTCCGACGCGAAGAGGTTTGCCATCGTGGTGGTGACCAAGGCCGGCGAGCGACCTGTTTTGGACGACAAAAACAATAAGGAGACCTGTTTGCTGACAAGAGTAGGGTACATATTTGGCTCAATCAACAATTTGTTTCTGGCATTTTTTTAGAGGAAAGAGCCAAAAGGAGGTTTAAAGAATGTTGGTTACGCATGTTTAGACTGTTTGCGGGCTCGACCCTGTTGACCTCCGTTTTACCAAGCAGGCAATAGACAGGCCGTCCCGCTGTTGCATGCATTGTTCTGTGTGGGTTTGTCTCCCAGGATATGAAATACTTAACAGGGGTGGCTTCCCTTCTGTTCCCTTTTAAAACACGACGGCTCATGAAGGGTGCGTATCAACTAAGCAACAGGAAGTGCATTAAATGTGTTGACTTTCGTTTCTGTTCATCATGGCCTGGCATCCAAGTCATTGCCAGAGGACAAAGATCGCGGATACAACTCTGCGCGACGCGTCTTTGGCAGCAATAGAGAACCTTGAGTGTGATCTGTCTTCGGAGTTCGTCAGAATTCTCCCTCGAACATTGAAGTGGCAACAGTAATGCCAAAAGGGTCCTATCAGTGTTAGCTTGATCAAGTGTGAACGCCAAGCATGCATGTGGGGCTTTCTTGCGGGGAACCCCCCCATTTGTTTTGCAGCGCCGACATGTGAAGGAGCTTTCACAACACTTTGGTTCCATATCTGAAAGACAAAACCACTGTGTGCCAGTCGAAGCAGCCTTGCAAGCTTGCCCTCGGCTTCTTCTGCCATGGGTTCTCCTTCCCCATGGCTTCCCCATGGTTGAGGCCTTGGGGTCATGGTGACTGGAGCCTATGCTGGGAATGCTGCATCCAGACATCAGATCAGAGGCCGTCTCAGACGCCTGGGGCAGAAGCGCCAGGAGCGCGGCGCGTCGCGCGGACCGTGTCGGCGTGTCGCGCGTGTCGGTCAGGGTGGTCAGGTCGCAGAGGGATGCTTGGTGAACATCCATCCAGGTTCCTTGGGCCTTTGGATGCTGTTGGTTGGTGAAAGATGGTTGGGTGTCCATGTAACACAGGTAAACTTATAGAGTTCGGACAGCGGGATTTGGATCCCAAGTGGATGGATCCGGTCGGATTTCTCAAACTGAACCAAGTTGAGCCCATTTGGCCACACAATTTAGCGGTGAATGCCCTCGGCGTCCAATGGAGGGAAACCAAATTGAAACCACCCTTTTGGGCCCGAGAAAGGGCGAACCCATTTATCTTGGTAGTTCCAGCCATCTGGTTTCTTAGGTATTTGGTTGTTTTTAGTCGGTTTAGTGGTTGGGCTTCCATGTGGCTGGTCAAAGCCCATAGGATCCCATTTTGGGGTTTTCGGTGAATTCACCACCCATTTTAGAACCTATTTTGGTGGTTGGATAGTCGGATGTTCACTGGGGGTATGATTTGGATTTTGACCCATGGCCATGTGACCCACTAACAGTTATGTGTCTGTGTCTTTGTGGTGTTTCTGTGCGTGCGTGCGTGCATGCGTGCGTGCGTGCGTGCGTGCGTGCGTGCGTGCGTGCGTGCGTGCGTGCGTGCGTGCGTGGGTGGGTGGGTGGGTGGGTGCGTGGGTGGGTGGGTGGGTGGGTGGGTGGGTGGGTGGGTGGGTGTGTGTGTGTGTGTGGGTGTGTGTGTGTCTGTGTGTGTCTGTGTGTGTGTGTGTGCAGGAGATCTGAGGACAGCCCCATTCGAAGAGTCGGCCCTGGCGGAATCAAGTTGAACGACACCGAATTCGGGTGACGCTGCTTTTTTGTGGGGTGGTTCAAGAAACCCACGGGGGAATCCGACATCCTTTTTGACGGCGATTGGGATGGATCTTTAGACTTCAAGGTTTTGGCTGAAATCAAGTTGGGCTTTCCACTAAAGCCACAACAAGTGATTCACATTTTGCAGAGGGATCAACAGCAACCAAGTTTTGGGAGCGCCCCTATTCTGATAGTTCCGCCACATTGCTCAAGACCCCACCCCCCCACTTGGAGTGAGTGGAGCCCAGATTCCGGCCGAAGCCAAAAATTAGGCCGTCCCTATTCTCTATTCTGGTGGTTCTTTACCCCCAAATCGCAAATTGTCTCCCCACTCCCTCAGATTTGCACCGCAGGAGGTTCGGTTCCTGACCGTCTGCATGGAGAATCTCGCCTAAAAATATCTGGGCCCAAGGACACATTTGATCGGTTAGTTTGGTAAGAAATGGATGGGTTCCACTGGTTTAGTTGGGTAAAATAGATAAATTACATAGGATCAACTCGAATGTAAATAGATATATAGTAATTTGAGTTTGATGGTTCCATGCTTTATTTACCAGAAGAACTGATCTACTTTTGCAAAAGGTCACCTAAGTTGGTTTGCGCCAGTTCAGAGGATTTCTTTCTTTCAGGGTGATGTGGAAGGATGTATCTTTCTACCGGGTTTTCTGTTGCCGGACGGGGTTGGATATTCTGGCAATTGGGGTTGCAAACACCTGGCAGGTCATTTTAGTAGGTTGCATGGTTTAATCGGGGCATTCCTTTTTGGCTGCCCTTCACACCAGCAAGACAAGGTACCAACTCCAGAAAAGGATCCATAGTGGCCAGACAAACCCAAACATGGGGGTTTGGCCCGCGAAGTCGCCTGAGGAATTCCATTTTGCACTTGCTGCACAAACGCCACAGCCGCAAGCTCAGTGAGGTCCAACGTCCCGTGCGGCAACAAAAGGGGGCCGTGAAGGGTTGTAGAAAGCATGAATTTTAGGGACAAGTTCTGTGATACAGTGGGGATTGGGATGTTCACTGGGGGTACGGGATTTTGACCCATGGCCATTTGGGAGTTCAAAAGGCCCATCTGAGGCGCAGTGGACACGATGAATATTTCGCTCCTCGCCCGAATTCAGAGAGGCGATCCCTTGAATCGCCGACAAAAAACCTGTGGCAGGCTGGAGCAGCTTGGGCAGAAGTTTGGTGCGGAAGTTGTGAGGGGCTTGGGGTAATCAGCTGCGCCACAATCAAACCTGGGCAAGTGAAGGTGACGGACCTCCCCAACCAATAGAAGCGGCCGTGATTCTCATCGTAGGTTCAGGTCGACTAGCTGGTTTTGATTGTGGCACCATGGGTAGGCACAACACCCCACACTTGGCGGCCCCTTGTACAGCTCTGGAGGGCAATCTTCTGGAGGGCCGAAGTTTTTGTGTACAGAAGCCCGCCTGGCTTTCAACTCTCCCATGGAAGCTCCCAGAAATTCATGGGCCTAGGAGCTTCCATGAGAGTCGGGAGAGTATCCCCTGGTTTTGAACGAATCGCCTCTTGCAGTTTTGTGCGATCGTTCCCTTATGCTTCGACAGCGACGCGAAGACGCGAAGGGCAGAGAATTCTCGAAGAATCCGGGCAAAAAGGCGCTGTGACTCGGATTCGGCTATGCCAAAAGCGAGCTTTCTGCGTGACGTGGGGAGATTCATTGCTTAGCGGTTCCCCGTCCGGTTCCTTAGGCGAATCCGCCCGATAAATAACTGGATCAGGGCTCAACATTGGCGACAGAACCAGGGCTTGGCACCAACTTGATGTCTTTGTAGGGTAGCTCGATATTTCCTTTGCCTCGATAAGTCTTCCTTTTGGGCTCTCAAAGAAAATGCACACCTGAACCCCTAAACAGTCGCACGTCATTCTGGGGCATACCGACAAAACCGACGCAACGCAATGGGGCAAAGCCCATGTTAAGCCCAGCCCTAAGCATCTTGGCCCTCAGAAAGGCCTGTTTCGAGATCGAACACCTAATGGAGGTCCTGACCCCTTCAATGGAGGCCATATTTTCCTCTGAGCGGATCGCCGGATTCTGGATGGCGAGGGTCGCATCCAAGCTCCTGCGCCTCCAGACCTCTCTGTCCGACCTGACGCTTGCTTCTGCCACTGGCACGTTCACTCCAGGACAGGTCTTGCCCTTGTGAGATTGCCCCGTGCATATTGTTCTACCAGGAGGAGATGTTACTGGAGACCCTCATGAGATTGCCCCACCGTGCGTCTCGTTCAACCCAGCAGAGGACAGAGGAACTTGTTGCCGATTGTATTGGAGCTCTGCTCATTTATATACCTTACTCAAAATCAAACTTTTAGCAGGGGATAGATGGATAGATAGGTAGATAGAAATGAGATAGATATGAGATAGATAGGTAGATAGACAGATAGACAGATAGACAGGTAGGCAGACAGATAGATAGATAGATGGGTCCTGGTCCACTTGTGGAGTTTTGACGCGGGCGTCGCGAATCGGGGAGAAGCAAAACACTACGCGTGCCCCTCAAATATCTCAATTCATTGCGGATGCTCTGATATTCGAGGAACCTCATCCCGTGTGGAGTAACCACATGTCACAGGTATGTCTTGAAATAGGGACCCCCCACAAATTGTGTTTTCCTGTTTGTTTTCCCTTTCACGCTACCCCAAATAGGCTGCCCTCCAAAAAAGACAAACCCACGTCATCTTGCTCTTTGGCGGATGCTTCCGCTGGCAAAACCGGTGCTTCATGTAGTTCAACGTTGCTCTGCGCATGTCGGCTCCTCGCCTGCCAGCCCCGGCTGAGACGCGCTGACGCGGGTTTCGCCATGGCTCGCTGCGCGGCGCTCGCGCTGGCGCTCACCAGCGGCGCGCTGGCGCCGCCGAAGCAAACGCGGGGGTGATGGACGGGTAGATCTTGATGAGTTTTGGGTCAGCCATTTGTGCGAGACCTTGTTGCCCAGGGGCCCCTTGCTGAAACAAGAAGACGTGCTTAACTTAGGAGTGTTGCGGGCGTGAGAGTGCGCCATTCCCGGAAGTCTGTAGAGGTGGCCTTTCGAGGCTTGAAAATAGGTCACAGTCCTGAGTGCAGTCGGCTCCAGGGTTTGAGGGGCAGCGACTGACTTGATGGCTGTCTATTGTTTGGGGAGGACATGGGCCACAAGAACCCGGCATCACTCAATGTCCCATGTCCTCTTGAGGAATTGTGGGTAACTTGGTCCAGGACAACCATAAGCGGAAGTACAGGGGTCACCCTCCCAACTGAGGAAACCAACCACCGCTTTATCCCCTCCAGTAATCATGGTTGCGACTCCAACTGGGCTCATGGGGCAGACTGGAAATGGAATTCCCCACCCCCTTAGGGGGGATTCGCTCCAGAACCGGCTTCTCCAATTAGAATCTAGCTTTTCGAACCCACTTCGGTTGTGGTCATGGTTTCACGGGGGGCATTTTCGATTGGGGCTCTGGCAGGGTTATAAGGCCTGCTTCAACATCTACAACTGTTATAGAATGAAACGTCAACGGGTTTCGCTGTGGCAAGCTTGGTTCGACTTCTGGTAGCAGAATTCAATTCGAACCCTGGATATATGTTGTGTTCTGCCACTTTCTGGCATCTTCTTCAATGGGTTTTGCGGATTGTTTTTTGTTTGTTTCTTTTTTGAGGGAAACCCCCAAATCGGTGGTTTTCCTTTTGGTTTCCCTTTAAACCTCTTCCTAAAACGGGTATCAACCAAAGAAACCACACCCAAATGCTGGCCACCCCAAAACCCGCCTCGCAACAGTCACATTCTCTTGCCTCGTGTCTAGGAGCCCTGGGGTGTTCGGGTGAACATGCCAATCGCAGGATTGGGCTCACCTGAGGGTAAAGATCCTTTACCTGGGGATCCCTTATTTCAGGTTTTGGGCATATTGTAGAATTTGCAGCCAGTCTCCTTAACCATCCATTTGGGTTTGTGTTTTTAAGGTTGAACCCCCAAAATGGTGGATGATTTCCTTTGGTTTTCCCTGGAAAAAGGATGGAAAAAAGGGGTATTCTGAAAGAAAGGCACACCAATTTGGCTGTCAAAAAGAGTACCCCCAAAATGGAGCTTGCCCGATCGGCATGAGGACATTTCCACCTGCAGCCCGTAGCCTGGTTTAGTTTTTGACCCATTTTAGGACATAGAGAAGAATCATCTTGGAGAATGGACATGGTTCTGTCATTGTTTGGAGTCGGTACCCCTTCTGTTTGCAGCTTTCAAAAGGGGAACCAAAGGGAAACCGTTTCCCCCCGCCATTTTGGCGGGTCCAACCTCAAAAAAGCCACACCCAAATGGAAGGCACGGCCGGAAACAACCATCCACGGGCCAGCTCGCTCGCTCGCTCCCGCCGCGCCGCTGCGCTGCGGCTCCGCGCTCGCCGCGCCGCGAGTGGCCCTCGAGGCACTGCCCTCTTCCTGCGACGTGTCCTCCGTGGGCGCGGGCTGGGCCGGGGTTTACTTTGCCTTCCGCCAGGCCTTGGCTGGCCGCGCCTCGATCCGAAGATCTCCGGGAAGTCGCGTCGGTTTTATGTTGATCCTGTTTTGTGTTTTTCTTTGTTTTCTCCTGTTTTAATTGAATTGCTATTTTTCGCCTGTGAAATGAGCTTGTCTCAGGTATCCCTAAGTTGGCGGTTTGGATTGGTGGTTTGATTTGAGGATGTGCCTCAACCCTCGTGGTGATGTGGATGGGTGGTTTCGGATTTGGATTTGAAGCTCTGGTTCTTGTAGAGGGTAAATGGGAACCCCCCCCCCCCCAGAGCACCAAACCGCCAAGTCGAAGGAAGCTGAAGTCTGTCTTGACACAGGGGAACCCCAATTTGTTGATGTCCTTTTGGTGTTCCTTCAAAACCGCAGTGGTCCCGTCTAAGATGGCATCGCTCTCCTTTTGGTGAAGTGAGAACGTAGCCATTGTTGGATTGCCGATGTCGGTATCACAGAAAGCGGTTATTTCCCACAGGCATGCGAGCGCTCATTTGGGCAGCTCACTACAATGCAACAGCCGGAAGCAAGGATTTGTTTCAAGCTGCAAGAAAGAGGAACCCGGAACCCCCCCAAGCTGCAAGAAAGACGGCTTCAGAATATTAGTCAAAATGGGTTCTTACCTCTCAAAATCACAACTTTTCAACTTTTTGGGTAACATGGGCTATATGTCTGTAAAATATTAACTTCCCCAGGGCTCAGGGAGTTATAAGGGGTAAGGGTGGTTGCGAGCTGCCAAGAACGTTTTTTCTCCAGACCCATGCCCCATGGCTTCAAGCCATGCCACGGCTTCCAGGGCCACAAGCCCCACACCCCGAAAAAAATATATATGGCGGGGTGGTTTGGTGTGTCTTCTTTTTTGCAGGGGGTCGCTTGAAACTCAGGTACCCAAGCCATGTATTTTTCTTATGGCCACTTTGGGTCTGGGCTAGGAACATCCTTCTGATTCCAAGGCCCCTTCAGCTTCCATGGCGGAGGCGCCAGCGCCTTTTTTCTTCGAAGGGAAGTCCAAAGGGCCTCACATCATCAAGCCAAACGGTTGGTAACTTGTTGGAGAACTCTAAACCCTGGAATCGGACTTTCAGAAAAAAAAAAGGAAAAAGAAGAAGAAGAAAAAACGGGTCTGACCCCTGGAAATCGACGTAACAAAAAACCGGGGTGTCCTTTCCTTCCGGACATCTCCCCCGTCTTGTCCGAGGCAAGGTGTGCATCTTCGAGGCCTCGGAACGAGTGGGCGGCAGGACCTACTCCCACCGCCTCACCGCGGGCGCGAAGACGGAGAGCTTCACGTTGCTTTGGTGCATTGTGCCAAGGGATGTTAGGACTGAACAGCTTTTTGCCAACTAATGAAACGGTTTTCCGCATGAAACCACCAAAAGTTAGTCACATTTTTTCTGCAGGGGAACTTTTTCCCGACTAATGAAACGGTTTTCCGCATTTTATTCCACTAAAAGTTTTTGTCACTTTTAGCCGGGGAGCAGAAAGCAACCGAGGTTGGATGTGGGCGCCTACCGCTTCTCCCCGGATATGCACCTGCCGGGGGATGTGATCCTCAAGGCTCGGACAGCTTGCCTTCGCTGCCTACAAACCGGGTTATGACAGAAGCGGCCCTGGGCCGGGTGTTGGGGGAATGAACCGTTGCGGATTCCCTTTCTTTCTTCTTCTTTCGGAAACCAAATGTGGGTATTCCGAAATGTTGGAAACCCATTTTTGGAAACCAATGACCCCAATTTTTTGGAAACCGCATTTGGGATTGTTTTCTTGGGGTCATGCCAACTCATGCCCTGAGAGCCAGCGAGAAAAGCCACAAGCGAGCGAGTCAGCGAGTTTCTGGGGATTGGACAACGAGGGCATTTGTGGGTCCTCTTGGGGATCCAAGTCTTAGTTGAAGTCTGTTGCATTTTAAAAACGGCAAGTCTTAGTTCAAGTCTTAGTTCAAGTCTTAGTTCAAGTCTTAGTTCAAGTCTTAGTCCAAGTCTTAGTCCAAGTTCTCTTAAGGGAAACCACCATTGGAATGGGGGGGGGTCCTTTTGGGTTTCCCTTCCGGAACGAGACGTTGCCCTTTGAACCACGGATTTGTTTCATTGAGGCACGCCCATGGGCCTTTGGGCCAACCTTTTCGCGAGGTGTCCTGTGGGTTTCCTGGTAAAAACCCACCTGTGTGTGTCTTTTGGAGTTGGCCCAGCAATTGGTGCCCTTTCTCACCCCGTTTTTTGGTCGGGAGGGTTCCCCCACTAAAATGGACTACAGCAAAAAGGGTACCCTTTGTCGAACCTCTCCACTGGAGGACCTAGTTTTGGAGTTGGTACCCGTTGTTTGGTGTTTCCAAAGGGAAACCAAAGGGAAAACACCACCATTTTGGGTGCCCCTGAAAAAAGACACACCCACACCTATACAGGGTTCCAGCCATTTCCGTTTAAAGGGAGCCTCCAAAAGTCAAAATTGATTTTTCCAATGGAATTCCCGGTAAACTGATCAATTTTTGAAGGACAAATCCAGTGCACATCCTACTGATCTCCCTGGGTTTGGGAGATGAGACTTGTTTTCCGAGAATCTGCGATGGCCCGCCATGAACTTTGACTACAGTTGCCATGGTTGTGAGTTCCTCATCGAGGTTATAACCTTGGTTGCTACCCACTTTCTAAGTAGCCGGCATCTCCTCCAAAACTATTTGATCCCACCCAAAAACAGAAGTTGTTTTGCTTGGTTGAACCAACCAAGCAACCAGGGGTCCATTTGTATCTACCAGCGTCAGCGGGCAACCTGGTTGGTGCCCCACCCCTTGATCCGTAGTCAGGTTGGCTAAGACATAGGGGCCCAAAACGAAACCCTGGCAAATCGACCAGTAGATTAAAACTTGCGGTCTCCTGATGTTTTGTCATTTTTTAGCCACACTCATTTCCAGATGCGAGTGTGTCGTTTTCGTAGTACCCTACCAGCAAAACCACTACAATTTGCTTGGCATTGCTGGACATTCTTCAACTGATCAGGCTGCTGTCTTCGCCGGACTCCGGATCACCGCATGTCACAACAGCTCCACACTCAAGAATGGTAGCAAAAGCACAGTGAGTCGCTTGAATTAGCTGGACATTCTTCAACTGCTCCCGCACCTCCCTGCTTTCCGCGCCGAACTCTAACTCTCTCGTTTCTTCTGCATGATGCTGATGCTCACTCGTTTCCCCATGTTGCGCTTACAAGGTGAAAAACGTCCACATCCGCGCCATGTGGAGCCTCATCTTGAAGTTCTAGTGGAGTTCGTTGCCACCCATAGCTGCGCCGTGGCCGCCCTGGAATAAATCCAGGAGACGCCAATTTCGACAGCCCGAGGTGACTCCACAAATCCAAGCGTTGGATTGTCCGTCGTAGCAACATCTGCCACGGAGTTGCCAACCTGTGTTGGCAAGCATCTCGGATTTTGGAAGGCGACGTCCGTACGGACATGGCAGTCATTGAGGATGGCGTTTGGAAGCCATTGGATCAACAGCTCTGACCTGCGCACTCACCCCGCTGAATTCATGTTTAGGGCATGCGAACTACTTCCGCAAATTTGTGTTGGCCCAGCCTCATGCTGCACCACAGCTCTAAGCTCTGCACATACGCGGGACTGATGAGGCTGAATTGGCTCGTGTTTCAGCTTTGGCTCTCTCTCTCTCTACTCTCTCTCGTACTTAAACCATCCTTGTACATTCGACACAGCACAACCACTTGCGATGGTGGTCAACCTCCGAATGGGTTCCATACGACCAATTCTTTGCATCAGCTTCTTTACTAAGCCCTTGCGAGCTTTCTGATGCATGTGTCCTGCATCATTTTGATCAACCACTGCCTGACACGTTGTCGGCTCGCTTATTGGTTCCTCCAATCCAACTCGCAGTGGTGGAACATGCATCGCTGAAGGTCTGTTACCAAGTGCCATCTCAAATATCACAACTTCCACAGTGATGTCTCTGAAAAAGGCGGCGTCGTCTGCGCCGAACTCTCTATCACCAGATCCATCACTCCACAACAGCCCCAGCAGCAAAGGCAAAACGCTTGGATTTGCTGGACTTTCCTCAGCCGCTCTTGCACATGGCTGAAGTCTCCGCTCCACTCCGGATCACTCTATGTCACACCATCTCCAGACTCAAGAATGGCAGCAAACGCACCATGAGTTGCTTCAATTTACCAGACATTCCTGAACTGTTCTTGGTCCTGGCTTTCATCTCGGCCACCTGGATCATGCCATGTGGCAACCTCGCCTCCCGGAGCATGCAGCAGCTCCTTAGTGGCAGCCAGCTCAGCCAGCTGGCAACCGCACTTACCATGTCTGGCTAAGCCAGCTTGGTTCACTCCCGTCAAGTCAAGCTGAAGGCATTCTGCAGCAAGCTGCAGAAAGCGGCGCTGGAAACGCTGCCCTGAAGTCTTGAGCTCGCTCATGCTCATGCAACTCCGGTGGGACTGAATGGATTGACATTCCCCGCTCGGCAAGCGACACCTTCAATTCCACGGCGCAACAGTCCGTAACAGAGTTTCTATGAGCCTCGATGCAACGGATTTCAAAAGAATAACATGCAGGGAGCTTCATAGTGGCAGCCTTTGGCTGATGGCCTGCGCAAAGATAGGCTGCGGAACCCTATTTCTCAGGTGGGAAGCAACCAAAACCCCGTCATTCAAGTGGAGCACCACACTTGGCCATTTGTTGGTCTGACAACCTTGAATCTTTGGACAGATGCGGACATTTGACCTTGACTACCTGCAATTCACCCAAGAGTTTTGCGGGTTCGGGGAAGCCCTTTGTTGTTGTTCAAGTTGTCCAAGTTACAGCTCCTCCAGTGTTCCGTTTCCCATGAGAGACCCCTTTGTAAAATCGGGTCTGAGTTTAAATGGCCCGAAGATCCAAATTGTTTTTTGAGGTTGAACCCCCAAATTGGTGGTTTTCCTGGTGGTTTCGATTTTAAGCCATCAAGAAAAGGGGTACCCTCAAAACAATACAGACCCAAGTGAGGATGTCTTTTTATTTTTGTGGTTCGAAAGGGAAACCAAAAGCAAAGCCACAATGTGTCAGGGTCCAACCTTACAAGAATTCTAGGGGGTGACTCCCCATTCTTTTCAGCCATCGTTCTTTCATAAAACCAGCCGTTTCCCCAGGGTTTTTGGTGGTTTTCTAGAAAGATTCGGATCCCTGGAAAGAATGGACATGGCAGTTACCCCTAGAAGAATGAGGATGCCTTCAAACCCCTAAACCTCTAAACCCCCAAACCCCTAAAGAATGGAAATGGAAGGTACCCCTAGAAGTATTTGTGGTTCTAAAGGGACACCAAAAGGAAAACCGGGGTCCGTTGCAGGGTCCAAGCTTACAAGAAGGATGTTCCGGCGGAGTCTTGATTTCTCCCCCTCCACAGGTCGCACCCCCGGAAACCGTCTTTGCCTGGCAGGTGCTGGGTCTGAAGACCGCGTGCTACGAGCCCGGCTGCCCGCCGGCGGACCAGGCATGCGCTTTTGTGCTTCGTTGTTCAACGACGAGGGGCGAAAGGGCGACGCATTTTTTGGGAACAAAACAACAAAAAAATAAAACACCGCCTGGATCGAGTTTCCAGACACCGCCTGGATCGAGTTTCCAGAAGGTTGAACCCCCAAAATCGCGTTTGGAGTTGGGCTGAGATGGGTATTTGGAGCTTACAAAGCTCCCAAACCATGGCTGTGGCTATTTGGTTGGATCGTTGGACTTCAACTTTTTGGGAAACCGAGGATTTTCCATCGGACCCACAAACAGTTAGAGACTTTTTGCATTTCAACAGCAACCAAGACATTAGGTCTTGATGACTCCTGGGTCTGCGGACAGCAACTTTTGTTGTGCCTCATATAAACGTCGGAAGCGGTTGACCTCGAGATGCTTCCCACATCTCTCGTTGCAAAGTTCCCGTGGCTTGTAATTTGCGTGCTGGGTGTGGTGTTTGTTGAGCGGACACGAAAGGCTTACCCACCCGGTTTGGGGGGTCCCTGTTCCCCGTTGGAGGAAAGCCAAAGGGACGCCATATCAAAACTTTCGTGGTCCTTAGCCTGGCTCCCACCAGGCATGGGGAAAGTGGTTGCTTCTTTTTGGGATACCCCGAAAGTTGGGTTCTGGAAGGACACCGGGACGCCCCTTAGTTTTGGGAGGTCCCTTATCTTGAAAACCCAAACGGTGGGGTGTTACACGGCCCGTGTCCGTTGCGCGAACTCCGGCGCGATGTTTTGGGGTGGGTTTCTGGCTCAACCTGATCAACTCTGGGCGTTCCACCTTGCAACTTTGTTTTTCTTCGGTGAAGCAAACGGGTTGCTGCCGTTTGCCAGGTGGGGAACGCTTTGTTTGGCTTCACGTTAGCTTCCTGTACATCTCACGCACTGGCAATGCGTCTACATGCTTGCGTGGGGATCTTTGAGATCAAGGTTCGCATCATTGTAAAGATCATATCCAATGGTGAACCGTTAAATTTTCGCGTGTTTTTCAAAAGAGACAAACTCCTCCAAGTGGCTGGTTTTGTGTTGGGTCCTATTTAGATCAAAAGTCAAGTGCGAGTTGAGAAACCGGATCGTGGCAATGGATCCGGAGGACTTCCCCGCTCCTTTCCACTTCAACTACTCCGCCCCACTGCGGCGTATCGTGGATGAGGAAGCGGGAAGTGGGAAGCGTCAGCTTTGCGCTTCGGACGACAGGAAGTGGGACTCTGATCTGTGCGGCTCCTGCTCGTTTTTTGTTTTTGTTTTTTCTTTGGGGGGGGGATACTTGGTTTTTGGTCTCGTTTGGTTTAAAGGGAAGAGGAAAGGGATGGCCCGTCATGGGTCCCTTTGAGACAAGTCTTTGTCAAGGTTGGACCCCCCCCAAACTTTGGTGTTCCTTGTGGTTTCCCCAAGCCGCCGAAACAAGGGCACTCAAAAGACGAGCCATCTGGGGAGTTTGGCGATTCGGGGGTTCCTTGAACTCCGATCCTGCCCCAGCGGTGGTCGGAAGCCAACTTTCGATGCGCGGACAGGGGACCGCCAGGCTCACGAGTGATGCAGGGCCCGAAACATAGGTTTTGAGACCAGGTTTTGAGACCCCAAACAAATTCAGAGTGTTCAATGCAGGGTCTGGGTCTTCCATTGAAAGTCCCAACACGGGGGGGGGGGGGTGTCCAATGGAGGGTCTGGGTCTTCCGTTGAAAGTCCCGGAGCCTCTGGGTGGGAAATTGCTGCCCTTTTGTCCTTTTCCTTTTTCGGAGGGTTTACGACACCCCTAAAAGACCCAAAAAGAGCTTGTTCCCCAACCATTTTGTTGCCGACGCCGGCTGCGGCGCCGGGGTAGGGTCTTTGAACATGTCTTGCCATTCGAGGCTCGAAGCAGGAGTGCTCAGGGTGGAAACGTCAAGGATGCTTATTTCTGCTGCCTTTTCCCCCTAGAGGCTCCCGATTCATTTAGGGCCCTCAAACAGCCAGGTTTTGAGACCCCCAAACAAATTCAGGGTGTCCAATGGGGGCGGGTCTTCCATTGAACGCCCCAGGAGCCTCTGGGTGGATTAACGGTTTGGTTTCCTTTGACTTGCTCAACGATAACCATTTAGACTTTCATCCCGCGAGGAGGGTATGCCGGCGGGATACCTAACCGCCATCGAGGGCATGCTGAATATCATCTTGGCGGCAGGCGTCTCCTCTTACGAAAGCAAGCCTTGGTTTAGCGGTTGGGTTTCCATTTAACCCACTGAGTTGGTTTAGTAGGTTTTTAGTTGGTTTCAGTGTTGGTGGTTGGGTTTTCATTTAACCCACAAGTTAAGCCGTTAGCGGAGGATCTGAGGACCGGCCAGAATGCGCAAGCTGCGCAAGCGCGGCCACTTTTGTGCGTGGTCTTTTTGACCACATCCTTTACTTGGGATAGGTTGATGTCATGAATCTCTTGGGGTGTTAGAGATCCAATGTTCAGCTTCCCCCCTAAAGTGGACTGGATGGCTTGCTTCGGGAGTGGTTTCCCATTTACCCTCAAGAAGAACTCAGGGTTCAAATCCCCAAATCACCCATCCACTATGATCATGACAGCAGCAGATTTCATACCCCACACCCCCATGATGATTGAAGTACAGTGCCCCAATTTGGGAGTAATGGCCTTTGCGGACAACGTTCGTGCGTGTATTGGCTTTGGGTCTATCGGTCTTGGTTGAGAAGTATTGGATTTCAGCTCATAATCTTCCGAAGTCGTGCTAAAAGCCAGTACCCCCAAATCTTGACCGTTTACAGCCAGTTTTTTTTCTTCTGCGAGTTATGACATCTCCCACTCAAAGTTTAGTGTTTTAGGGATCAAGGACCACATGAAAACAAGGCGAGTCTTTCGCCAAGAAAGGGCCGGCCAATACGATTCTGCAAGCACAATTCGAGCGGTTGAGCCCGATCGCGGGGAAAACGAGAATTGAGGGTCTCTCTTGTTTCCAGCTTGGGAATCGCAATTCGCCCTGACTTCTGGAACGTTTCCCCCCCCCCTGGAATTTCCTTTTGGACAAGGGAGCCCCCTTCTCGGGGCCGGCTGCCTTTTGGCCCAGTTGTTCCGTGGCGGTTCCTCACAGGTGTTTAGACTTTTGTTGGTTGAGTGGTTTCGTTTCTTATATTTTGTTTCAGCCACAAAGAGTTTTAAGCACGTTTCGCCCATCTGAAACAGCACACGCCCACCAAGAGTTCAAGCTTTAGCAGGGGATCTGACAGCCTCTAGGTCCCCAGTAGTGCCCTTTTGCCCTTTTTTTGGGGGAGGGCTCCCCTACTAAAATAGACTACAGGAGAAAAATCGGGTACCCCTGTTCTATCCTCTCTACTGGAGGACCTATAGGCCCGGCTTTGTTGGCGTCCCGTTTTTCCCATCCGTCCCGAATCACAAGCTCGGAGGCGGACAGCTGGTCATGGGCGCCAACCTCACGGACCTGCAGGCGCTCCCGGCGGGCGGCGCCAGGCTGGTCTTCGGGAAGCAGGACGTGGTCACCAAGCAGGCGACGCACAGCAAATTGAAGAAGATGGCCGTGGGCTGTAGAAAGGAACAAGTTGCCATATCTTTCTGCAACCCGCGGCCATCTATCTCCATTTCCAGTATCACAGACATGGCCATGGATTTTTGGGGACAATTTCTGTGATGCTACTGGAACCCCCGTCGGGGAGGGAATTCCTACTTTGGTATTACAGATTTCAGGTGAATTTCACAACCAATTTGGCCGTGGGTCAAGACCGTTTTGGGATCCCATTTTGGTTGGTACGTGAACTCACCATCCATTTTAGAATCTATTTTAGTGGGGGATTGGGATGTTCACTGGGGGGCACGGAATTTGGACCCATGGCCATATGTTTCGTGGGAGGTGAATCCTGTTTTTGTTTTGGATGTTTTGGGTTGGTATTCAACTGTTTTGGGTGGGTTTTAAAGGAAAACCACAAGGACAACCAAGTTGCGCGTTTTGTTTGCTTGGGGGGGTGTCCTTAAAAAGCACACACACACACACCCATTTGCTCAAAACCCGGGTAGACGAAGGTTAGGCAGACTCCCTGGCCATAAATGGGTGCAGCCACCTTTTTTATTCTTCACATGGTTCGGAGTAGACCATTTTAGTACCAGGTTTTGATTCTGACTCATTTGGGAATGTGTCAAAATAGGGGGTTGGACCCCCCACAAAATTGATTTTCCAGTTGGTTTCCCTGGATGAAGCATCGGTTCGCCCAAGCATCATTGGACCCTCTGCTGGAGGCGACGGAAAGGAAATTCCAGTTATCCGTGGCCGGTTGCTAAACGAATCGAGCCAGGGCCGGGTAACCCTTTGATGAACGACATGGCATCGGTCCCCAAACTCCAAAGAAGTCAACGGTTTCAAAATTTGATTCTCCCAGTTTAAGGAAGGAAGAAATGGCACTCATGTCTCAACTTATTGCAACTGCTTTTTCCGCCGTGTAGCCAAAATCCTCTTGGTACAGTAACCATAGAAGCAGTCGCAACTTGAAATCGACCGGGTGGCGAATCCCATGCGGTGTTAGCGGTGACACCGCGTTAGGGTGGAAAGTTCGCCAAGGACAACGGCCAAACTCCTTCCATCAATTTGGTTTTTGAGAGGATCGGACCAAGCCTGAAAAACCAGGTGCGCAACACATATCATATGTTTGATTCTGGTATTTGATCTGCACTTCTCCAGATTAACACATGTTATCATGTATCATATGGGGGTTGTTCAACAATCCTTTTCGGGCCCCCAGTTTTGAGAATGCCTAGCTTTTCCCATGTGGTTAAAACAAATAAAAACAACAACATGTTTTCAGTGGTTCTCCAACCAATGGTCATCGGACCTCTCAAAATCAACCCCCACATGTTTTATTCCAGCACTTCTCCGCGACATGTCAACATATCTCTGTTGCAACCAGTGGGTTGCAATTCTCTTTCTTCAACTTTCTTTGGGTAAGGGTTCCAATTCCTTCAGACTCGACCAACAAAACAAAGGTGCCTTTTTCCCATGGAAATCACTGGGCATTTGATATATATATATATATATATATTTATATATGAATGTATATATATATATAAATGAATATATATATATATACACATAAGGTTCATTGTAGGCACGTGATGTCATAGGCACGTAGTGAATTCAAAGCTTGCAGCCATGTTGTTGCGTCTGCCGCAAATGGGTTGAAAGTGAGAGGATCGTCAATTAATCGCCTTGGTATTACGAACAGTTCTAATTTCCACTAGATATACGTACACTTGTTTCTTAATATATCCGTGTATATATATATATATACACATACATACACATTCTGTACATCCATGTCTATCTATATCCACATTTGCAAACAATCTAATACATACATGTATATATATATATATTAATCATGTATATACATATTAATATATATATATATATACAGTACATACATGTATATCTACCATGCAACCAACACAAGGCTCCCAAAACTTCGCGGCGCTGCATCACCTTTCGGCTTGCCGCGCCGCCTGCGAGGTGATGCTGAATCTGCCGCGGGCGCCCTTCCTGGCGTTGCCCTCCCTGCGAGCGGCGGTGCCGAAGCGCACGGCCCCTCGCTCCAACCTTACCGTTGTTGCATTTTGCCAATGGATGTTGGGACTTTAACTTTTTGCCAACCAGTGGGTTTTCCATTAAACCACTAAAGGTTAAGAAACAACTTTTAGCAGGGGAGCAGAAAGCAACCGAGTTACTGTTGCAAGAAGCTGGCTGTGGGTCAACACCAATGGGATCCCATTTTGGTGTAGGTGCACCACCCATTTTAGGACCTATTTTAGTGGTTGGATTGGGATGTTCACTGAACGGGATTTTGACCCTCCCACCAGAATTCACAGCTGGAACCTGACGTTCGGGACGCGGTCCCTTTAAGAACATGGTCCCTTTACCAGGCCGCCCGAAGGTAGTTGGTGGGAGGGTACCAAAAAATAAGGGGGTCCAGAAGGCGAAACTTTGAAAGAGTTCGCCACAGAATACTGTTGATGGTGGCGAAAATATCCAGAAATCGCCACTCACGCAATGAAAATCCATGGTTGAAAACATTGTTGGATTTGTCACGGGAGGCGAATCATTCCAGGGTTTCTGAACGGCGGATTTCGCGAAACGGATTTCGCCACTGCCTCAAATGTGGCGGACATGAATCCCCTATGTCCAAAGGGTCCATGGAAATTCATCAGAAACGTGGTGGAGAGTGATGTCAAAAAAGACGGTTGGCTCTGAAGTTTTGATGCCCCCGGGGTGGCTCAACAAATCCAGCAACAAAATAGGTGTCCGAAGACGAAGGTAATATGGCGTGCACGGAAATGGGTCGCAACCCATTTTGTCATCTTGAGAAACCACCGCTGCAAGCATTACCTTTAGAGTTGTGAAGATTTCTTTTGGGGCATACTGGGTCCCTTTAAAAGGAAAATGGTCCAAACTAGGACTCCCCCGTTAGGTTCCAGGTTGCTCCTTGAAATAAGTGGAGCCCATTGCAAGTTTCGAGCGATGGGAGGTGACGATGGCGGAGTGTGTGAAGTTCGACTTGCCCAGCGCCTTCTTCCCCCCGGGGAAGTTCTCCCTGGGCCGTTCCCTGACCAAGGCCTACGCCTTCTACGAGGAAAATGCCAAAAAGACGCGCAGTGCTAGGGGAAGCGTCCATTTCCCTTTTTTCAGGGCACCCAAGTGGCAAATTCAATAAACACCACCAGTCAATTGCAACTTAAATGGATTTCCCCTGACCCGTGTCCACCAGCTTGAAGAAGAAACAGACCGGGTCTCGCGACAGGAATCTTGATTCACCCGGTGAATTTGCCCAGAGTCATGGTGAGGGCGAACTTATACACCCCAAAACCACACCCCTCACGGGAATCCCAAAAAATTGAACCGTCGGACCCGCAATCCAGACAACCTGGTTCGGTGGGTTGCTGAGAGGGGGACTTATGATACGTTCCAGCATCCAAGGCTGAACTGCCAGAGATAGCCCAAATGCTTGTGTTAAACATATTGCAAGCCAATCAAGAACCACTCGAGTAGTTTTCACCTTATATACCTCCATTTGCTTAAGAATATTTGTTATTTTCCCTTGTTGGTTTAAACAGGAGTTCATCACTACTGGAAAATATTTTCATTTTTTACTGGGGCCTTAACCAAATGGAAGCTTATGACTTCGAATCTTCAGGTTCTGGACCTCCTTGACTGTTGGTTGCGGTGCTTTTTGGTTCTCCCAGTTTTGGGTCCAGCTTTGGATTGATCCGCGGAACCGCACGAATTGCTTGTTTTTCTCTTCTAAAATCGATCATGGCCCCGCTTTTTCAGGGACGCTCTGATCTTGTGGTATGCCTCTAAGGGGGGTGGGGTACAAGGGGTGGGTGGGTAGTTGAGAGCCCGTTTCGGGTTTTTCAAAATTGGTTTCGGATTGTTTGGGGTTCCCTAGAGAGCCTCAGGAACCCCTCCTCACCCCGGAATGGGACTCCATGCTCCGTTTCCCTCGAAGGGAACCTCCAAAAGTTGAAAGCTTCAACGGAAACTACCCTCCAAGGCTGACATGGAAGCTCCCAGCTTTGGTGCATTTGGCCAAGGGATGTTAGGCTTTAACTTTTTGCCAACTACTGGGTTTTTCCCATTAAACCTCTAAAAGTTAAACTTCTTCTGCAGGGGAGCAGAAAGCAACCGAGCCAGGATCCCTTTGGAAGACGTGGCTCCATTTATAGAGGCCAATTGGGAGCTTCTATGTTAGTCTGTGTACCAGTAAATGGCCCCCGCTTTTTCCCGTCATTTGGTGTGTGTGTGTGTGTGTGTGTGTCGTCTTTTGGGTTGGCACCGAGCCCCTGTCTTGTGGCTAAGCGAAACCCAAACTGCCACCGAAATCCGGTTTTTGAAGGTTCCAAGTCCTATTTTGAGACAAAAACCCATGTGAGCCACAATCAAAGCCCGGGTTGATGAACGAGGTCCCCCAGCTAGGTGCCCTTTTACCAAAAACTTTTTTTTTGGGGGAGATTGGGTTCCCCTACTAAAATAGACGAAACCGAAAACAAGTCGGGCACCAACTTATTCAAACCTCCCAAATCTGGAGGACCCAGTGAAGGTGAGCCAGGGACCATCCCCCAACAAAAAAAAGGATCGGCGCGCTTTCGCCGGCTTTTCGTGCCGATTGTTTTGATGGCTCAGGTGTGTTCACCTGTGTTTTTGGGTCTTGACAAAGCCATTTGTTGGAGGGTCCAATTCCTATGTTGAGACAAACAGACCTGTTTACAGTTTCTTCTTTTTGTTTTGAGGTGTTTGCCTGTGGGTTTTTCTGTCGAGCTTCTGTGTCACCTTTGTCTCCGGGATTTTCAGGACGCCTGGTGGCACAACTCGCTGAACCAAACCTCCGGCCAGTGCCCCGAGAACGCCTTCGAGCCCGCCCTTCGGCTGGCGAAAATGGCGGGGTTCGTCGGGCGCTGGAGGTTCAGAGCGACTGGCGGCTCGGTTGCCGTGGTCTTTTTGGGGTCGGTCCCTGGGCCTTTTTTTTCTCTTTCCGTTGGTACTCGTCTTTTGCTCAGTGGCACCCTTTTTCCCCCTTTTTTGGGTGGCCGCCCCACTAAAACGAGTCTTCCCAAAAAAGGGTTCCCTTTTTTTCCAGGGTCACTGAGCAACAAAATGGTCCTCGTCTTTTTGTCGGTATGAGAGGGGTACGCTGAAGGCCCGAGTGCTCTCCCTATGGTTGCTTTTGCAGACCTGCAAACGCGCTTGGGTGCCAAAACCCAGGGCCCAGGACGGACCCTTCTGCTTGTTTTGGGGGTCGGTACCTGGGCTTCTTTTTGTTGAAGGTTCTCGTCTTTTGGTGGGGCCCGGTGCCTGTTTTGTTGTTTTTGTTTTGTGGTTCTCGTCGCTTTTTGTTGTTGGGGTCGGTACCTGCCATTTTGTTTTGGTTCTCGTCTCTTTTCTTTGGGGGGGGAGAGGGGCGGTAATTACCTGGGTTTTTCAGATTAACTCAGTAAGTGTGTCTTTGTTTGGGGTCGGTAGCTCGGTTTTTTTTGAGGTTCTTGTCTTTTGGTTGGGGTCGGCGCCTGGGTTTGCAAGGGAAACTCAGTCAGTGTGTCTTCTTTGGGGCTCGTTCCTGCTTTTTGTTGAGGGACACCAAAGGCAAAAGCCACAAATGTTCAGTTTTTTTTGGGGGGGTCCCCCAAAAGTGACACACCCAAGTCTCACTTGGTGAGTTCCTGGACTTGGGTCGCTGTTTGGGTTTGGACTAGTTTAGTTGAAACACAGCCATCCGGTTCCAGAAAGGTGTTTTTTGGGGTTTTAGTAGGGGGTCTGAGAACAGCCCAGTTTAGCAGCAAAAAACACGGTCGTTACTTTGTTTGGCCAATCAACGAAGTGAGGTGGGCAGGTTGTAACCATGGTCACCCTGGTTATAAGGGAGCCAACTTGTACGGCCGGACCCTATCGCTTGCCAGAGAGCGTCTGCCGCCCCCGACCCGACCCATATCCCAACCGCCGTTCCCGCGCATCCACTGGCAATGCTTCGGCTGAAAAGCCTGAGTAGGGGACAGGCACAGCCTTCCGGTATACAAAGCAAGGCAATAAAGCTTGTGTGCATGTTCCAGCACATGCAAAAACCCACACTCCCTAAACCCGAAACCCTAAACCCTAAACCAAAACCTTAACCCTAAACAGTTGGCTGGGGGGGGGGGGTTCAACCCTAAACCAACATCTAAACCCTAAACAGTTGGCTGGGGGCGCGGTCTTAAACCTAAACCCTAAACAAGGGGCTGGGCGGCGGTCTTAATGGTTGGGAGGTCTTAACCTGAAAGCAACACCTAAACCTTAAACGCTTGGCTTGGGGGGCGGTCTTAGCGGCTGGGGGGTGGTCTTGGAAACCTAACCAAAACCTAAAGCCTAAACAGTTGGAACCCTAGACAGTTGGCTGGGGGGCGGTCTTAACGGCTGGGGAGAGGTCTTAGAACCGTAACCAAAACCTAAACCCTAAACAGTTGGCTGGAGGGGGCGGTCCTAACCCTAAACCAAAACCTAAACCCTAAACAGTTGTCTGGGGGGGGGGGGGTCTTTGCCCTATTCCAAAACCGAAGCCTTCCACAGTTGGCGCTTAACCCCAAGCTGAAACATAAACCCTAAACAGTTGCTCACCGGACTGCTGAAGCAAAGCTCATATGCCCCCGGGCGAACCGCAGGGTCTGGGGGCTACCCAGTTGCAACCAACCTACCTAAGTAGGGCCCTAGTTACTCCAAACGGACATACCCCAAATCGGTCGTTTTGGGTGAGCTATACACAGGGACCTGAAAGAGGGTACAAGCCACAGAAGCCATCCCTATAGCTGGGTTCTGGATGTGCAGTTTGAGGCCTTTTGTGGATATGGGTGTCGCAGAGCATTTTGTCTTCCGGTTTGTACATCATTCTAATTAGCACCTCTTTCAGGCGCATTTTTGAAATGTTCTGTATTGGCCATCTATATGCAAGGCTTATAAGTGGGTATGTCCAATTGATGCAAGTCGGAGTTAAGCGCATGGTATCCATGTCCTTTCGGGGTGGTTGAGAATCGATGAGAGGGCCAAGCCAAGTTGCTGCCAACAATGATAGACGTGGACGGGGGGGGGGGGGAATCGAAAGGCTAGCTTGGAAAAAAAAGGGCAATCCTAGGGGAACAGAAGGATGCCATTTGAGCAATGCTGGTCTTGACCTGAGATTGCCTGAGAGTAATCATTCTTGCCTGTGATGTTCCCCTCAGAGAGCAACCGACCAAAACGCGAGCAGGCCCACAATTAAACAAATAGGATTGTTGTTTTCTTCCTGGCAAAGCCAACTTGCAACAGAAAGACATTTTGGGACACGCTGTGAAGCGGCCTTTTTGTGAACACACACATTTCCGCAAGGTCCCAGAGTGATTCCGGATTCCTCAATGCAACTCAAACCAGTCGACCAAAACAGGCGGCCAAAAGACAAATCAAAAAAGAGCCTGGTGCAAACGGACTTGGCGTTTCGTCTGCCTGACCCCACCATTTGGCGGGCTTCCTAGTTTCGGCCACCGGTTGCTTGGAAAGTGCATGGTTCTAGAACATTCCACACTGAGTTACTGCCCACGCAAACTGCCCCTTTTAAGAAGTGAAATGCGCCCAACGGTCTCTCGGGTGGTTGTTGTTGGGAAACATTTTACATGTTTGCTTATTGTGGTTTAGTGGTTGAAATCCAACCACTTGACTGCTAAAATTTGAGAATGTTTGCTCCCCTTCCAACGTCAACCAAGAGGTGGTTGATACCTTTGAACCTCTGGCATCGCCCAATGAATCAACCCTGAGCCTGGGGTTTAAGTAAGGCAAAAAGAGACCTTCCTGGAACCCTCCTGCGTCCAAAAGAACCCGGTTGGGGATTCCAACACCTTATTTAAACATGGCTGCTAAGTTTCAGTACACCCTTCTTCATGGCCACTTGGGTGGACTTGAGCTTTTTCGTTCAGCTGGGATTTTTCAGAAAGGGCCCACAACAAAGCAAAAACAAGCTTTTACAGAGGAGTCGTTTCCCCGCACCCTCGCAACCAGGTCCCTAGTTGCCCTTTAAAAGGGGTGCCATCTGGACCGCAGCTTCGGAGCCGCTGCTTCCGGCGCGAAGCTGCGGTCCTTTCTTTCCCGAGATGGGAGCTTGGACCCCCCAAATGACCGCCACAAAAACCTGAGAAGAAACCAACTCAATGGAAATGGAAGAAGAACCTAGGTGAACACCAGCGAAGGCATCCCCATCGGCATCCACTTCAACGATGGCACGTGCCTCACGAATTCCCAGCGAAAAGTTTGCCGCCAAGGCGCAATTGAAGCAATCAAAATGCTGGACCCCCGCTTGAAAGGGATAAAAAGGCCCCTAGTTTCTGTACGGCTATTTGGCAACGGATCTTTGGACTTCAACTTTTTGGTGGAAGGTGGGATTTTCAATGGGGAGCGCCCACAAAAAGCTTAACAACTTTTGTGGGTACAATCTCCACTGTTGTGGGTGTTGTTTTTTCATGTAGAGGCGACAACCCTTCAGAAGCACCGTAGGTGGATGCTACCGTCAAGAGTGCAAGCGGCAAGTTTTGAGCGGTGGGTGCTGGTTTGCTCTCAGGTTGCTTCCCAACAGGCGCCCTGAAACCTAAGCAAAATTGTTGCTTCAACCAGCGATTTGGTTCCAGAAAGTGTTTTTTTAGTTTTCAGTTGGTTTAATTAGTGGTTGGGTTGCCATCTAACTCACTCAAATTTAGGAGTTTAGCTGTTTTACTAGGTGTTTGGATGTTTTTAGTTGGTTTAGTGGTTGGGTGTCCATTTAACCCCCAAACAATCTTCGACTTTAATCAGGGGATCAGCTTAAACAGCACAGGAACATGGTCCAAACCAAGAGTCAGGTTCCATGCGACGTTGCTTGGCTGCTCCGCTGTGTGCAGCAACACACAGCATGGATTCAGAGTGGAAGGCCGAGTAATTCGGTAGTTCGGTTGGGTTGATCTGATGTTTGATTTCCGTGTGAAAGGCAACCAACAAGCAACGCAAGACGTGAAGGCATGGGCTGAATATCCAAGCACAGGAGATCCAACTCTATTATACAACCATGTGACTTGGTTGATTTCCCAGATATTTGTTGGCAAGCCAACCTCCACCCACCAAACCTGCCGGGATGCGCCTTATCCCCACTAGACGGGTTGGTCTTACAAAGAGGGGGGGTTTAAGTCGCCCAAATTAAATCAAACCAAAAGGCGCTCGCTTCAACTTTTCAGGGACCTTTCCTCCAGGGGAGTGCCTCTTTCCTCCATGGCAACTCCAAAGTGCCTCAGTGTGCTGTGTGGATGGGTTCCTTTGCAGTTCCCTTCATTCCTTTGTCACAGCATCAAAAAGACCCAACCCTCCACCGGATAACCCCTCCTGGTTCAGCGGGGGTTGGGAACCTGAAGATCCAGGTGTCAAATTGCCACACAGACCTGGCCGTTCACCAAAATCTGGTTGGGGCCATCAATACCCGTGGCTCACATGTGCGTTGAACTGCTTGATTCGACTTGGAGTCTGGGCAAAACAACCTCTAGGACCCTAGACCACAAGTTCACAAGTTGCCATGTGGTTGCCACTTTCCGTGTTAACTCTGAATCTCTGATGCCGATGGCCCAGATAACCCAAACGGATCACAGAAGCAGCTGGCCCTCCGGGCCCAACTGCCTAGATTTTCATCATTCCGAAAAACGATGGCTCAATTTGAATTCCTCAAAGATGGCTCATCTTTTCGTAAAAGATGATTCCATCCAAAGTCATCCTTTTCGCCATTTCAATTTCAGAGAGCATTGCTTCCTTTGGCTTCAAAGGGAATTTCCTGTGAACGTTTCAATCAACAACCCTTTCGGCTTCCGTAAAGCGGGACCTTTCCGTCCTGCTTCGCTCCTCCAAGTTGAGACCGCTCCTGGAATTCCTGGATTCAGTTTAACAGTACAAAACTCATGCAGTATTTTTCAAGAACAGAACCCCGAGTCGTCCGTTTTCTGATGTTGTGGGACGAAGAATTCTTCAGTGGATGTCCCGGCGGCATAATGTTGACCCAGGATTAATAAACCCGTCCCATTATCAGGGGGGTGTTCCAAAAGTGCTGAATCCCCACTAAAAGGGGACACCCCCCCATTCATCAACCAGGGGTTTATTAATCCGGGGTTAACATTACCCTCCAACCGGCAGCACACCAGAGGCTCACTTGAGAATGGTCCAAGTCCAAGCCAGCCCCCGCCGCCCGGCCAAGTGCCATGTGACTGGGAGGGTAAAGCCACGGTTGTGCAAAATAGGCTTTTTGGACCAATGTCTGTGATGCCAAAAGAATCGCCTAAGTGACAAAGTAGTTATGGGCATGGCATAGTTTGCTATCACAGGTTGGTGATTTTTCACAACGTACACTGGGCTTCGCCCATATTTCCAAAATTGGTTTCTACGGATTCTAAAGACGGAATCCGAGAATATTAAAGGTTGTTTTTGTTTGCAACATTGTCCAAATGAGTAACATCTTCTTGTTTTTATCGAACACCGACTCCGACAACATCAGACATGTTTGGTGTTTTTGTTGCGGACTTGGAAAACCGAATCCGACAAAATCCGAAAGTTTTTGGGTGCGAAAGCCTCCGAGGCCCCGTGCGCTGCGATGCGCCGCTCAAGGGCTGCCGTGGTTTCCTGGAGGCGATCGGCACCCGAGGATGGTCCGTTTTCGGCAGGTCTTAGGTTCCGTTTCCCTTTTTGGAGATTCCAAACAGTGGCAGGTGTTTTTGTGGAAACCACCTGTACATTGATTTGATTGATTGATTGGATTGGATTGGATTGGATTGGATTGGATTGGATTGGATTGGATTGATTGATTGATTGATTGATTGATTGATTGATTGATTGATTGATTGATTGATTGATTGATTGATTGATTGATTGATTGATTGATTGATTTGGATTTGAATTGAATTGAATTGATTTGATTGACTTATTTGATTGATTTGTTTTCTTGATTGATTGATTGAATGAATGAATGAATGAATGAATGAATGATTGGTTGGTTGGTTGGATTGATTGATTGTTTGATTGCTTGATTGATTGATTGATTGATTGATTGCTTGCTTGCTTGATTGATTGATTGATTGATTGATTGATTTGATTGATTGATTGGTTGGTTGCTTGGTTGCTTGGTTGCTTGGTTGATTGGATTGGATTGGATTGGATTGGATTGGATTGGATTGGTTTGATTGATTGATGGATTGGATTGGATTGGATTGGATTGGATTGGATTGGATTGGATTGGATTGGATTGGATTGATTGGATTGGATTGGATTGGATTGGATTGGATTGATTGATTGGATTGGATTGGATTGGATTGGATTGGATCGATTGATTGATGGATGGATGGATGGATGGATTGGATTGGATTGATTGATTGGATTGGATTGGATTGGATTGGATTGGATTGGATTGGATTGGATTGATTGATTGATTGATTGATTGATTGATTCTGTCACGAAAATTGGAAGCAATCCAACCACCCCGAAATTGTTCTGAAGTCTGTGTTTGCCAAGTTGCTAATATAATTTACCTCGAAATCACCCTACATGGTTGCGTTTTGTGTGCCTTTGATTTGAACCCAAATGGAAGTTCCCCACAAACGGCACACCCATATGGAACCCCGGGAACCCCCGAGCAGCTTCTTTTTTTCAGAGGAGCCTCCTTGTGTCTTTTGCGCGGACCTCCGAAATTTGGACTGGAGGATTTTCCTGGAGTTTTGTTAGGGACATGCCTGCGTGACTTTCTTTTGAAAGAGACTGCAGGAGACTCCTAAAGAAAAGAAGATGAGTCTCCCCTCCCCTCCCCTCCCCTCTCCTCCCCTCCCCTCCCCTCCCCTCCCCTCCCCTCCCCTCCCCTCCCCTCCCCTCCCCTCCCCCCTCCCCCCTCCCTCGGCCGCACAAACTATTGAGGCCCTGCGCGAGATTGGCTTCTCTCATCGTCCGGGTTGATGCAAATCTAGGGGGAAGGTGCTGGCCAGAAATGGCTGTGGTTGTCAAAGTTAAGCCACCAGGAATTGGACCGCGGGTTAAATCGTCTTTGGTTCCATTTACCAGGGCAAGCCATTTTGGGGTTACCCGATTTTTGACAACCACAGCCAAATATGCAAAGTCTTCAAGTGCCTTGATTATTTCTGCCCATAGTTTTGGGTGGGCCGCTTTAGTGACTAGGTTCATTGCGACGAGTTTATTGTTTTATGCGCCATCTATGGTGCTCCCACCAATGTTGCAGCCGATCTCGCCACAGAACTGGGGGCCTTAAAGTGTATTGTTTGTTGGGGTGCTCAAGAATTCCTTTTGGGTTTCCGTTTCTAACTTCACCACAAGCTATTTCAATGAGTTTTTTTGCGGTTCCCCTTTTAACTTCAGATACGCCTGTTTGGGGTTTTACGGGGGCTTACCAAAAGACACCCAGCCCTGAATTGAATGGGAGGGTGGGGGGGGGGGTTACGTCCAAGGTTGTCCATGTCGGACGAAATGCAAGTTGGCAAAAATGACACAAGTCATGTCACACAAAGGAAGTGGAAAAGAGCAAGTAGGTCATATAGGAAGGGACACATACAAATGAACAACAATGAACATCATAAGCACTTAAAAGCCCTCTTGGTTGGTCTGTTTTTCCCTCACGCGGCTGTTCTCCTCTGACGGATGCACATGCTCATGTGTCTTCAATGCCCTGGGAACTTCCCTAGCCATATTTGGGTTTGAAAGGGAAGTGGGCACGTGTGTCTAAAAAAGACACACCCAAGAGGACTAGTCATCTGCCGGTTGGAAAGAGAAGCAGCTTGTGGAAGAGCCTTCTGCAGGTCTACTACTCCACCGTTCTGGAGGAGCCCGGGGCTTTTGTGGGTGGGCGTATGGGTTTGTCTTCCTCACTTCCTGAGTGGCTTTCTGGAAAGACCATTTTAGTGGCAAACAGAAAGCTCGGCCTTTTTGGCCAACTTACTGACTCTACCCGGCAGATACATTTTTTTTGTGCCATCTACTTTGGCTCCAATAAGGGTTTTACACTTCGGGCGTCGGGGCCAGTTTGTTGCAGGCTACGCCATGGAGCCCACCAGAGAGTCTATGTTGAAGGCAACTAGTCTTTCAGGACCCCGAAGCCTCAGGTTTCATGTTACAGAGCTCCTTGAAACATACATTTTGCCCATTTGAAACATGGCTTTTTCCACCAAAATAAAGGGAAACCACCATTTAAATTTACAAGGCAATGTTCAGGTGTATATGTAAGGATCCCTGTGTTAGCGGAGGGTACCTTTTTTTGACCCAGACCAAACATTTTGGAGAGCTGCGAATTTTACGGACGTCCACTGGCTGGGGGAACAACTCACAGATTTTCCGGTCACCGCCAGTTTTTTCCAAGGAACTTTCTTTTGGTCTCCCGAAGAAAATAAAACCACAAAAGCATCCTCAAAAAGCATATCAACCACCAAAAATGGCCACAGAAGCTGTTCATCGAAAGAGGCTATCAGACTCCATATCATGTACTTGGAGTCTTCATGACCCTTGAAGCATGGGTCATGCACAGTTGGGTGAAAGCAGATGCCACAATTCCGATGCCCACTTTGGTGCAGTCGTTCTCCTTACACGCCGGGAGTTGTGTGTACTCTGACCCTCTATACCCTCCCACCAAGCAACATGGAACCTGATGTTTGGGGGGGAGGGTCCTGGTAAAGGCCCATTTTCCTTTTTACAGGGGACCATTTCCCGAACGTCAGTCAAGGGGTTGTAACTTGGCGGCTCCCAGCCATCCCCTTAGGTTTTTAGCTTTTTCGTGTTTGGTAGTAGTTTCCACCAAACCCACTCAAAGTTAAACTTTTAGCAGGGATCTGAGCACAGCCCAGGTAGCATGTTAAAAGGATCAGGGAGGCTCCCAAATTCCTTTTTGGGAGAGGTTAGCTTTGTGCCGTCGTTCTGGGATCTCGTGTGATTGGTCTATGTGGTTGGGAGTAACGGAAGAGGCAGTTGGGAGCGGCAGTTTTATCTCTTCCCCCTCTGAAAAAAAAAAGAAGAAACTCGGCCGTCGAACAGTCAGCAAGGCTTTGGCTTGAAAACGTCTAAATGGTGTGCATGTACTGCCGTCGTTTCAGACTGCCGTCTGGTGGGGAAAAAAGTCCGCCTCCCAACCCTGGAATGTTTTGGGTTGAACACACCTATAAATGGCCTGGGACAGTTCCGGGGAAATGTACTGCCGTGTTTTTCTCTCGGATTTGGGCCTTAAGGGTTTGATAGGCAGCAGTTGGACAAGGGAATTGCGGAATGGGAGGGTTTTGGAAGGGTGAAAAAACATCTACACACTTGTGGGGAAACTGGGAAACTGTTTTTATTCTTCGTGTTGATCCTATGTCTACAGGCTTCCCAATGTTTTTCAAGAGGTGGTTTTAAGCATCACCCCAAATATTGGGGACAGTTTGATTGTTTTGGGTGGTTAGCAACGTCAGACAATCGGGTTGTTGCCCTTGAACCCACAACTTAGGGGTTGACTTTGATCATGACACAATGAGGCCAGCAATAAGGGCTGTCAGGAGTTTAGGATTGGTTTAGTATTGGTTCACGTTTTCCATCATCGGGGCGGGGTCGTTTTTTGAGATGTTTGCCTAGGCTTGCGAGCTTTTTTTTTGACAGACGAGAGATATTTATATAGTCTTCGAGCATTAAAGAAGCCAACCGAAAGGTTGCTTCGTAAAGGAATCGAGGCTGGTTTGGAGAGACGGGAGCTTTCCGTGCAACGAGCGCATCTCGCAATACGAGCGCATGATCCAACTCAAAAAGTGTGAGTTTTGTCATGGACGGCACCTGCCGCAAATTGTGCATGTGAGCAGAAAGACTGAGCCCATACCCCACACCACACGATGCTTCAACAGCCTTTGTTGATATAGCCGCTTTTCAGCGTGATTTCTTGAACCAACCGGTCTTCAGACAACGCGCCGTTTGCGCGAGCGGAAAATACCGCTCAACGGAACATGGTTTGTTGGACCCGTCACATGAGAACCCGTCCAACCAAAACGAGGCACGCCCTATGTATTCTCGGCTCGCGCTGATCCGGGAGCGATGGTCGTGTAAGCCGATTCTTTATCGGCCGAGCTCAAAACAGCCAAGGCCATGGTTGATCGTCTTGAGAGAGTTAGAGCCATGCCCAGTCATTCCATGCACCTGTTTAGCAGGTAACCAACGGAAGCACCCTTCAAAACGAAAATGGGGAAGGGTTCCATTCTTTGAGCCTGCATGTGTCTTAAGGCTACTGTTTAAACAGCTCCTTTCAAAAAGCAGTCATGCTTTACACCAGAAAGCAGATGGCGCAAGTCCCTTGCGGGTGAGAGGAGATCAAGCCAAACAGGGTTGCGATGACGTTTACGGCTTCCTCGGAGCCTTGTGGTAGTGGTTCCATCTCAGTTGTTTGAATCCAACCCCTGTCTTTGAGGGTATCCATTTTTTGGGGGATATTAATACCCTCCCATCCGCTAAAATGGAACGTGAGAGGGTCCCCCGCGTGCCGCGTTCTCGACAGGACTTCTTCGAGGACCTGAGGCCTTCGGAGCAGCAGCCGCTGGGCACCTTGAGCGGCAAGGCTCGCGGATGCGCTGAATCGCGCGCGCGCGCGGATGCATGCGCGCACGGAGGGAGTTTTTGTTTTTGTGTTTCTCCGGGGGGGAAGTGTCTCACAGGCTTTTTTGTTGCGCAGCTGAGCGGAGGGGGAAACGGGGTGTTAAAAGAAAAGCGAGAGACAAATTGAGGAGTGGCCAATTTTGACAACGTCATGCTTGTTCGCGGGCGACGACGTCCTGTGTGCAAAAACAAAATGGGCCGTTGAAGAGTCTAGCCAAGATAGCGGGGACTTGAATTTGGAAAGGCCTGGTCGCCTGTTTCTTTGAGCAGGCAGGGATGCTTGTTCTTGGGGGAGTTGTAGCAATGCTGTGTTTGACTCCCGAGGCCGACAGGGCTTTTGTAATTGTGGTTGCCATACCATGGCCTTACAAAAAGTTGTATCAAAACAGCAGCCAATTCATCCGTCTCCGGACTTGCGTCTTCTGGTGGCAGAGAGCAGAGCAGTTTCGTTTTACGGCCCGGGCCCCAAATCTCAATTTCCAACTTGTCTCCTCCAAAACTGACAGTGGGTCAAAATGGAACCCCTGGTACATGTGAACTATCTGCGGTGCCCTGGTGGCGTTGCATTGGCCCCGGCAGAGTGATCAAGTTGTGAAGGGACGTCCGAATGGTTCGACCCTGGCGTGCATTGTGGGTTTGCTGCGCTTGAATCATGCAAAGTAACATCGGTAGATCACGAGATGCAACGACTTTAGTTGAGCAAATCGGGTTTCCGTGCGCTGGCGGTGGATCCACCAATAGCAGTAGAAGGCGATCATGTGGCAGTGACTCCCCTTTATGGAGCTTTGGATGCTTCTTAAACAGGAACCTGAATTACATGAACCATTGTCCAGCACCCCTCAACAACTGCTTGTTCCCGTGTCCAAAATCCCAAGTATGGCAACCAAGAAAGCATTTGTGGGGGGGGGGGCTGTGTTCTCTCTCTTTTGTTCGTGTTTTTTTTTTTGGGGGGGGGGGGGCAGTCTATTTTGAGGGCCGCGCCCCCGTACTTTTTCTGGAGCGCCAGAAGTAACTCGTGGTTTCTTAGACTGGCGAGTTCCGTAGGGATGGTCCCTAGCTGGAACTTTTAGAAAAGCACAAGTCATGGGTTTTGGGCGCGAAACAAATGACCCTCGCAAAGAGCGTGGTTTGAAGGCTTGATTGCTATTGGATTTGTCATTTTAACTTTTTGTGAAATCTCTTATGTTTCCCCCATTGAAACCGCAAAAAGTGAACAAACTGTTTGTAGAGGGGTCGTTACAGGGCCGCTTGGAGGTTGTGCAGCGCGATTTTGGTTGCTGCAAAGCTTCTTCGGCTTGATGCCAAAAACCTTGCGAAGGCAACTATTGGTGGGGGGGGGGGACGGGTACCTTGCTGGTTCTCAGCAGGGAATGAGGGAATGACCCCCCAAAAACCATCCCCTATGTTTGTTTTGGAGAATCCCCAAGGTCATTCCGAACACCCTGCGTCGTTCCCTACAGAGCACCAGCAAGGTACTTAGCGCGTTGTAAGGGAACCCGCCAACTTGTTACCCAATTTGTAACCTGGGCATAGGTGTCCTTTTAAGGTAATTTTGATTAAGCATAGATGGGTTCCACTTGTTTAGATCGGTTTTGTTCCGTTTACCAGGGAAAGCCCATCTATTTTTCTCCAAAAAGGTCACCTATGCTTGTGAGGTTCCCTATGACAACCCCCTGCGCCTTGGCATTTCTGTTGAGTTCTCGTCAGAGCCCCTTTCGCCTCTTGAGGCCGCGGAGCCCGCGCTGAAGAGGCGGGGGCGTTTTGTGCTTGGGAGGTCTTCCTCTTCCGAAGACAAGGGCGTGCATGTGGCTGTGGCTCAAAATTAGACAGGAGGGGTTACGCAGGTTTTTGTCCATGTTTCCACTTACCAGGGTTCCGTTTTGGTACCGGTTTTCTGAGCCGCAGCCATGTGTGTTCTTGTTCTTTTCTAGGCATCTCTTGAAAACAAATCAAATCAAGAAAGGGTGTCCATCCCAGCAAACCCCGACAAGTGCTGGTTGGTTACCATACTTGAGAATTTTGGACGTGGGAAAATGCGGGTGCTGGTAGGCAAACCGGGGGTCTTTCTTTCCTTGGTACTGTATTCTAAACAGGAACCTTGGAGCCTTATGCTTGCTAGTGATGATACAACCCGGATTTCGAAGCCTGTGTGAAACCTGTCTCTTGGCGTGCTTTAGTGCAACTAAAACAGTTCTCGCCTTATGGTAAGGTTGTGAGCATAGACGCTCTCAGGATGAGATTGCAAAGGATGTGCCAACCCAAAAACCTGGCAAGTGAAATGTGTTGTTGGGAGGTTGCAATTCATGATGTACAGTATTTACTTACCATATTAAGGTAGTTCTGACCTATCAATAGGTTATCAGCCGTATCGCTGGTACCTTGTACAGCACCCTCTCCTTTTTCCGGCATTGCGATGGCGTCAGGCAGTGAGAGAAACGAAGCAGTCGCTAGCGAACGTCCAGTCGGTCGTACTCCCGGAAGAAAGCACGAGCCGGCTTAGCAGCTCGGACTGAGGCTCACACTCACCTCACCCAGAATGAGATGCACACGCACAAGCACAAGCATCAGGTGAATGCCCCGAGCATCTAGCACAATCAGACGGTCAATGTGGTGAACACTGGAGCCACTGCAGGTGAATTGGCGGCCTATGCTTCGGCTTGCCATGACGCAATTGCTACCAAGCTGCAGGCTGGCCACAACGAACAGAAGGGCCGAAAATATCAGGAGGCTTTGAACCGCATCAACGAATGCAAAAAAGGGAAGCCGTGGTTAGAGAACAGGAGCATCAAGAGGTGAGGTGCGTGTGGACTGCTGAGCGGAACAAAGCTGAAAGGAACTTCAAACAGTTCAAGCTTTTGATGGAGATGTCCAACAACAAACAGAAAGATTAGTCTGAACGACACATGGCTCAGATGAGGGATATCATTCTCAGGCAATCTGGCGACATTGAGTCCCTCCGTAGAGAGCTGAAATCGCGAGATGTACAGTCCCAGCCTAGTGATTTTCCAGTCTCAGGGTTGAGGCCCAAGGCCTCTCCCATTCCACCATCTCCACCCCCCGGTCTCCGCCTGAGTTGCAAGACTCATGTCAGGTCATGTTCAACTGAGTTGCGCCGTGATGAGCCAGGTGTTGCTGACAACCCTGGGGATGATGAATATGAACCGACTTCACCCCATGAAGCACCCAATAATGGAGGCAACGACCCTGGCAATAACGGCAATAGCAATCGCGCGCAGGCAATCGACGTGTGTGCCAAAAACTGCAGCCGCGCTTCTGATTCCACAATTGCATCACATGTGTAGGCACTACACACAATGTTTCCCTGTTCATCATGCCTGCCATTGAAGACCTGCCAATCTGAGGTGAAGCTTGCAATGCCGCGACCTCAGTGATCTTTGCGCCGGACTCAGAGGGCCCGACCATCCTCCGCAAAGCGGGGGGTGTTGCTGGGAGGTTGCAGCTCATGATGCGCAGTACTTTCCCGAAATTGCGCTACTGGAAACCCTCATGGAGACAGGCGTCGACAGGTCCGCACGCTCGCGGGTGAAGCCAGTCATTCGGCCAAAATCGAGCACGTGAACAATCGAGCGCAGGAAGAGTGCGCGCAGCTTTTCGGAACCTGGTCGCGTGGTGGGATACTGTGGGAAGTTTCCATCCGTTTTGACTCGGCCTGATGCTTATGTACATCGACGCACGCGCCTTCCATCCCATCTATGGTTTCATTTTTTTGTGCCGAGGTTGCCCGATCGCATACTTTTCTAAAAATAGAAACACCAAGTTGCCAAAACATCAAATTCCCGCCCCCTTAAGGAGAAGCTCGAGCAGCAAGAAATGGACTTGCACCAACCTGTGGTGGATTTAATTCTATAAATCGGTATGGATTCCACATGTACTTTGCCCTTGGCTTTTTGTTTCCACTTCTTTGGAAGTCTGGGAAAATCTCTAGGTCAGTCCCCTGGCGCTTGGGATGTGGCATGTCCGGAGTAAGGGTCTTGCCAGCTCCAAAAGAACGACACCCACTCCCGGCCAACCTCCAGAACCGAATCTTGGCAAGCTTCTCGGTGGGAAAAGAATTGATGAGCCCAGGCGGTATCGAGACCCAACGGCTTAAAGGGAATCCCCCGAAGCCGATTCTCCCTTCCAGCTCTCCCTGAAAGCTGCGCTAGTCACCCAGAATTGCTCGCACAAACATCCTGGACCCACAAAAGGGCACAAACTTCCGCTCGAGGGAAAACGTGTTGGTTTCTCCCAAAAGCGCTCGTTTAGGCAAAATGCGCTCGAGGCCAAATAAGTGCTCGTGTGAGCGCCCTTGCTTGCGCATCATTGCATGTTGGAGGCGCCACACAAACCCATCAAGACTGCCTCAATATTTATTATGTCACATGTTTGCACAGTGGACACCGCATCTTCATTTTCGAGCACCTGGATATTTTTGCGCTTTTGGCCGCGGGATAACGGACCCACTGACACTGTTTGGAATGCGCTGGAATTGCGGGAAGTTGCGCTGAAGGTTGCGGGTTTCAAGCTGCCCCAAATGGTCAAAATGCGCCCAACATGTTCAGGTTTATTAGGCTTCCACTGAACACGCGTCGTTGCCCGAACAGCGCAGCTCGAGCCATTTCCTGCCCCACCCCTTGCTACACGGAGAGCGTGGGCCCTGGCAGCACAACTCACACACTCCAAAGCATCCAAATCCCATGGAAGAAAATTTATGTTCGAATTGCATAAGGGCTTGCCACAAATTTGTGTTCGTTTGGGGGTCCAGGATGGTTGCAACAGGCTACTGAGGTCTCGAAACAGAGTTGACACGGGTTCGTCTATTTTTCGGGTACCTGCAACATGGGGCCGGGTTTTCCTTTTGGTTCCTTCAAACTTCAAACCACCAAAAAGGGGCAACTCCAAACAACACACACCCCAGTTTCCCCCGAACCGTGGGATCGGAAGAAAAGCACCAAGTTGCCAGGCTTCATGCGGCCGTCATGGAGGTTGGGTTCCGGGCTCCGCAAAATTTTAGCTCACAAGCGCGGGTTTGAGTGCCCGGCCTCAAGCGAGTTCAAGGGATTTTTTTTACTGTTGTTGGATCAAGTTGTTAGGTTTGTAAGTTTGCTGCTTCTGTTCACTTTTAGTGGGGGGCTGCAAAAATACAAGTTTCTTGCAAGTCCATTCCAAGGGTTGTAACGTTAAGTTGGCCCAAAAGCGCGCAAACATAAAGCGTGGCCTCAGACAAAAATACCAAGACTCTAGCAGGGTGTCCGAGCCATTTTCCCTTTCGGATCCTCCAAAAGTGGCAGTTTCAATGGACACTCCCAATAAATTCCAGCCTTTGAAGGGGGGCAATCCAGAAACCTGTCCAGCTTGGAGTTTTTAAGCATCGAAGCGCCGAACTGATTTTTGTTGTTGCGTCCATTTGGGGTGTTCCTTGCAGCGGGAACCCGGGTGACTGCTTTCGCACTGTTTGCAGAAGCTTCCTGCGACCAGGTGCTGAAGGTGCCTTGCAAGCGAAACCAGCTCTTGAACGAGGGACAAACATGGGCATCTGTGTTTGAGGTCCGATACTTGTGGAGCTGCTCAGAAGCCTAGGGAGAGCCTGCCATTTTCGGGGAAACAAAAACAAACACAACATTTGGATGCTGCAGTTCATATTGACTGCCTTTTTGATACACCTAGCGTCGCTCCTCACAACAACACCCACGTGTAATTTCGAGTTCCAACTTGCCGCGCGCTGCCCACAGTTGCCGATTTTCACTGTTTCCCGTTGTCCGGAAGATCAAGAGGGAAGGATTTCCGAACCAGAGGTGTCACAAGGTTTCCCCACTTGCACCTTTCCTTTGGGCCAACCTGGCCCGGAGGGTACGGCAATCCAATCGGATGAAAGGAGACCTTAGCGGCGGCTCGTCTTCAAGGTTGGGCTCCCAGAATGGCTTCGGCTTTCCCTTGGTTTCCCTTTTAAGAAAGCCGCAAAGGGGTACCAACTCCAACAAAAAGACACACCCTAGTGTAGAAAAAAACCCGAGAGGTCCCTTCATTGTGTCCCTTATTTTAAAACCAAGAGGGGGGTTACTCTCCACTGACATGGAACCAACGGGAGGAGGTCCCTTGAAGAACAATGGTCCAAGCCAGTCCCCTGTGCATTGTGTGGGCAACCAAGAGAAGTAAAAGCTAGAGACACGCGAAACCTGGTTGCCCCTAACCTTGTGACAATTGGCGGTGGTAGGAAACGGTTTGGATGCGCTTCTTGTGGATTTTGCCGGTTCTTCCCACGGTTCGTCCTCTTGTTTTAAATATCTTTTAGTACTCTTTTGACCTTCTACAGGGGTGGATCCACAAAAGCCGCCTCACAACCGTTTTCTAGATGGCAGGGCAGGAGAAAAACGGTCGCCGCAGACGTGACGCGATCGTCCAGGCCACCAAGACGCTCTTTGAGAAGAAGGGCAAAAAGCAGCCGGAGGACGCCCAGTGACCGTTTCGGTTTTGGAGATGGCTGTGGTTGTCAAAACCAATGGTGCCATTTTGGGGTAGGTGGTTTTGGAGATGGCTGTGGTGGTCAAAACTACTGGGATCCCATTTTTGGGTTTTCGGTGCACCACCCATTTTAGAACCTATTTGAGTGGGGATTGGGATGTTCACTGGGGGTACGGGATTTTGACCCATGGACATATGATTCCTCTGGACATGCCAACAAACAACGGTTTTCCATGGTTTCTTAGGGGGATTTGCTTCTAAATGAGCCACTTCCATTTGCTGAAGGAAAAGGTGTTTATTGTTCCCCCAGTTTCAATTAAAGACACACAATTTCACTAGTTTCTGGACATATTTTCTCATTTTGTTCCAGGGGGCAAAAAAGCAAATGGAAGGCCAAGGAGACAACCCGAATGAGTATGTTGTTTTTTTAGTATGGTTCAAAAGGGAAGCCACAAGGAATCGAAGGAATATTTCCCGAAAGCATGGCGAAGGGTTCTTCCGCTGGGTTCACTTGAGTTGTTCTCATGAGAGTCATTACAAGGTGTCATTGCAAGGAATCATCATCATGAAAGTCAATGCAAGGAGTCATTGCAAGGAGTCATTGCAAGGAGTCATTGCAAGGAGTCATTGCAGTCATTGCAAGGAGTCATTGCAAGGAGTCATTGCAAGGAGTCATTGCAAGGAGTCATTGCAAGGAGTCATTGCAAGGAGTCATTGCAAGGAGTCATTGCAAGGAGTCATTGCAAGGAGTCATTGCAAGGAGTCATTGCAAGGAGTCATTGCAAGGAGTCATTGCAAGGAGTCATTGCAAGGAGTCATTGCAAGGAGTCATTGCAAAGGAGTCATTGCAAGGAGTCATTGCAAGGAGTCATTGCAAGGAGTCATTGCAAGGAGTCATTGCAAGGAGTCATTGCAAGGAGTCATTGCAAGGAGTCATTGCAAGGAGTCATTGCAAGGAGTCATTGCAAGGAGTCATTGCAAGGAGTCATTGCAAGGAGTCATTGCAAGGAGTCATTGCAAGGAGTCATCATTGCAAGGAGTCATTGCAAGGAGTCATTGCAAGGAGTCATTGCAAGGAGTCATTGCAAGGAGTCATTGCAAGGAGTCATTGCAAGGAGTCATTGCAAGGAGTCATTGCAAGGAGTCATTGCAAGGAGTCATTGCAAGGAGTCATTGCAAGAGTCATTGCAAGGAGTCATTGCAAGGAGTCATTGCAAGGAGTCATTGCAAGGAGTCATTGCAAGGGTCATTGCAAGGAGTCATTGCAAGTGCAAGGAGTCAAGAGTCAAGCTGCATGGAGTCAAGTGCAAGTTGCAAGTGCAAGGAGTCAAGTGCAAGTTGCAAGTGCAAGTCAAGTGCAAGTTGCAAGTGCAAGTTGCAAGTTGCACGAGGCAAGTTGCAAGTGCAAGGAGTCAAGTGCAATTGACTTGCGAGGAGTTAAAATCTCTTCTTAGGGCGGCGGGGTAGTGCCGACGACACTACACGAAAATCGACCCTCTGCGGGGATCGGCGTGGTCGAGGTGCAAAAACCCATGGTTTTTTGCGATTTCTAACCTGCTCGCGCGACCCTCTGCGGGGATCGGCGTGGTCGAGGTGCAAAAACCCATGGTTTTTTGCGATTTCTGCGGTGCTCGCGCAACCCTCTGCGGAATCGGCGTGGTCGAGGTGCAAAAACTCGAGGTTTTTTGCGACTTTTGTTGTTCGAACTGGTCCTCGGGAGTTGTCTCGTGGTTCGCGCGCCTGCTCCCGGAACCGGCGGGTCGCGGGTTCGATTCCTCCCTGGTCCGCGGGCGGGCGTCGCAAGATGCAACTTGCATTTTAAAGCAACTTGCGCAGAGCAACTTGCGCAGAGCAAGTTGCACCAACTTGCGCACCAGTTTGCGCAGAGCGCCTTGCCTAGAGCAACTTGCGCAGAGCAACTTACGCAGAGCAACTTGCACAGAGCAACTTGCACAGAGCAGCTTGCACAGAGCAACTTGCAGGGAGCGCAATTTGCACAGAGCAACTTGCAGGGAGCCACTTGCAGGGACCAACTTGCCGGAGCAACTTGCGCGGAGCAACTTGCGCAGAGCAACTTGCACAGTGCAACTTGCGTAGAGCAACTTGCGCAGACCAACTTGCACCGACCAGTTTGCGCAGAGCACCTTGCCTGGTGCTGTCTCACGCTTGCTTCACAAATGCTTCGTGTGCGGAAAAAGAACGCATCCTGCAGCGTTTGGCCGACCTCGCTTGCGATGTTATGCTTTCGGGCCAACCGTGGTCTAGTTTTTTTTGGCCGGGGCGTCACCTATTTTGACCCCCTAGCGCCCCTCACCTTGGCCCCGAGACTCCCTCCCATCCACTCCCCCCAGCCGTTCCCTAGCTAGCCCCCCTCCCGGAGCCTACCTGTGACCCTTCCGAGCCAAGTCAAGTGGGGCGGCTCCTCTTCTTTTCTGAGCGGTTTTTCTGTACCCCTGGTGAATTTTAGGAAATGAAAAGGAGAAAACCGAAGGCTTCGCCATGTTTGGTGCTCCAGCCAGAGGCGCCACCCAAATTGGACCCCACGACCTGAGGAGCACCCCGAGCCCGGCCCCGCCCCCCCCGCCCCCACGAGCCCCGAGCGAGCCGCAAGCCGCGAGCCGTGAGGAGCCGCCCTCCATGTTGGTGGTGGGCGTTTGGGACCGCGGTGGGCATGGCTACACCGCCCCCACCAAGGCGCGGGAGCTTGTGGAAGAAGGGCATGCGTGATGCTTGCCCAGGTCCCCCAGCTAGTTGCCCTTTTACCCTTTTTGCCCTTATACCAACTTTTGTGGGGGAGGGTTCCCCTACTAAAATAGACTACACAGAAAAAGGCTACCCTTATTCTAAGCTCCCTACTGGAGGACCTAGTTCCCCTCCCTCCAAGCACGGAAGCTGACACCAGGCTTATTTTCGTTTCCCTCCAACAACTCACTCCCTGAGTTGCGTTCCGGACTTGAGTGTGAAAAGTTAGGGTACTTTCTTTGGGAAATCCACTCAGGAAGTGAGAGAATCATGGAAGCTGACGCAGGGCTTCGAAAGATTTGAGCTTGCTTAGCCCATCTACTCGCGAAGTGAGACATGGTAGAGATTTGAACACCCAGAGCTTTCCTCCCCCCAGATTTCGGGATTTCAACCCAAGGGTTCGGGCCTTCTCAAAGTCCAACCATGGACTTTCCAAGAAAAACTGGGGAGGGGCGGGGGAGAACTCCCCTCCTGCTTTGACATAGTAGGGCCGTATTAAACCCTAAACACTAAACCCTCAACCATCCCCTAAACCCTAAACCTTTGGGTCCTGAACAACACTTGCCTTGTCGTGTCCTTGGCGTATCCCGCGCTTATCCTGGGCTTATAGCCCTCCCTCCCCCAGAGCCCGTCCTCCGTGTCTCTTCACGGGGCGAGGTGTACTACAGCTGCGACAAGAGCACGCCGGGTGGCCCCGACCCCTTGGAGAAGGCTTGCGGCCCGCAGCCCAGCACTCGAACGCGCTCGCGCGCTGGTCGCTTCGGGTTTTTTCGGCTGGGGGGTCACAAGTGGGTCAGAAAAAACGGGGGGAACAGCCCTGGAGGTACGGATGTGTTCCGAGTGTTTGAATGGGACCCCGAACATTCAGGTTTCCCATTAAAGGTTTCCCCAAAAAACAACCACAGGGTACTCCCTCAAAAAACATCCTGCATGAAACCACAGGGTGTCCCTTTAAAACTACAGTTTCCCTTTAAAAGGTACGGATGTGTTCCGAGTGTTTGAATGGGACCCCGAACATTCAGGTTTCCCTTTGGGTTTCCCTGTAAACCAAGGGTACCCTCAAAAACCGACCTGCATCTAAACGGGCTGGGCTTCCTCATGACAATGAGGCTAATTTCCATGTCACTGTCACGGATCAGATGATAGCCCGGGTGCCAAAAGCGTATTCGTTGCTTGGGGCCATTCCCCAAGGTTTGCATGGGAGATCGGAGTTTCCTTCTCCGGGCTTCATATGAGTCACTTGCAAAAAACACCCGGGTAAGTGAAGGTTAGTAAGGGACACTCCCCTTGCCATAAATAGCTGCGGGAATCCGCCTTCATAATTCTTTACATGGTACTGGGTTGGCCATATTAATACCGGGTTTCAAATTTTGAGCAAGGACTCATATGGAGCCAAGGGACAGCAATCTGCAAAAAGGCCTGTTGAGTGGAAGGCCTTATTGCAATGGTCCAGGGTTTACCCTTTAATCCAATGGCCGGACTTAGCTCATGTTTTTCCACTTTTTGCCCTTTTTGTTTCTTTCCGCTTGGTGGTTCCCAGCCATCCCCGTTTGTGTTGAGGGGTTTCTAGTTGGTTTAGTCGGGGTGTCCATGTATCCCACAAGTTAAACTTTAAGCCGGGGGATCAGTTTGGACGGCCCAGTCGATTTTCCTTTTCAACCACCAAGTTAACTTTTGCATGGTCTAAGCGTAATAATCTGTTGACCACCTTTTGATATCACTGGTTGTGTGTGTGTGTGTGTGTCTTTGAGGGTACCTTTCTGCAACAACAAAAAAACACCACATTTGTTGGGATTCAAAAAATAGACACACACATATATAAGTAAACACATATATATATATATACATACATATATATTATACATATATATATATATATATACACGAATGGCCCTTGACGGCTTGAACGCTTTATGGCTTGAAACCCTGTGGTTCCTTGTGGTTTCCCTCCCGGCTCCCAAGTGATGTAGGGGCCCTCACATTGCCAGGCTTTGAGAGTCTGCCTCAGGTCATTTCCCAGTTCTGGCTGTACCTGGCCTTGGTTCATCCATTTGTCTCAGTTTCTTGTTTGCTGAAAAACATGGGGGGGGGGGGTTCCTGGAGAGAAGGCGCAAAGAGACCGGGGAATCAACCCTCAGAAGTGTGGTCCTCATAGAGTGCTACTCCAAGGCCTTGGGTTTGGGGTTTGGATCTGCCCAGAAGCTTGCAGGTTTTTGCTTTGACCGTGGGGAACAAGTCTCGGATGTAGATGCGGATGTTTTGCGCCTTGTGGGTTTCAAACATTCGCTTTGTGGCCCCTGTTGGGTGAGTTCCCTTGGTAGGCGTGGGGGGGGGAGCTAGTTGACCAGTCGCTTCCTTCAAACTGGTAAGCTTGGGCTGCAATGGGCCTTTCATTGTTTGTCGAATCCGCAGCCGACCGAAACCGTGCCTTGCTGTGCAATGCATTGCTTTGCTTTGCCTTGCCCTACTCTAGTTTTGTTTTGCCTTGCTTTGCTTTACCTTGCTTTGTTTTGTACGGGGAATCTATCACTATTGGACATACCTTCTCATTTCCAGGGGGCGAGCAAAAGCACATGGAAGGCCAAGGAGACAGCCCACACTGGCATGTTTTGCTTTTGTTCATGGCATGGTTGAACCAAAAGGTGTTGGTAAATTCCCCACCCCACCACACGCTGATTTCCAGATTTCCCTTATGGGCTGGTCCGGTTTTGAGCTCATTGGGTGAGCACCAATTCACACTCCGCTCACGTGCCACCATCACAGAGGTTGCGGTGAGAATTGATGACGTCCAGTACTACACCCTGCCGTCGATTGCCTTGCTGCAGTTTCCGACTGGCACGAACCTGAAAAAGCCCTGGGAGAGCGTGTGTCGCAGCCTGGTGCCTTTTCGCGATGACATCATCAATGATAGTCAGCGGATTCATGCCATTTCTGAATTCGAGCCTGCACGCCTTCCGGAAGGAGAACCTGGAGCTTGGGCCAACCACATGCTCAGGGACATTGCACGCAAGTTTCGTCACAAGGTCCAAGGCTGCCCCTTTTTGGTTGGTTTTCAAGGGAAACCAGAAGGAACGCTCCCAGCCATTTTTTTTGGGGGGGGCCACCAAAAAGAGGACGCACCCATACCACCCCCCCGCTTCAAGCCATCGGGGAAATCTCTGGAAGGTCAGCTCCCACTCGGGTCGATTCAATCCTAGGTTTGTTCAGCTACGTGCCCTTCTCTACCCCGTTTTTGGTTGGGAGGGTTCCCCTACTAAAATAGACTACAGAAAAAAGAAGACACAAAAAAGCGCTAACCTCTCAAATCTGGAGGACCTAGATCGCTTGAGGTGTGCCAGGGCTGACGGACCAGGAGTACCGCGACGCCATGCTGCCGGGACCCGAGAGCCGGAGATCCGGGCGCCGAGCTCCGAGATCCGAGATCCGGGAGCGATCCGGTCCTGAAGCTGAAACCAGCGAAGCGTCAAGGGGTCCTTGGACTTGTAACGTTTTTCTTTGGGGTCCTTGGACTAGTAACGTTTTTTTCTTTTTTTTCTTCTCCCGGTTGGTTTAGCGGTTGGGGTTCCATACGTTTTTTTTCTTTTGGGGTTGGTTTAGCGGTGGGGGTTCCATTTACACAGTTAAACTTGGAGCAAGGCCGTGAAAAGTGGGACTCAGAAGGTTCAAGGATTTGTTTTTCCGCCGCATCCACTCAGGACCTGAGTAGCCCAAGATTATGAACAGTCCATGGTTGTGTCTTTGGGAATGTGTTTCGGTGTGTCTTTCGGGATGTGATTTCAGGGGTGCTAAACTGCATTGCCATGTCTGCATTCGGGTTCGTGGCCTCTATCAGGTGCTCTGTTTGCTTCTCAAAGGAAACCGCAGCGGGCATAGATATTCATACATATTGTGAATGGACAATCCTGCATTACTGAAGACGCCCCGCAATGATGATTCCCCTGGAAATACCAACAAACAATGGCTCCAACCATGGTTGCTTCTGTGGTGCGAAATGGAGTGCGTCCATCCACAGGACGTTACATGGGGATTCGAACAAATCACCGCCGAGCTCGGCGGGCGGTGGTAAGATGACCCAAAGAGCCTGCGGATTTGGGATTGTCCAGTTCGTGGGGCCTCTGTCCAGATGGCTTTCCTGAATTCGGAAAAAAAAAACACCCCCCCGTTCCAGGCAAGGAAGATACCCAAACACCTGGGGGCAAAGGCCACAAAAGACGTGTCAGGTAGGCTATAGCCTTAACATCGGGTTGAAGGAACCCACATGGGTGTGTCTTTTTGTTGGGCAAACTCACGTTTGTTTGGTTGATGTTAAATGGAAACAAAAGGGAGACCAATAATTTTGAGGCGTCCCTCATTTTCGAGACTACTTCTATCAAGCAGATGTGGTGACAACCGCTCATACAATCCGTCTTGTCTATGAAGACTCGACATGATCAACGTCGTGGCTGCTGGCCTAGACATGAACGTGCAAGATGTGGATATGTCCTTGGCTCTGTCGAGCTCTAGGCCTTTTGCCTACCTCGTACATCGGATTTGCTCAGTGAGACGATTTACCAGATTCTACGATCTGATGTCGCAGCACATTCAGAGTTTTCGGCCAGGGTTCAGTGAGCATTCCTCTTGAATCCAGCATTGGAAACTCCTTTGGACCGATTTCGGCATTCGACCTGACGCAGCCTTTGCAGGCTTACCCTGCCAAATAAGACCTGTTTACATCAGATATTATAAGCTTCAAGCTGCGTATGGTACGAACTTATATGCGCACTACTTTGCTATTCAGAGGATTTTGATTGGATGCAAGGCCTTTGAAGTTGCTACATGCCAGACCTCGTAGCCTTTTGCAAAACGTTCTTTCTGTTCTTAAAGCCGTTTCGCTTGTTTCAGGAGCGTGACCGTGCCTGGAAGTCTTGGTGGACATTGGCGATTACTCTTTTGGGCCCTTTCGACCCCTTTACATTCTCCTTGTGTTTCCCAGCCATCTCCTTAGCTGTGTATTTCTTTAGGGCTTAGTGTGGGTTTCCATTCAACCCATTAAAAGTTAAAAACTTTTGGCAGGGGACCTGAGGACAGCCCAGCGCCTTTTGGTTCCGGTTGGGTCGTTTCTGCGGGTCCGCGAGTCACTGACTCCGAGTCCTTGTGACGGTCACCGATTTTTTTTTCTCACCACAGCTGAGCGGCGGTCAGCTTTTGCTAACTTGAGTCACTGGCTCAAAACTCAAGAGGCAATCAAAAGGCACTTGAGTCACTTGAGTCACAGGTACTTGGGTCACTTGAGGCAATTGAAGTGGCTGACCCACCATGCTTCAAGAATTAAGAAAGCCGGAGATCCGCAATTTATGCTTGGGAGTGTCCTTTACTAACCTTCAAGGTTTTGAGCACGTGGCTCATTTGAGGGAAGCAAACCCAGCAACATCTAAGTAGGCAGGGCAACCACTCGCACAGCGCCTGTGAAAGCCCCGTCCAGGTGGAGGTAATTACAAAGGATCCAAATTTCGTAGTTTTCTTGGGCAACTGCGGGCGTTGTTTGGTTTTTACAGCGATTTACAGGCCCCTTTGAATCTTAACGAGGACTGAACTATAAACAACACCCGGGTTGATGAAGGTTAGATTTGCGAAATTAGCCTCGGCATCTATGTTGGTGCGCATATTCATCCTTTTTCTTTCCCATGGGGATTCGGGGAGACCTCTTTGTTTTTCTTGGTTTCAATATGACTCAAAAGTGCAAGTCAACCAACCACGAACCATTTTGAATGATCGCAGTTGTGTCAGTTGCTTGATATTCAGGGCATCAACCGTGTGGTTGGGTGTGGGAGCCTTGCTGCGGGGAGTGACATTTAAGTATGGATTCCCTTTTCGGGCTTTTCGGGTTGTCCTTCAACACCACGCATATGAAGGTGTTTCTCACAATAGGAGTCCCCCAAAACTGCTGGTTTCCTTTTGGTTTCCGTTACAAAGGGGCCCAATATTTGGAAACTGGAACCCTGCGCACCGGAAAAAAAGAGACTTTGAACAGATCGTCAATTCCCTGAGAATCGGAGAGTGACCATGCACATGTGGCCCAGAAAGCCAGCTAAGAACCGAGAAGACGCCAAATAGCCCGGGTTGAGGCCACAAATCGTTGGAGATGGACTCACTGCGAATCGCCTGGATCTGACCTTTTAGGTTTCCCCTTTTTGATCACCATGCTTTTCTTGGTCCCGAAAGGTGAACCGTCGATTTCTGGGCTGAAGGGGCAATTGAGTGGAAAGTGTTTTTTTATCCCTCTCCGAACGGGGGTATGGGTCAAAATTTAACCAGGAATTGGACCGCATATTTTTTCGTCATGGTTTCCATTTACGCGGGCTTGCCGCCGTTTTGGGCTTCGCCTATTTTTGCCAACCACACCACCGGGTCACGGGTCCCTCGTCCGCTTAGGTTCCCACTGCCGGACCGAAAGGACATCATGCTGGCCAACAACGCCCGGAAACCCAGCCCAGCAGCCCGGGGAAAGACCCAGCCAAGAGGAGAGCCGCGAGAAGGGTGGCCCCCAACAGGATGTAAAAGGCCACATAGATGCGAATTGATAAGATCAAGCCCTTCAAGACATGTTTTTTCTTCTTATTTTTTCTTCTCTAGACATACTCAACTACATTTATAGAAGAAAGCAACACATACTCGAGGAAGCCACCCAGCTTTCATTCATGCTGACCTTTTGCGCCGCGGGCCGTTCCCCGCCCTTTGGAAAGGGATCTCCGGGTTTTTCTCCGGTGGTTGCGGGGAAGAGGACCCACATGGGAAAAGCCAGACAGACTGGAGGGATGAGGTCCGACTTTTCTTGGTCCAGGTCTTGGGGAAGCAAGTGAAGCAAGTCATTTCGGGGCTCAAGTTGCAAGGTCCTTGGGTCTGAAACTTGACTTCTCTCAAAACTTCAAGCAGATGAGGGTGGGGAAAAAGTCTCTACCAATCGCTTGAATCTTAGTGGTTCCAGCCATCCTCTCAGCTTTTTAGGTTTTTAAGTTTTAGTGGTTGGGTTCCATTTGACCAACAAGCTCAACTTTTAGCAGGGGATGGATCTAGGGAGGTCTTGCTAGCAAACCATATTTTTAAGCAATGTCAGCATTGATTACCCATGAAAATCATCATTTGGGCGATCTCCAGCCTTTACCTTCTTTGTTTCGAGATGTGGGCCGACTTGAACACCAATTCTTTGGATGAGTCAGCTGGACTGTGCTTCTTGTCCCTTCGTTGATTCCAAAGAGTTTCCCTTGGTATTTCATCCAAAAAGGAGGGCTTCCGATTTTTTGAAGATGTTATTTGAACAGGCCGCCAGTGAACCCACCATACAGGGAAGGATTTGGGGCCGATTCCCCGGAACCCCAGCACCTTCAAAGGGGGCTTCCGGAATTCCCCGACTCCCCAATTGGCTACGTTTCAATCGGTTGCACTCCTTGCGGAGTTCAAATGGTTCTGGGAATGCCAGAAATGGGATCCCCGAAGCGCTCGCTTTCCAACAGAACAGTCGTTAAGATCGGCCCCGAACCTTGGGGTGCTTTGAAAAAGAGCAAACAAGAACAAAATCCGTGCCAGTGGGGCCTGTTTTGGGCGGTTTTTTCAGGTGGGAGCTTTGGGCGGTTCAACCCCTAACCCCTGGTTCGAACCCCCCCCCTCTGTGCCTAAGACTTGACGGGGGATTATTCTGGGCCCCTCAAAGTGGGTGCATTTTGTGTCTCAAGATGACTTTTGGGAGCCTGGGTTTTTCCTTTTCGACAGTCACGCTGGGCCCAGTTATTGCAGGAGGTTCTCTTCCAGAGGGTTGCTTTGTCCATGGATCTTTTGGGGACAATTGTCCACACTCTCAACACGCCGTTGCTCTGATGAGATCTTCTGACACTCTCACGGGGCCGTTGCTAGTCTGATGGGCAGCAGCTGCTCTCAGGTTCTGTACCCGCCACGCCCTGCAACTTACTAGAGAATGTGGTACATGTTCCATTCTTTCCAGGGACCCGAATCTTTTCAGGTCACAAACAGCAACCCAGGGGAAAGAGATCCGATTTTTGAAAAGAACGATGGTTGAAAAGAATGGCAAAGGAATCAACCCCTAGAGCTCTCTTTGTTTCTATTCAATTTGCATCTCGACCAGTTCTGGCCCATGGCTTGGCAACTTGGCGCCGGTTAGGGCCAAGCCGGAACCGAGCGCGCGCGCTCCGTGCGCATGCGAGGATTGGGTGGCGCAGAGTGTGGAGACGATGTTCGGGGACTGGGCGGAAGAGAGCCGGGAGCCGCAGGAAAGGTGCCGTGATATGGGCTGACTTGGGAAAAACCACACAAAGATGATATTTCAAGCACAGAAACTCAAAACAAAACACTGGCTGTGATGAAAAGCGTGCATGGGGAAAGCGACCAATGCACAAAAATCTGGGGCCAGGAATATCGATCAACCCCCGCGAAGCGAGTCAGAAAACGGCCCGCGCCGAAGGAGTGAACCCCGCAAAGCGGGAGGTACATGGATGACATGCCCAGCACAAATGGTCGTCCCCAGGAAGGCGCCCCTTTGCCAGGTTCGGATTGCAACTGCGTTGAGGTGGATGCTTCTTGACCTTTGCATGTAAGCCAACCCAACCGCAGGGTTCGGAAGTAGTGTCCAGTATTGCACCGATACGCCGGAGCACTGATTGCACAGGCCGATGCGCCGGTACACCGATTGCACACACCGACACACCGGTTGAGCATGGCTTGGAGCTGGTTTACGCGGCTTTAGAGTTGGTTTAGGCTTGGATTCGGGCAATTCTTTAGTGTGCCCTACCTTAAGCAACTGACATTTGGGTTGTAGCGTTTACAATACAGGTTATAAGCCACATGACGCATACAGAAAAAACGCTTCGCAAGATGTATACCTTGGTCTGAAGCTTGGACTTATAAGTATATGTACCTTTGTTGGGTAATATGTAGTTGTAAGCTCGGAGCTTCGAGCTTACATGAACTTATTAGTGCTTGGATTGGGCTTGTCCGAACTTATACGTTCTATCCCAAGGCCTTGTTTCCTGAGCAAGTCACTACCTATCAACATGTTCTGAACTAAAGCACATATGCGTATATATATTATTTGAATATAACTAGTGCTACACAGATAGTCCAACTTCGTACTGCTGACACTGCTGAGAAACGGAAACATATGCTACTAGTGGTAAACGTCAACAACATAGTACTCTTAGTAAACGTTCAGTATTGTGATTTTGTTCTTTTTTTTGGGTGTAAATTGTGTGAATGTGCGTTCTTCTACTAAATTTGTGAGTAAAACCTCAGCGTAGCATTTTAGCAAGCGATGCTTTGGCAAACATCTTAGTAACACTTAAGCAACAGGAAACCAGAAAACGTTTTCACATGAACCATTGGCAACATTTAGGTATCCAGTTTGTTGGCGAAACCGATCATTTTTTTTAGTATTTGTTTTGCAAGCACCTTCAGAAAAAAAACATATTCTTTTGTTGTAAACAACATCTTCATACAGGAATAAGCAATCAGAGTGATTTCCCCGCAGTGTTTTTGGGAGGAGATACCCCATGAAACTCAGGTGCCGGTTCTTCTTGGTTTCTGTGTAACGCAACCCCAAATGGCGATTGGGTACCAATTCCGGAAAACAAACGCACCCAGAAGGCCGGGAGACCGTTTAGCATCTTACATACTCGCTCTTGGTTGAAATGAGGAACAAAGAGCAGATTTCCATCCAAGGTTTTCATTGATTGAACGTTGACTAAGGATTTGTATCGGTTGTTTCCACATCCCTTCAAAAGCAAGGAGAAACCAATTTTCCAAATGCACATCAGACGGGTTGGATGTGTAGAGGTTGAAGACCGCTCAAGGTGCATAGAGGGATATCAAATTAAGAAGCAAATATCATTTGTTGGTCCCTACTTTGGACACATACCTATTTGTGTATATATATATATACACATACATACATACATACATACATACATACATACATACATACATACATACATACATACATACATACATACATACATACATACATACATACATACATACATACATACATACATACATACATACATACATACATACATACATACATACATACATACATACATACATACATACATACATACATACATACATACATACATACATACATATACATATATGCGGATATATATATATATATAGATATATCCGCATATATATGTACGTATATATGTTCTGTCTTGGCAGGACCGTACCCTGAAGGAGCATACAACCTTCCTCCTGTTCAGTCCTACACCCAAAATCGCCATCGAGCAAAACCTGCCACACCTTTCATGTTTGAGAGCTTTCCTGTTTTGAGTCCACCTGAGCCACAATCAAAACCCGGGTAGCCGGGTAGGCCATTTGAGTACCGGGTTTTTCGGTGTGACTCACCTTGCGTTTGGAGTTGTGTTTTCTTTTTGGAGCTAAACCCGTGCACCCGGCCCGGCACGGTCACCTCCCGACCCACCGAGGCTTGCTGCAGGCCGAGCGTGCCTTGCACAAGATCGGCGTGCCGCGGCCCGCCTGGCTCGATGAGGAGCGATCTAAGGGTGATTCCTTTTCCAAACCAAACCAAATGGGATCCTTGTCAAAATGTGTGCAGGCGAACTTGCGTGTTTTTTCTTGAAAGTCGTTGAAAACAATGGGCAAGTCTATGGGTTGATTCCTTTTTCAGTCTTTTCAACCATCTTTCTTTCCAAAAACCGGATCTTTTTCCCTGGGTTTCCGGATGTTTTCTAGCAAGATTCGGATCCCTGGAAGGATGGGGAAGGTGGCACCGCGTCCGAGTCTTGCCGGAAGGGGTGCGAGTCCATGTGTTTTGAGGCACGGCATTTTTGGTGGTGGTCCAACAGGGGAACCAAAAGGACCGAGATGTCATTTTCTGAGGGGATTCAATTCCTGTTTTAAGACACACGTTTGAAGGGTTTGGGGAAAACTGTTCGGTATTGAGGAAATCCGGCATGGGCCAGTCCCAACCAGCAACTGGGGGGATCGAGAACTCGCGAGCCCCAACAAAAACCCTAGTTAATCTTACTTGAACTAGAACCCGGCCAAAAGGGTTTGCATCCGACCAGTTTTCATGCGGTTCGAAAAGGAATAACCCGTTAGTACCTTTATACGGTGGAAGCTTTCTCACTTGTCCAACGCTGAGCTTTTTGGCCTTTTTGTTCCTCCGAAGTTGGTTTAGTTTTCGTCTTAGGGTTCACTGCCGCACCTGCTCCCACCCCCACGCCACCCCACCCCACCCTGTGCTCCCTAGGCAAGCGAGACAAATGGTTCGGGTTCGGGGGGTGTTGCTCAACATAAAGCTCTTAGGGAAAACCCAGATGAAGGCTCCTTCACAAGTTCCCTTGTTTCAAGATTGATGGCAGGAATACTCACTCCCTGCGTTGTTGAACTTTAGCCCACTTTCTGGGAAGACTCTTTTAGAGGTAGCTAGACAAACAGTGTGGACCTTTTTGCCAATCCATGGAATGAGACGCAACATATTCGGAAGACAAGGCGTACCCGTTTTCCAACGAGGACTGCCACAGTTGTCCATTAACATGGAACCTGACCTTTCGGGGGGGTGGCAATGATCTTTATTTGAGGAATACCCTCTCAAATGGTTGGTGGACAGAAATCTTCACCTATATGATGTCCAAAAGTGGGTCCGTAATCTCAAGAACACATCTTGGATGTTTGTCTCAACCCCTGCAACCAGTTAGTTGGTGTCCTTTGTGCTTCCTTCTGAGCCTTGTGGGTTGATGCCTTGGACTAGGCAATCCTTCTGCAGGCTAACATGCATAGGTGTCCTTTTTCGGTTCTTGCTTGCTTCAAAAAAGATGGACACCCATCCTTTTCTTGTTTGAAAAGGCCACCTACAATAGGTGCGAACCGATTCGAACACCGACTCGTTTGAGAAATCGCTTGCAGCCCAACAATCTTGGGTTCCATATAAAACAACCAGGGGTTGAATCCTTGCATTTCCGCACCTAAGAAACCGTGGGAAGCCATTGTTTGTTTGTAGGGGGAATCTTCATTTCAGGTTTCTTCGGTGCTGCAACATTTTGTCCATCCACAGTAACCGCAGTTTTTTCTTGACAGCGCGATTCGTGCAGGATTACTACTCTCGCAAGGCAGGCTTTCACAAAAGGAAGCTGTTGGCGCGGACGTTTTTTGTTTTTCGTTGGTTGGCTTTGCGTAATTGCAAACTCAGCTAGCCCTTTATTTCTGTGGTTTGGATTGGTGTTTTTGAATTGGATTTGAGCCGGAAAGCACCCCGAAACACCACCAAAACCGAGCAAAACAACCAATCCAAAGCACCAACTAGAGGGGCGCCAAAGGCAAGAAACAATTCAACCATTTTTGGGGTCCCCGGATTCTGAGGAGTTGGAAACCCATGAACCCCCCCTTCAATAGCGCTTGTTTTGAAGGGAACCGAAAGGTGTCCACTCATTTTGCTGGCGATCAAGAAGTCCCAACAGGGCTGCTTCAAGAGACTTGCGGGTACGTTTCCTTTGGTTTCCCGTTCAACCAAGGTCAAAAGGGCACCAAGCCTCAAACAAAACGAGCCAAGCTGATTGTTTGTTCAAGGCCCGTTTTTGGAAGATGACTCTTGGTTGCTATTTGGCTGGACCCTTGCCCTTGTTACCTTTTACGAACTTGAGCGAACTTGTTTGTTCCGCTTCAACTACACAGCTTCAACCTTCAGCATGTCAAAGACTGCCCCCCTCACTGGCAACTAGGTTTACGATAGCGTGTGAAAGTAGTTGCTTTTTTTTGTTGTTGGTTTAATTAGTGGTTGGGTTGCCATCTAACTCACTAAAATTTAGGAGTTTAGCTGTTTTACTAGGTGTTTAGATGTGTTTAGTCGGTTTCGTGGCTGGGTTTCCATTTGAGTTCCCCAAGTTGAATCCCGCTAGCCGGGGATCAGAAAACGGAGCGCCGACTCGCCGACCCCCTGGGCCCCAGTTTTTTGGGGCAGGCACTGGCACAAGCCGAGTCTGTTTGAACTCACTGTGGTTGTTGGTCCTTTGCCAGGTGTGTGTGTGTGTTTTTTGTTGGTGGGTTTCAAAAGGGAAACCAAAAGGAACACCACCTTCTATTTCTATTTTTTGGGGTGGGGGTCCCTAAAGAAAGACACGCCAAGGGCGATCACAGATGAGCTTTGCAGATGGCCACCCTGTCTTTTGGGTTTGCCTCCTCTTCATTGAATAGGCATGTTTCATATCCCGTATGATAGGAGTCAACCCACTGGCCATGGTGAATTGCGGAGCGTTTAAGTTGCTGTCCGGCTGCTTGCTGACTTGCGTGTGCTTAACGCCATTTTGAGCAATGTGTGGTGTTTGCTTATTTCCTCTTGAACTGGCTACTTTGAATGCGCGTTTTTCTTTTCAGAGATTCACGCTAAACGTCCTCTTGACGTTTCAAGGGGAGCAGGGACCACAGGGAGCCCCGGAAAAGCGACCTAGCCGATGGGATCCAATCCAAGTTTGGGGCTTCGGATTTCGCAGGTGGCTTCAGGCGAGTCGACCTTGGTGGTGTGAGGGGTTTTCCCGCGCCTTGAGCGCGGCAAGAGCAAAGAGCTTCTCCAGAATGGAGTGCTTCAATCTTGGGTGCTGGATGCAGAAGGATGAAAACAAGCAAAGATCGTTTGGCCATCTGCGAAAATTAAAGGCGCAGACTTGGAGGATCCAATTCCGTGTGAATCAGGTGATGTTTGGATTTGCATCGTTCGGGGAACCCTAGTAAGGGCCTTAAAAAAATGGAATGGGGGGAGGCACGTTCAAGCGAAAATCATGGGAGCAATAGGTCAGTTGCTTACCCCAGGTTGAACCCATCACGCGAAAGGACTCATAGACTAATTGATGAATAGAGCTGTGTCCTATTTTGGGAATCCCAATGCCTTTCTGAAGGAAGACCATGGTGATGCAAACCGAGTTGCTTGATGATCTCTATAGTTTTGATTAGGGCATGCACCTCATTCCGGATCATGGGGCAGCTACAGCCCTATTGTTTCATCCACCAGGTATATTGGGCCAACTTGAGCAGCGCCCAAAATCCCTATTTGGCTTTACTTGCGGCTGTAGTACTGCCCTAGTAGAACCAACAGTCAATGGGTGTTGGGCGCTGCTCATGTTATATCTATATGATTACCGACCCTTGGAGCGGCAATTCACCTCCAGCATCCAAGCCTGACATGCGCGGTTTCCAGTAGGTGAGCGACCATTGATCAATCCTATGGCGGAACGAATGGGCACGTGTTGTTTTGAAGGTAACATGTGTAAGGTGGTTTTGAAGGAACGCTAAGCTGCGCAAGTCCACTACCAAGCGTAGAAACCATTGGCGCCATCTAACTACACGCCATCCCTACGGGATTAGGGCGTCGCGATGTCCGGGCGCTGGTCGCCAGCGGAATCTGTGGGAGCTTGTGCTTTGGCCAAGTGAGCCGAAATCCAAACACAGGTAATCGGAGGACAACCTGTGGGGGCCATCGCAACTGTAAAACGGCGGGCCACGCTTCCAAGTCTTTTTATGGATTGGGTAGACCATCTTAGTACTAGGTGTTCATTGTGACTCAAGTGTCGGGGCTGTGATTGAATGGCTTTGGATGGTTCAACTAGTTCTGTGATAATTCGTGGAGAGGATGTATTGGGAACCCAGGATTTATATAACTTGGCATCAAGGCGCTTGCTTCCCAGCCGTGGTGGCGGTGCCGAAAACTCGTTCATTGCGATCGGATGCTTCTTCGGGTGTGTGTGTGTGTATGTGTGTGTGTGTGCGCGCCTTTTGGAGGGTTGCGGATTGGTTTAGCCGTTTTGGGGGTTCACCGATTTCCACAGCCACCCATATGTTGTTGTCACCTGGATTTTGGTTCTTATTCGAGACTCTGGATACGCGTCCTCCGGATTTTCTGGGCCCTGTCTTCTCAAACTTGAGCAGGCACCCGTGCTTCCCCGGCAAAAACCCACATGCCCGAAAATGCGGTACCTCGCTAAAAAAAAGGGCCCCGCGCTTTCCCGGGCCGTGCTCTCTCAACTTGCCCATTTCTTTGAGAAGACAGGGTACCAAAGGGAAGGCTCGGGGGCTGGGGGTCCAGACCCTCGATTTGTACCGAGGTGGTCGTGGGCTCACACGACGCGCTTGCTCCAATGTTGTTTGCCGGGAAGTCGCTGTGCACCCGTGTAGGTATCGCCTCTGCGATTGGTGGTGGCTGAGCAACTGTATGTCCAGCTCATCATAGACTTGCAGCTCCACTTGTTCTGCTGTCTTCATTCCCGAAGGAGCAGTTTGGTTTTGTCGCAGCCTTCGTTCTCGAGAATGATTAGCGGTCTTGCTGTTTGCCGGTGTGTGATGTGATGTCATCAATGTTTCAGTTGCAGTCACTGCGGCGATGGTTCTGCCAGTGGTTTGCTCAGCTGATTCAGCTGCGGTGCCTTCCGGCGCCTTTTGTCCCCGAGAAAGTTTTGCGGGACTTCCATTATAGCGTATTTGTTTTTCCTTCTTTTTTTTCCCTTTGTTTTTCCTTCTTTTTTTTTGTTTCGCCTGGCCGCGATGGTCGTGCTTTCTGCCTGTTTGCTGCACGGAGTTGCAGGACAATGTGCCTAGATGTTGACGAGGAGAGGAGTGCCAGGCTTGCCGCCTTGTCCATGGCCCGAGGGAAGAGTGAACAACATGTGCAAAAATGGTGGTGCGGTCTTCGGATTGTCTTGGGAAGCCAAATGAACATGCCCCAGTTTCATATCCTCGACTCAGCAACCTTGGCTTCCCAACTCAGTTTTCCCCAGCTTTCCATGCACGGGGCTTTCTGGGGAAGAGGCTCACAGACCCCAAAACACGTGTGGCCAGTGATAGCACTTTCTGAGAGGCCCCACCCCCCCCTTCCCCACTCCAAAGAAGGCAAAGCTGAAGTGGGCGAATGCCCCTGGTTTTTCAAAGTCACCCCATGGACTCGCGGAGCGCAAAGGCCGGGCTCTGCCTCTAAGACGCGGAACCGCCCAAACTGCTCCAACGCCATGCGCCTGGATGAGCTGTTCGCCGCGCGCAGGCAGGGCTTGGCGCCGGCGGGTTCGATCAGGGTTTTTTTTTTCGGATGGAATGACCCCGAACTGAACCATCCAACTGGTTGCTGCCTTCAACATGATTTTGAGGTGAACCCGGACTTCCATTTGCTTAAGTATATTTATTATTTTCCTTTGTTGGTTTTATAGGGAATCTATCACTACTGGAAATATTTTTACTTTTGCCAGGGGACTTAAGGAACTGGAGGATGAGTTTGGTGCTTTTGAAGTTTTGCCAGGGTCATGCACCATGCACCCAATGGAGAAGCCCTTCCCGGAACACAGTTCTGAAGAAAAAAACGCTTTTGAGGATCCCCCGAAATAGATGGGGCCCAGAACGGGTGCTCATTTTTTTCTGGATGGTTTGATGTCTTTTCCCAACCACGCGCAGAAGGCGACGGGGTCTTCAACTTGCTCCCAACTTTTGTGATATTGGGCTTCCTACTATTGGACGAAATCCATTTCGCACCATGGTTGAACCCATTGCTTGTTGGTATTGGCAGGGGAATCGAATCATTCCGCTGGGTTTCTTGGGTGGTGCGGAATGGATTTTGCGACCGTCCGCGGTGTGTTTCCCGTTCGCTCCGGTTCGACCAGTTGAGCTGTTTTATGCGAGCTTCCTGTGCGAACGTTTGGGCGAAAATAAGTCCGGAACACCCCATACCATAATTGGCTGGGCCTAACAGTCCAAGGGTGTAAGGGCGCCCATTTCAACCTTTTCTGTTAGGTCAAATGTTGTACATGTTATGCCCTGAAGCGTACCCGGCTTGCTTTGGGGTTGCTTTCATGGGTTGCTCTCCCGTTTTTCCATTCGGATTTCGCCACGTGCCCACAAAGCAGAGACGCCACGTGGGTTTATGTGTCGACCCCAAATGTGAAGGCCAAGGTACCAGCCCCTACCAGAAACCCACACACCCATTTGAGTGAGACCAGCTGAGGCTCAAGGATTCCACAGGGGACACATACCCCTACTTGTTAAACCCGTCCCATCATTAGGGGGGTGTTCCCTCCAAAAGTGATGAATCTCCACTAAAAGGGGACACCCCCCGATCAAAATCAACCAGGGGTTCCGCTTAATCCGGGGTCAATTCTCAGGCACGGGGAGAACAACAACGCGTCCGAAGCGAATTGCTGGAATCGAATCTGTTGGTTTCCCAGTGATCCACTTTGTTATGAAATGGGCAGAGAAAAGCACATTTTTTTTAGGCTACAACCCCCACTTACGCGCCTTCTTGGTCTTCCCCCCAGTTTGCTGCAAACCAGGGGTTCTCCTCCAAGGGTGCCCAAGTAGGGTCAATTCCCTGAATACATGCATATGTATGTATGTATACACATATATATATATATATTCTAATATATATATATATGCACATTATACAGCACATCCGACCACCGACCCCGAGTAAATTGCGGTACATTACCGAGTTTCCAACGGGTTCTTATATTCTCGCATCCACACCTCCGAATTTCTGTATAGGTAGGTGGTCCATAACAATTCAGGAGGTTTCTTTTGTGCTGGGTATAATCCAAGGGTGAGTCATGACCCAATGCTAAGGAGTGGATATTGAATGACTCTTGGGGGGACCCGTAGTTGGACGTCATGTGCATGGTTAGCTATGTCCTTGTTGAGGGTCTATGAAGCAAGTAGGGAAACAGCAGAAAGTTTTTCGCCCCGATCATAGCCCAATCCCCATTGAAGTTGGAACAGCCCACCAATGGCCGTGAAACAGCCCCTTACTTCCTAGTAATGTTGACTCCGGATTAATCAACCCATCCTATTAATAGGGGGATCGTCCCCTCTATCAGTGATGATTCCCCACTAAAGCTAGGGACACACCCCTATTAAAAAGGAGGTTGATGAAACCGGGGTCAACATGATCTCGAGGTGTTGAGTTGGCACCGAGGTATTTTTCAGACGCAAGCGGACATAGAGAAATCGTAACAGCTACCACACGTGGATCAAGGGGAATGACACGTGCTGGGTACGTGCCCCGTTTGCGGAAAGCCAAGCAATTGAAGTTGGGACCAGATTGAAGGGCAAAATCAGGCCCCATAAAAATGGCCGTTTGTTTTTTTTTTGGATGGGGAGCCGCCTCAAACTGCTTGGTTCAGGTTCCCTGAATTGGTGGTTGAAAATGTTGGTTTGGATTTGGATTTGAGGCTTTGGTGTTTCTAGAGGGTGAATATCCAATAAGAAGAAACCCCTTAACCACCAAGCACCAATCCAAACCACCCACCGATTAGGGAAGCTGATTGGTGGACATAGCGGGTCCCCAATCAGAAAGCTCAGTTCCAAAAGTAACCAAACACCAATCCAAACCACTTGGACGGAATCCGACCACGGCTCTCCACTTAAAACACCCCGGTCCCCGAGGAAAAACCGTCTCCGGGAGGCGAAAGCCGTCCGCCGTTCGCCGTTTCGGAAGCCGCCAGGCCCTCCAGCTTCGGAGGCCAGCGGAACATGGCCTTCGAAGGAGCTGAATTGG